GTATGATGGATTTACTCTTAGACTACTATTTGAAAGATAACGTGTGTCATATAAAGACAGCAAGGAATAAACTGCAGATATGGAGAAGTAACATCCATCCATGTGCAGAATTAGGTCAATGCACAAAGTTCTAATGATCTAGTGTGCAGCATCCTGCAGTGCTGGAGACATGTGGCAAGGACATCAGTAATAACTGTCACATGCCACCTACCAGACATCATTATAGAGCACTGTGTACACAGGCATAACTATGGGGACCTATGTGTATGTTCTTGAGATGATCTGGTTTAAGATATATCTGTCTAACCAGTGATGGTGAACCTATGGTACTCATGCCACAGCTGTCATGCAGAGCCCTTTCTGCCAGCACACAAGCCATAAGTCACTGGATCGCTACTCCCCCCCCCTCAGCCAAACCTCAGGAGGCAGCTGCAGCTGCAGTTGCGGTGCTGGCACTTCGACAGGCAGATCCAGAGCAGCTGGTGCTGGCAGCAGATCTGGAGTGGGGTCTCGAGGCACCTCCGTGCCCAGGATTCCCCCTTCCACCACCACTTCCAGTTCTGCCATCACTACTTCTGGTTCCGCCGCTGCACTGCCACAGCACACTGTCCACTGGTTGTTCCCCCCTCCTGTTTGGGCCTGTAAGCCCAAAAGGGTTCACCACCACTGGTCTAACCCATTAAGGCTATAGTTCTATGTACTTGTCCATGAGAGAAGGTCCAAGGATAAAAGCAGGCATTAAAAAGAACAAGTATTCACAATGATTACTCTGTTCTGAAGAGGTAACTCCTCAAAGACATATGTGCTGTAAATATGTGCTGTAAATTTCATGCACTCGTAATCTCAAGATTAGACCACTGTAACGCGCTCTACATGGGACTAACTTTGAAGCTGATGTGGAAACTCCAAGTGGTGCAGAATGCAGCGGACAGGCTCCTTAGCAGAGCGAGAAAGTTCCATCATATTTCTCCTATTTTGGCTGCACTGCATTGGCTGCCCATTCAGTTCCGCGTCGACTTTAAAGTTTTGATGCTTACGTATAAAGCCCTAAATGGTTTAGGGCCTCGATACTTGATGGAATGCTTACTCCCACCTAGCTCTACCCATGTCTCTTGTGCGAGTCAGGAGGTGAGGCGGAGGAGCCTGACGCCGAGGGAGTCCTGGAAGGAAAAAAAAACAAGGAACTGGGCCTTCTTGGTGGTGGCTCCTCGCCTCTGGAACAATCTGCCTCCAGAGATTTGTGCGGCACCCTGACTGGGTACTTTTAAAAATCAATTAAAAATGTGGATGTTTAGGCAGCCCTCCCCCCCCCAGTTAATTCCTGACTCTCTTCCCTCCTCTCTCTATTTGATTTATTTTGTATTCTTCCCATGTTGCAGAATTATTTAATTGTGTAATTATTTTTTCTTATGTTTGTTATGTTTTAGGTTGTAAGCCGCCTAGAGTGGTCAAAATGACAAGATAGGCGGCGTATAAACAAACAAACAAACAAACAAACAAACAAACAAACAAATAAAATCTATGTTTACTTTCTAAGGACCAATCACAAAATAGGACATGCCACAACCACACATCAAAATCCAAACATCAAGTAACCTATTTGGCCTGCCTCCCATAAGAAAAAAAAACAAACCTATTTGCCCCCTCCTGTCTCCTCCTCCTTCTTGGAGGGAGCTTTTCATTCCCTCCCCCTTTTTTCCCTGAAAGCTACATCAGTGATGCCTTAATAGGCTTTTAAATCTTTTTCCCCTGAAAGCTACAACACATCAGTGATGCCTTAATAGGCTTTTAAAAACAGCAGATTTGCTTCTTCACTTGCCTTTCCACAGAAGATCGGAGATTTTTTTTTAATTTTTATGTATCATGAAGTGGCTAAGCTGTCTTCTTAACCCATATAAAATATTGTGAAATTGAAAATGGAAGGGAAATTTAAAGGACCAGAGTCCACTTTGGTTCTATCCCAGAATCACACATACTGGAAACAAACCAAAATGGAGCATTCCTACCTACACATAAAAACATAGCCCTTGAGAGGGACCCAGAACCGTGTGGATAGGAATGCTATCCCCACAGTTGACGAAACAGTGGGACAAATCCCATGTAGTCACCTCTAAGTGTGTGATGTACATATGAAGAAAATCATGGGCTAAGACAAACAGACAACCTCCACTTGGGAAAGCACTTCTGCAAAACAAAAAGTGATGAACATATAATCTAGTTCAACCCTCAGTGGGAATTATATGCAACTTATTATGGTTGGATAGCTCAGCAGTTCATGTATCTGGCTGCATAGCCAGAGATTGGGAATTCGATTCCCCATTGTTCCTCCTGGGAGAAGAACCAGTCTATGTGGCATTGGGTAAACTGCACACTCCTCGGGAACCAACAGGAGGAGGGAATGGTAAATCACTTCTTTGTATTCTCTGTCTAGGAAATCTTGGAAAGGGTTGCCATAAGTTGAAATTGGCTTGACAGCATGCTATTATTGGTGGTGGTGGTGTTAAAAATACAAGGCACAGACAATCAAAGATTGTCTAAAGCTTGCACAGATTACAAAATTAGACATGATAAAGTACCAAAATTAGTGCACTGATCATTATGCAAAAAATATAACTTGCCAGCCTGGTGTTTTTGACGACGACGACGACGACTACTACTACTACTACTACTACTACTAGTAGTAACAGTAGTAACAGTAGTAACAGTAGTAACAATAGTAACAGTAGTAACAGTAATAGTAATATATTGATAGCATCATACTGTTGGTGATCCTGTTGCATGCCCACAACTTTCAAGTTAAAATGTGAATAATTAAAATACTAATTTAGAAAAACTATTTTGGCAACCATGTCTGGAAGCTAGATCTTCTTCACAGTGCTTTTTAAAATGTTCACACACAGCAACAGAAGGAGAGAGCAGATGAAATTACCAATGGAAATTCTGGAATGTAAATTGATGCCACAGCTTGCAAGTCCACTTGGACAATATTACTAGTCCCTCTTCAAGCATCATTCTTAACAGTCTGTGGCAGTAGGTACCTGTCACTCTTGCAGTGATATTGGTCTGATACTTTTTTTAAAAAAAATCTGCCTCCTTCAATGGATAAACAAGCCAGTGACAGACCTGCTAAACCTGAAGATGAATTAAGTGTAAGTATTATTTTTGAATCTGCACCAATATGTTAAGTTTATCATGTATTTGTTCAGCTTGTGAATTAGGAAAACCATTTTTGGGATACTGCCAGGGTAAATATTGCATTTGATTTCCACTGATGTTTACAGTTGAAATGAGGGGATGCATCTATGTACACAGAGACACAATTATCAGAATATGATTTTTCTTGGTAGTGGATCTGTATCAGGAGCTGAAAGTTTTTCTTTTAGAGCAAATTTTAGCTCTGGATCTACCTCAGAAAGAAAGAAAGAAAGAAAGAAAGAAAGAAAGAAAGAAAGAAAGAAAGAAAGAAAGAAAAAGTTGAAGCAGTGTATCTAAATATAATGAGCCTTGAGTTAGTTGGCATAGTAACTCTTATCCTGCAGTGCTGACATACAGTAAAAAGGAAAAGGAGGATTTAAATAATTCAGTGTTCAGTGATACTTAAATTGCTTTATTAATGGGAATGAATTCACCAGTGCATAATTAGAGCTGGCACAAGAAAAAAGATACTTTGTTCTCTAACAGGTTAAAAAAATAATTTGAGGCACTTAAATGGGAACTTAAATAGCAGGGAACTATAAATATCACTGCTGCTCTAGAAGGTATTTGTGTTGAAGATAAACATTTCTTGCAATAGCATCCAACCAAATACGTAGTTTCATGGAAGAGAAAGCAGGATGTCCGAGAGGTTTTTACATATTCGATTCACATACTCTGCAAGGCATTTAAAATGAAAGAAGGCTGATCCAGGAGAATTCAAAAGAGGAATTCGAAGAGGAATATCTTAAAGAGTTGTAGATCTCTTAGATACAAGTGTAAGCATCCTCTTTGAGAAATGGTCTGTGTAGAGTTTTTGTTGTTGCTTCTGCTCAGTATTAACATACGTTTACATTTTCCTAAAGTTTGTTTGTTAACAAGATTTGTTCAATAAGCTGCACATTTACTTTGGCCTAAAAGTTTGTAGGCTGGTGAAAAAGAAGTTCTTGAACTGACATGGGGCAATTCACTTCAGGATTGGGGTAGGGACTGATAAGTACATGCCACATGCTTTGGGAACCACTGCTACTTTACAGACCATTGTTATAACTTGTTTATGACCTAGTGCCCCAAATGTATATTTGTAAATCAACAGAAGTACTAACAGATATCGACAAAATACTGTGTTTCCCCCAAAATAAGACAGGGTCTTAGATTAATTTTTGCTCCTGAAATGCATTAAGGCTTATTTTCAGGGGATGTTTTCTTTTTCATGTACAACAATCTACATTTATTCAAATACAGTCTTCTGGTTGCTGTACAATGGTGGAGGGCGTGGTTTCACTTATCTGGGACTTATTTTTGGGGTAGGGCTTATATTATGAGCATCCTGAAACATCATACTAGGCTTTATTTTCAGGTTAGGTCTTATTTTCAGGGAAACGGGGTATCGTTAAGATTCCTGTACTTTTCACCACAAGGAAACAAGACTGATCTTGAAACCTCTTTGCTCAGGGGATTAAAGAACGATAAATATAGTTTATTCATTTGTCCAGTTTCAGTGAAAGGAATCTGAAGAAAGGGAGTAAGCAAGTTTCTTGAATATTTGGGGTGAGCTGGCTCATAACACAATGGCATGTTTGGACAACTATAATAGCAGATTAAATGCTGTGGGACGAGTTACTACTGAAGCTTTCTTTGAAGCATTTCCTACAGCAGCTCCAGCCATGCTCTTAAAAAGCACACCTCCATAGGAATACATTTATCTTTTGATGAAGAAAAATAACAGCAGCACAGATTTTGGTTCAGATGTAGTGTAGATATGTCTATGCTGGAGTGCTGATTGCCCTTCTCTTTCTCAGGTATCAAATGTATCTGTTGAAATGGCGGAATCAGAAGACCAGTGGGAAAGGCTTGCAAGAAAACTTAACAGGGCATCAAAACCAAAGAGGAAAACTAAAAGAAACCAGTCAATCTGGAATTTTCAAAATAAAATAATCCTTTTCACGGTGGTCCTCTTCATTATAGGTGTTATAACATGGACATTACTATGGCTCTTTATTGGTAAGTTCCTACATCTTTTTTCTATGTAATGTTTTCTAAGGGCTTTTCTCACATTTCCATTTAAAGAGTCTCCCATCAGCAAAGCTTGGGTAACCCATCCTGGCTGAGGGATTCTGAGAGTTGTAGTCAAACAACAACAACAACAACAGCGATGACAATGAGAATGACAACGACAATGATGATGTTTGAGAAGCTCTGCAAACAAGCAATAGTTAGCAATTTTGACATTCTATATTTGTTCAGAACAAGATTTGATGTTCACAGGTAAAGGAAATTGTTTTTCTCCTTTAGACAATATATATCCTGATGTGTACTTATTTAAGTACACGAGTATTGGGGACTTCATCTTCTGAAGTAAGGGTACTGGAAGAAGATAATGGATGAAACAGATGCCCTGGATCCGTTCCAGTCAGGCTTCAGGCCGCGTCATGGTACAGAGATGGCATTGGTCGCCCTGTATGATGACCTGCTGAGGGAGGCTGACAGGGCTAAAACGTCTCTGTTGGTCCTCCTCGATATTTCGGCGGCCTTTGATACCGTCGACCACAGTATCCTCCTGGGGAGGCTCTCCGAGCTGGGAATTGGTGGCTTGGCATTAGCCTGGCTCCGTTCCTTCTTGGAGGACCGTCCCCAGAGAGTTCAGCTTGGGGAGAGTGTCTCAGCCCCGTGGAGCTCCAACTGTGGGGTTCCACAGGGGTCCATTATCTCCCCAATGCTCATTAACATCTATATGAGGCCGCTAGCTGGGGTCATCAGGGGGTGTGGAGCGTCGTGTCACCAGTACGCTGATGACACCCAGCTCTACATCTCCTTTTCACCAACTGCAGGTGATGCCATCCTGTCCCTCCAGTGCTGCCTGGGGACTGTACTGGATTGGATGCAGGAGAATGGCCTGAGGCTGAAGCCGGACAAGACGGAAGTCCTGAGGGTGGGGGCACCCATAGCTGGTGACTTGGTCGGCTCTCTCTCGTTTGGGAGGGCAACCCTGGCTCCGGTGAGTGGGGTCCGCAGCTTGGGCATACATCTGGACCTGACGCTCACCATGGAAACACAGGTGACGTTGGTTGTCCGCTCCACCTTTTTCCACCTTTGGCGGATTGCCCGGCTGCGGCCCTATCTCGACACGGGGGCTCTCACTACCTTAGTGCATGCGCTCTTAATCTCAAGATTAGATCACAGCAACGCGCTCTACGCGGGGCTGCCTTTGAGGTTGATACGGAAACTTCAGATGGTGCAGAATGCAGCAGCCAGACTCCTTACTGGAGGGAGAAGATTCCATCACATTTCTCCTATCCTGGCTAGACTGCATTGGCTGCCCATTAGTTTCCGTATTGACTTCAAAGTTTTAATGCTCACTTATAAGGCCCTAAATGGTTTGGGACCTTGATACTTGGCAGAACGCCTTCTCCCACCAAGATCTACCTGGACCACCTGCGTGAGCCAGGAGGTGAGGCTGAGGAGCCTGAAGCCGAGGGAGACCCAGAGGGAAAAGACACGAAACTGGGCCTTCTCGGCGGTGGCTCCTCGCCTTTGGAACAATCTCCCTCCTGAGATTTGCGCGGCCCCTACGCTGGGTACATTTAAAACTCAACTAAAAACATGGCTTTATGTTCAGGCCTTCCCTCCTGCCAGCATTTAATCTAATTTAATTTACTTTCCTCTTCCTTATCTATCTATCATTTATGATTTTTGGTAGATATACATCAAATAAATAAATAAAATAAATGGTTCATTAGTTCTGTGGAGGGGGAATCTTTCGTAAATATAAATTAAATTCTTTTGCTGGATAACTGAGAAATGTTCAATGTTTCTCAGAGCCCAACTTTGAGAGTACCCACAATATTGTGGGTGAGATTTGTTTTGTTTCTCTAGTTTTGTACTCTGTTTTCAGCATTTGGGGGTAAATGCCTTTGACTACCAGCAATGACGAACTTATGGCACGTATGCCACAGCTGGCATGTGGAGCCCTTTCTGTCAGCACACAAGCCATAAGTCACCAGATTGCTATTCCCCCCTCCCCCCCTACAGCCAAACCTCAGCAGGCAGCTGCAACTGTGGTGCTGGTGTCCAGACAGGCGGCGGGTCAGGATCTGGAGCAGCTGGTGCTGGCAGTGGATCTAGAGTGGGGTCTTTAGGGATTCCCCGTTCTGCCACCACTTCCAGTTTCTCTCCTGCCGCAGCTGCGGCACACCGCCCCCTGTTTTTGTTTTTTCCAGTTGGGCATGCAAGCTCAAAAAGGTTTGCCACCACTGGTCTATATACCGTCAACTAACTTCCTCACAGCAACTTTATAACTCAAAAGGAAAAAAATAAACACTTTAAAGTGACGGATGAACACATACAAGAACCTATACTTGTCAGTGTTAGTAGGTTCCAAATATCTGTGGATTAGTTCCCAGCAAACATTCTTTTTTAAAATGAAGAGTTATTATTTGTATAGAATCCAGATAAGCTCAACAAAGGCTTCTGTATATCTTTCATAAATGTGTTGTAAAAGCCATCTCTTTTTTGGGGTTTGGAATATACTCGTGCTACTATTTTCTTTTATTTTTTATTAAGCAAATTTATATCTTAAGTTCAGAGTAAAAATCATTCCATGAGTATAAAAATATTAATTATTTCAAAAATAGCCCAAAATAAATATTTCAGCCACATTTTATACTCCGGCACCACGCAGCATTGGATCAGCCATTTGCAGCCCCACAGCATGCCCACTGCCTCATCACCTCCCTACCTGGTTCTGTCACCTTCTCCTCTTCCTCCTCCTCCTCCTTCTCCCCCATCCTGCCACCTTGAGTGACAGCAGCTGAGCTTCCCTTCCAAAAGCCAGGCCTGCTGTCTCTGCACATGTGCCTACCTATCAGCTGATGGGCAAAGGAATGCACAGAGACAGCAAGCCAGGCTTCCAGAAGGGAAGACAGACCTGAAGTGGAGGAGATGGCAGAAGTGGAGGAGACAGTAACAAGACTAGATTGGGAGGTGTGGCTGAATGAACCAGGAAGTTTGTTGAATTGTAAAAAAAAGTTTGTGATTCGCATCAGTTCAGGTTTGTCGGTTTTGATGAACCCAAACCACCTGAACCAACGAACCAACGATTTTGAATGAACTTCCTGGTTCATTTTTTTACTTCGTGCCTGTCTCTATTTAGATATAATTTCTGTTCATACACTGATTAAATTGGACATGGCCTTTTGGTAAACATTCCATTATCTAAAGGTTGGGGATAAAATACTTGAAAGATTCTCCTTCAATGACTCTTTAACAATTACTTTTTTTAATGGACGTGAATTCATAGATAATGAAGGCAGGAGAAGTTTTTATCTCATTTGGCTGTTTCCCATTTCTTTAAGAAATATGTTTTTTGATAGTTCTGTATTTTTCTCTACTTCTAAACAGTTGCCAAGGGTTTTTTAATAGGCTGTACTATTGTTGTTCAAGGTCATACAGCTCATTATTTTTCTCTTTAACAAAAACAGCTTCATTGCCAAGGCATTTACAGTCAGATTGCTTTCTTTTAAATTTTTTCCATTGGATATCAGAAACTTTTGATTCTTTGATTGTCATTTCCATTTTTGTCTTTGACACATTCAAATGTCATTTAAATTTGTGTATCAGATCAGTGTCTGAAGTCCTTTTGCCCAGCTCAGTGCTTACAAAAGGTGTGACATCATCACAAGAAGCAAACTGCTTCTGATTAAAGGCAATTTTGTTGTGTACTCAACTCATCACAATTGTGCATGCAGAGCTCCACAGCAGGATTTCAGCCACTATGTCAAAAGTATTGGTTGAACAGCATGAATGATAGTTGGCTCAGCACTCAGTTTACAAAGTATATACATATTAAAGGCAAGTTAGAACAAGCTTTTATGTTCACAGGTAAAAGAAGCTTCTGTTCAAGCTTTAAAAGAAGCTGGGTTCAGATTGTAGGTGAAGAATCTTTTTGGTTATTAAAAACATTTGGCTGGGCATTTAGTTCCCCAAAATTTGGGAATATCTTTATTGTCCCCAGGTTGTTTTCCAATTTTGGGTTGTCATAATGAAACAGAAAGCAAAAGTAACAGAACATATACCTCATTTTGTTTTACAGTGCAGGCAGAAAACAAAGATGCTTTGTACTTTGTTGGATTATTTCGTGTTGCCAACATTGAATTTCTTCCAGAGTATCGGCAGAAGGAATCTAGGGAGTTCTTCTCTATAGCACAGAATGTGCAGCGAGTGGTAAGAAATACTGTACACTGATATATATATCTATACACTGCCATGCCAAGTTATTAACAAATTGCATGAACTATCATGCTTCCAGTCAGGACTTCCATTATGCAATAGTCTTTCTTGTTCATGGAATATGATAAGAGAGTCCATCCAATGTTATTCCCAACTGGTAATCTTGCCATGGTTTGTTATAATTCTTTTGTCTCTTTTCTTATCAGAAAAAAAATTATTAAGAAGAGGGAAGAAATGGAATAGCTGTGCAATGTGTTTTCAATGGTAGTCGGAGTCCTTCTGGAAGCATCCATAACCAAAGGGATATCTACTAGATTCTGCAAAGGCTTTCCCCTTGTGTCATGACAATGAATAAAAATCAGTGCTACAAAGTTCTATTCTATTCCCATGTTTCTTGGCTGACAATAACATGTAGTTCAAGTTAGACAGGGCTTCTGAAGAATAATAAAACACAACTTTCAAAGAATTAAAGTTAGTGAAAATGGAACACTTTGCTGCCCAGGAATGGGGTGGTGGTGGTTGATATCTAATAGGGCTTCTCAGTTACTAATGTCTAAAAATGTTTTTTAAAGGTTTCCAGAAGAGTCACAGAAAGGTAAAAGATGAAAAGGGATCATTGCTTAGTTTTATTTTATAGGCAGTTATCACTGGTGCCCATTGTGGTTGGTGGGCTGGACAATACAGCAGCCAATGCCTGGCAGAGTCAAGGTGACAGGCAAAGCCAGGGGTAAACTTGGGTATTCACACATACACAAATATTTACATAAGAAGGCTGGTGTGCACATGTTCACACTTATGTACACATTCACTCAGTTTGTGAATGTGTACACTTATGTACACATTCACTCAGTTTGCGAATTTTCTGATCCTAAGTGAAAGGGGTTTCTCAACATAAAGGGAGACACAATGTAAAAACCACATGCAATTGCTTACACCAAAGTAAAGAAACCAGCACTGGTATTTGTTAACAACAACATTCATAAGAAAACTGGTGGTTTTTTTTTTCATTAACAAGCTGCATTTTAAAAATCAACAACCTTGGGGCTATATGTGGGGCCCAAGGGGATACAAAATGACTTCAGGATTGAACACATCCTATAAGCCACCCTTTCCCCTACTTTATATACTTTTTCATACAGCTAAAATACGTCCTCCCCAAAGGTACAGCTTGGGAAGGTGACTGTTTTGGAGTACTACTCCCAGAATCCCCAGTGGTTTCTAGGAGCTGCAGTTAATTAAGAAATTAGCTTCTCCAAGATCACATGAATGTCTAAATAGTACAATATTGTGTCATGATCTCATTGTTTCACTGCTCCCACCAACTATAACCACTGCACTGGGCAAGGAGCTAATAGGGAAATGTTAGCACACTTGTCTAATGTCAGCTGTGTCTCTTCAAAAAAAATATTTCAAGAGAAATATGGAAGGAGAAAGGGGCAGCTGAAGCAACCATACATATCCAAATAATGGGTACTTAGAGCCTAGATTGAGACCTTTTTTTTTTTTGATAGTACAATCTCATCACTCACTGACTGTTGATACATTTCTGTTTTGAGCAACTAGTTTTGAAAACTTTCTTCCTGGAAATATATTGTGGAATGGTTGTTAGAAGAAGAATACCAATGCAGCTGCAAAAATCAAATTAACCCAACCCAACATAAACTTCTTAGTATAAGCCTGCTTGCCACTTATATTTTTGTTTGTTGAATAAGCCTCATCATTTGAGAGAGAGCTCTGATTCCACATTTTGATTACTCAGGTTGGGCAATAGCACTTTGAGGCAAAGTTCTCTCCCTACACAACTGCTTGAGCAAATATTTACAGGACTATAATTCCATTTGGTAATAGACATGGGAATGATTCTACCTAACTCTCACCCCTGTTCAGTGTGCCCTGATTCATCCTGTTACCTCAGGTGATTAATGCCCTGGGCCAGCCCTACCTGTAGACAGAGGGAGGCAGCAACCTCTGGCATTGGATGCTGGGTGATACAGAGCTATGGCAGTGTTTTGCAGGAGAAAAAGTTCTGTGAAGTAGAGCTGTGTGTCTGTGACCCTTTAGGTGGCCTGCTGTCCTCAGGTAGGATGCAGATTTCTTCCCTTCAGAAAAGTCAACAGTGACCAGTCCAGGTGGAATAGGGGCACCATCTTGTCCCTTTGCCTTTGGCAGCAAAATATCTTTGTCTAGTCCTCAAAGAACTTCACCTTTCAGGCAAGAGCAACTAGTGGACTGGGATGGGGAGGCACTTCACCATAGTTACAAGCTATCCTGCCTTTCAGGTACACTTTTAAGAGACAGCTAACCAAGAGCTAGAAGAAAAGCTTTATCAGAATTTGAAAAAGAAACTGTATACAGTACATCTTATGTACCATTAGTCCTTATCTAAAGGACTAAAATATGTCCTAAAAAGTAACTTTGCAGAGTTCTGAGTGTAATTGCCAAGCAAACCCAGACTGTCATATGCAAGCCTCTTCTACATTCAAAAATAAGCACATTTATGTACAGTAATGATACAAAGAGCCTCCTACACTCCTTCTTTCACAGAAGATTAGGAACAAAATAGTTCCCCACTAAATTTTTAATGATTATTAGGAATATACAGGACAGTGAAATTTCTGATACTTGTAGATGATAGATCAATACTCAGCCAAGATGATCCTTAGCAATGCCATGTCTCTGCAGGATTACCAAAACTTTTGTGAATTTTCTTTTTCAGATGAACTTGGTATATACCAAATCGGCTTTCTCCAAATTTTATAAGCAATCCATTGTTTCAGATGTCAGGTGGGAGACATTTAATTTTACTTCTGTAGCTTGAGATTTTAGAGAAAGTAATGCCACTAATTTTGCTGTCTTTATTATCAATGTTTAAGGAGCATATCTTGTTGTAAGGCAAGGATCAACTTGTTCCAACACATGGCTCACTTCTATAAAAAAATCTTACACTTATCTTGGATTTGTAAACAGATTGAGGAGTGAGTTTGTTTCTGTAATAATTTTAAAATGTAAATGCTAATGAGTTTTTTCAAAGTTATGTATAAAGAGAACTTTATTAAGACATTTTTTCAAAGCATTTTGCTGTAAGATGGAAAGGAAGTATTGTTCTTTCTTTCTTTCTTTCTTTCTTTCTTTCTTTCTTTCTTTCTTTCTTTCTTTCTTTCTTTCTTTCTTATTTTAAAAATGTTGTCAAGATACAGTATCATGATTGGTCACCAGAGAAAATCAGGGAACATTTTTCTCTTTTAAAAAAATATTGTCAAGGTACAGTATCATGATTGGCCACCAGAGAAAATCAGGGAACATTTTTCTCCCATGTGGAAACAACAATGCAAGGTGATAAAATGTATGATGTTTCTACCCTGACTATGACACAATGTGTCTTTGCATCTTATTTCAGTAATAACAACCATGGAGGACTTCTTGTCCATTTCTGGATTGTATTCGTGGTCCCACAAGCAAAAGGTCAAGTGTTTTGCGAAGACTGCATAGCAGCTATTTTAAAGGACTCAATTCAGACCAGTATCACTAATCGAACTTCAGTAGGGAGCCTTCAAGGCCTTGCTGTCGATATGGACTCCATAGTGCTCAGTGGTTGGTATTTCTGTTAAACCTGGAATGCATTTTATCTTATGGGCTGTACCTAAAAAGAATGGCAACCCTTGTGTGCAGCTGATAGCTTTGTTGCATTAGAATAATCATGATGCTTCAGATGTGTACTAAGGATCCCCAGTGTGATATTGTAGAGTGATGGATTAGGACTCTGGAGAACAGGGTTCAAATCCCCACTTAGCACAGAAACTCACTTGTGATAAAACCACTCCTTAAATATCTCATTTACCTTGAAAGCCCTATTAGGGTCGCCGTAAATCAGTTCCGACTTAATAACACAGTAAACATAAGATGTGTACAAATTAGAGATGGGGGTATTCATATTCGTATACAAATATGAATACCCCCACACAGGTGGACATAATGAGGGTCCAGCCTCCTGGGGCTGGACTGTTCACTTACCTTCCACTGTTGCAGCGAGCTCTGCAATCCTTTCCTATTGCTCCGGAGCTCGCGGTCTGCAAACCACTCCTGGCAAGAGGCAGGAGGACGAGCCTCACTGCAAGGTCGAAACTGCGAGCTCCGTAGCGATAGGAAAGGATCACGGAACTCGCAGGAACAGCAGAAGGTGAGTGGACAGTCTGGCCCCAGGGGACTGAACCCTTGTTATGTCCACCTGTGCAGAGGTAGTTGTATATGACTACCCATACCCCCATCTCTAGTACAAATGCATTGGAGACTCACTGAAGATGATTCTTGAATCTGAAAAGGCATTATGATAGCTGCTGTTTCTTATTTCTGAACTATTTCTGCATGGCTCTTAAAATTCATTTAGACCTAAATCCAATTGTTAGTCCCAGTTAGAGAAGACCCATTGAATTAATTGCTGAATGTCGGATCAATACTGATGGAAACCACACTGATACAGTGGGTTGACTCTAATAGGGGCTAGAAATTGGATTTAAGCCTCTTGGGTTAATGATGGGTTCCATTTACTGAAACGACTTCACGAAGCCAAGCACTTATTTGGACAATACTAGCACTTCCTCTGATTGTGGTATGACATTTAGAAACACTTGGTTTGTCCAGTACTATTTTGTGTTTAACCATAAAAGGCTCTTCAAAGCCTTCAGAAGAGCAGTTTCACATCAGCTACTGCCTGAAGTGAATGAAGTTTCAGCATAGTTTACTTTTTTTGGACTATAACTCCCAGAACCCCTAAGCTAGCAAGGGCAGTAGCCATGGTTGCCAGGTGATTCAAGGAACCATAATTTAGAAAAGTTCTTTCTCTGAGCTTTCAGTATGATCTTACTTCTCCCTTTCTGTGAGTGTTCGTTGTAATCCATGCATATATTCTCCCTATTTGAGTATGAGGAAGTCAATTAATCTTTGAAAATTGTAGATTTTGGTGTCTTCACAAATTGATATGAACTTCTGCTAAAGTTTTGAACCAGTGACTGAAATGCTGAAGGATATTATTTATTTATAGCGTCCACTGGTCTTTTTTTTTTTTTTTTGGCAAACTTTTAAAACTATGGGCAGATTTATTTTGTATTTTTCCCCCCCAATATAGTTGGGCTACGATCAGATTACTCTTCAACAACAGGAACAGGTAGGCAACAAATTTTCTTAATGACCTCATTATAACTGATACATGAACATTGTACAACCAAAACTATATTTTGGTACAGTGCTAAATGTAGGATTTGTCTCTAATCAGGTAATTTAATCATAATATCTGACTTTTGCTAAGGGCTTTGGAATGTTCAAAGTGCTATATAAATTGTAAGCTTTGTAATAGTCCCAGAAGGTTAATTAAATATTACAAAATACGCCTTCTCAAAAAGTTCCAAGCCTCAAAATCTCAGAATTTTCTTCCTTCAGAACAATGGTTCCCAACTTTGGTTCCCCAGATGTTCTTGGACTAAAATTCCCAGAAGCCTTCACCACTACCTGCACTGGCCAGGATTTCTGGGAGTTGTAGTCCATGACATCTGAGGACCCAAGGTTTGGAAGCACTGCTTTAGAAGATTAAGCACTTGCAGTTTGTGATGCTTTTAAACTTTAAATGTATGAGTAGAGCATCATCAGAGATTAGTAATATGTCCATTCTTTCTAGGCAGTAGATTTAAAGTTGCTTAATGTCCAGAGGCAAAAGCCCTGCCTCCACCCATAAGTGGCTCCCAGCTTCGTTTGCTTAGATCAGTGGTTCTTAACCTTTGTTACTCGGATGCTTTTGAACTGCAACTCCCAGAAACCCCAGTCAGGACAGCTGGGGGTGAAGGCTTCTGGGAGTTGCAGTCCAAAACTCCTGAGTAACCCAAGGTTCCCACATGAGGATTTCACCCTCTATAACAGATAGACATAACTGAGCGATCAAGGCCAACAAGGAGGACTGTGCTCTTACTCTAGTGTAGTTCTAATAGTATGGCAATGAAAGCCCACCATGGATTTCTCACCTTCTGAACAAGGAAGAAGGGTCCTCCCCTGCTCAGACCATAGGCCACCTATGTCAATGGCTGATGCTTGTCCCAAAACTGCTGCTTCTTTTGTGCCTTTACACCTTTTTTCTTGCCTATCATCCTGTCTGGTCAAGTTAGTGAATCTCTGGCTCTCGAGATGTCAAAGAATTCCTGTCATATGTCAACATGAGTCAGGTTGACTATGGCTGATAGGAACCAAGGTTCCACATATTCCCCAGCCCTGTACTAGGTAATGTGCAGTAAATATTGTAAATTTCTGCTGATAAATTAGCAAATCTGTAATAATTTATAATGTACAGTATTTTGGAATGGTACTTTTAAACACTTCTCTTATTTATGCAGTTTGGCAGTTTTTCAAAGAGGTAGCTCATCATGATTAAAATCATACACACACAAAAAGAATATTGTGGTACCTTATAAACTAATCAACATATTTCAGTGAGAGATTTATGGAAAACTTGTAATCCATGAGCTGACATTGGGATGCCATTTGGCTATTTGCATGCAACATTTCATAAATTAATGTTGCAAATGTGAACCACACTCATATTTTATCCTTAACATGAGGGCAAGAAAACAGTCTTCACTAACTTTTATTCCTGTCTTTTTGCAAGCATGATAATACAGGGCCAGAGTTTTTGAACTGGGTTGTTTCCACAGGTACGAATTGCATATATGATCTTCATGCCGATCAATTGCATCAGCACTTTCCACTTGACATTTCAAGAACATCAGGAAGAATGCTCTGCTATTTCAAACTGATTGCATTGGTTGGCTACCTAATTCGTCTCTCCATAGCAACCATTCAGATGGAAGCAGATAACTGTATCACTGATTCGTTGACCATTTATGATGCCCTGATGCCAATCAAAAGTAAGATACTGTATCGGTAGGTATGCCTTTTCAACAGGATCTCTTTCTAATAACTTTAGCAGAAAACCAGAAATCAGGTTTGATTTGATCTAGCTTCTCTGGGACAACAGAGGATGAGATGACTGGACAGTGTCATCGAAGCAACCAACATGAATTTGACACAACTCCAGGAGGCAGTGGAAGATAGGAGGGCCTGGTGTGCTCTGGTTCATGGGGTCACAAAGAGTTGGACACGACTAAATGACTAAATAACAACAAAGCTTCTACTTATTTATCTTTCCAGCAGTTCACAGTATTTTTAAAGGTTGAAATTAGTCTATTGTAATAAAACAATTGTCTTCTGGCAGTTTGAAGACAAACTAGTTTTACTTGACATAAGCCTTTGTGGATCTTAGCCTACTTATTTTCATCTGAAGAAGTGGACCACAATTCACAACAGCTTATGCCAAATAAAATTTAATGCCTAGTAATGATACCCAGTGTGGTGGAGTGGAAAAAGTGATGGACTAACAAGGCCTGAGTTCAAATCCCTGCTTAACCATGGAAGCTCACTGAGGAGTGGCACTAGTAAAGCCACTCCTTGCATATCTCACTGACCTTGAAAGCCCTATTAGGATCGCTATAAGTCAGTTCCAACTCGACAGCACATAATAATGAAGCTGCAAGATACTAGTCTTTTTCATACACTTTACATACAAAAAAATTCCATTTGTTTCAGAATTTGTGAACCAACTACTTCATTCCTGTCTTTTGTTTCTACTAATAATCTCATGCTGGTTACAATGAAGTCCACACAAGGAAGGAAGGTGAAAGAATTCCATGGCTATTTTGAAGTCATTCCACAAGAAAGTGAGTTTTCTTATTTTTAAAATGTGGTCATTCTGGTCATAGCTGTGCCATTATTATTATTATTATTTTTGAAACAGTAAACATCCTTTCCCAGATAAAACATGCCAAATTTACTTTATCAAATCTATCAGCCTTTTACCATTTGTCCAATTATTTTCTCATTCCATCATCTATCTGTTGCCAGTTCTTGTTATTACTGTTCACCTCTCCCCCATTTCTAAACCGGTTCATCTGTGTAAACACTCCAAATAACCTGAAAACATATTTAGTCCAAGAAGTATCCTCAGTATTCTAGGTGATATTGCAAGGGATTTGGGGGGTATATGGCTCAGTTTATTTGATAGATCCACTTGGAGTGCAAAATGACTTGGGATTTCTTTGCTAGAATCTCATCTATCTAAGAAAAATCCAGCTAGTGATCCAACAAAACAATACTTATGTGTTTAGAAACAATGCTGTCTTCAGTGACGAAAGGCATATTTTTGTCTTAGCGGTTGAAATCCTGTTGCTTAGTGTAGTAAGTCACTAGAATAAGTCCACTGAATCTGTGTGGATTTGTTAAGCCAACTCTTCTGCATTGATTCAAATGGACCAACTCTAGTTGTGGTTTAATTTAATTTAGTATGTTGCACCTGAAGCATGCCTAATATAAATCAATGGAACATATGGAGGAGCTGACCTACCAAATTCCCACAGATTCCATGGGTCTACTCCAACTTACTACACCAAGCAACAGGATTTCAGCCAGTACTTATTGTTCATCATCTCCCTATTCCAGGAGGAATTGTATTATCATTTGCCATTAGAAAGTAAATAGTGGCTTAATTGCAAGTCTAATTTCTGAGGCACACAGTTTTGAAGAAATCTTGTGATCAGAGGAAAAAATTGCCAATTGCTGGGTTCTAATTACATGGTAAGGGCAAAGCACTAATTACATTTTCTATTATAGTAGCAAACTCTATACGTTATACTTTGTGGCACCAGTAGATGGTGCAGTTGTCATATACACACAGCTCTTGATACATATTTTAAAAACTGTGTTTCTTACATTTAATGTTCTACTTGTAGCTAATAAATTTTAGAAGTTCTGGCGGGGGCATTCTAAAATAATGAAGATGCTTACTTTGTGCAGATACAAATAGATAAAAATTAGAGATGAGCATGTTTGTCAGTTCGTGCTGGTTCATTTTTTGGCCAAACAAGTGTTTGGTACTTCCCAGCGGAGGAGGTCGAACAAAGTAGCTGGGGAGCTGTTTCTGAATGGTACATGCATGTGGGGGGAGGCGTACATGTGTGCGTCTGTGCGTGCAGCCGTGCATACATTCCTTCGGCCCTCAAAAATGTTGAAAATATCTGGTGTGGCCCTCACGATCAAAAGTTTGGAGACCCCTAGCCTAGAAGGATGTTGCTGACCTGGCATGGAGGAACAGACCAATAGTTTTGCTCCCCAAGGAAGTGCAACCCCACTCCTGTAAGAATACTTCAAAGTTCTACTCCCAGGAAAGAGAAAGAAAATGCACAGTCATAACATGGAGAATACTTGGTTCAGCTATACCAAGCATCTGAAGGGTCTTGTTGTTGATCACAAGCTGAATATGAGCCAACAGTGCAATGTGGCTGCAAAAACAAACAACCCCCCCCCCAAAAAAAAAGAACACAAATAGCTATTTAAGGCTGCATTAACAGAAGTATAGCCACAAAATCACATGAAGTCCTGGTTCCTAAGATGTCAACAAACTGGAATAAGTTCAAAGGATGAGGATGATCAGGGGCCTGGAAATCAAGCCAAAAGAACTGGGCATGTTTAGCCTTGAGAAAAGAAGACTGAAGGGAGATATGATAGCATGCTTCAAGTACTTAAATGGTTGACATATAGAGGAGAGTCAGGCTTTGTTCTCAGTCTTTCCAGAGTGAAAGGCAAGTAATAATGGGCTCCAGTTACAGTAAGATAGGTTTCAACTGAATATCAGGAAAAGCTTCTTGTTAGAGCAGTATGAGAGTGGAACCAATTACCTCAAGATATCTTGAGTGCTTCAACACTTGAGACATTCACAAAAAATCTAGACAACCACCTGGCAGATATCCTTTGATCTGTATTACTGCATTGAACAGGGGGTTGGACTTTATGGCTTTATAGGGCCCTTCCAACTTCACTGTTCTATGATTGTCTTATTCTAATTCTATGATATTGCCATGAAAATAGCACCCAAAAGTTGCTTTTCTGGAGACAGATGAGTGCAGGCTTTCCCTTAATAAGGAGGTGAATGAGGTTTCTTTTATAGTTGTTGATCAATAGGGAGAATCAGACCCTATGCCAACAAGAACAGGGCACATTGGGCCTATAGTCCCTTTCCTAGCGCAATTGGTGTTTTGGTTAACAAAATTTCCGCATTACGTAACATCATGTAGAATGGATTAATTTCATAAACCGAGGTACGCCTGTATGTACATTTCTAACTGCTGAAGTACTGGAGTCACTGGGCTTTATTCCCTGGCAGCTGCTCTCCACAGCATTTAATTTCCCTGCAAATGAGGGGTTACTTTGGTGTTGTATGGCTCCTAGGCCTTTCCTGCTTCGATCTTCATCTTAAACCTTCTTTTTACTTAAGTTATTCTAGCTAAATGTGCAGATGAACGCTTGCATTCTTGTATGGCTTGATGACCTGATGTTAGCAAGGCAGAGGTAATTGCCTCAAGCATAGAGTTATGGAAGTGACAAATCATGACCATACCCCTATGCTTCAGTCACGATACCTAGTCACTTCAGGAAGACAGGGGACTATCTGAACAATGCTTGACCTCACTAGAGTCCTCAGAGCCAGGATGCTGCAGGAATGCTTGCTTAAAAACAACAACAAATGAAGCCAAAGACAAATTACTGTACCTACGAGGTATTGGAGTTATGTATTACTTAAATAACAACCTTGCTTCTTTCATTAGCAACACAACTGAAGTACAATGAAGTAGTGGAGGACAGCATCATTGCTGTTCTTCCTCACTTATTTTGTTTTCTTTTTGGTATTGTTAGTATTGTGAAGTGGGGAGAGAGAACCATTTTGCTTCTTGCTTCAGGTGGTAGGAAGGCCTGTGCCATCCATTGCTGCATGTCTGCACTTCCGGAGGTGAGGCAGCTACAGTGATGCCTCGCTTGACAACGTTAATTTATTCCAGCGAAATCGCTGTAGAGCGAAAACGTTGTCAAACGAAATTAAAAAACGCATTGAAAACCCCTCAGTGCGTTCCAATGGGCTGAAAACTCACCATCCAGCAAATATTCTCCATAGGGGCGGCCATTTTCGGGTTCCTGTAAAGCGAAAAATGGCTCCTAAACACAGTGGGGAGCCATTTTGTACATCCAGTGGCCATTTTGAAACCAGACGATCAGCTGTTTGCTGATCATCGTAAAGCGAAAATCGGTTCCCGAAGCAGGGAACCGATCATCGCAAAGTGGGAAAACCATCGTTTTGCGATCGCAAAAGTGATCACAAAAACCTCACCGTCAACCGGATTCGTTGTTAAACGGGTAATCACAAAGCAGGGCATGACTGTATTATCTGTCACCATTTCTCTGACATACACATTTCACCTCTATCATTTCTGATGGTCATGACATGTTTTTAATTCATTTTATGCTATTTCATAGTGATTTGTTTGTTACTTTTTGTACTTGTGAAATTTCCATTGTTTATCTCATTCTCCTTGACATTCGTTTAAAAAAAGGAGGGAAGAGTATACAATGTAAAATAAAAGTAAAAGATAAAGAGCTGTAATCCCATGCATGTTTATCTAGGTCCTAGATTCTAGGAGTAAATCCCTTTGGACATAATAAGATTTACTTGTGAGTAGGGAAGTATAGGATTGCAATGCACATTCAGATACAGAAAGAAAATAATAGCTCGTCTTCAATGACTGACTCTTGTTTTTTTTGGATGGTGTGTTAATAAATTACAAACATTCTGCTTTTTCTTGTCAGAATGTGAGAAAACTATACTCGCATTAGGAAGTGCTGGTTTTGAAGGGAGAATCATGAGTCCCTACTACCCAAGCTACTACCCACCAAAATGCATTTGCACTTGGTCTTTCCAGGTAATTTTAAATCTTATTGTAATGCATTTGGGTTCATCTAGAAACAGGCCTCTTCGTCTGTACTGTATCTTTCTTTTGGTGAGATGAAGTTGCAGGCCTTTGAGCTCTTTGATCTCGGGACAAAGCTTGCGTATCTTTTTTCTCTTTTTGGTCAAGTAGCTCTAGGAGTAGATGAAAGGTTTCCTTGTGAGGCAGTGGAAAACTGCACCTGCTCTTAGCCTCTGCCAGCCTGGGCATTCTCTCCCTAGGCGCTCATGTGTTGGCAGCTGAGCTGTGGCAGCCACTATCGCTCCTTGTAGTCTGGCACACGGAAAGCAGAAACTGCTGCTGAGATGAGCACCCTGTGGAGAGCTTTGAACCACAGAAATGCTGGGGGGGGAGGGCGTCCAGGAGGAGATTTGTAAGCCAGTTCACAGGCTTGGCAGAAACCCTTTCTCTTACTCCCAGCCATATTGGATCTGGAACTGTTTTGGAACCCACTTGTCAGGAAGGGGAAATGATTCTGTGCTAAAGGTGAGGGAGAAATAGATTCTGTTCATGTTGTATCATACCTCAGCCGAATTTGCTATGTGAACAGAAACAGTTATTCTTCAGTGCTCACAATCTCCAGATTTTTCACTGCAGCTCTCCTGTCACAACATGTGCAGAAAATGCAAACAGATACCTGTATATATCAGTAGGGTATTAAGCATTAAAATGCATTGTATTGAGGGAAAGTGAATTGCCCCAATGTATCGACTAAAGGAAAAGTGCATACAAAAACCCACATGAGCTTTTTCACCCTCTCCAAAATTTACAAAGTGATAAAAGAAATGAGATAGACAAGCCACCTAGAGTGGTCGTTTGACCAGAGAGGTGGGATATAAATAAATAAATAAAATAAAATAAAATAAAATAAAATGAATGAATGAATGAATGAATAAGTAAATAAATAAATAAATAAATAAATAAATAAATAAATAAATATGTTAATCTGGAAAAATGAGAAACTAAGCCTCTACTTAAACATTATACATCTGAGTGTAATCAGTTCACGTGAAAGGGATTGTACTGGCCTCATCCCCTTATCTACCATTCCTATCACACTATAACACATGAAAGGTGGTTTTCTGAAGTGCAGAGTGTCTTCTATGAATACAGGCTGTTCCTATGATAGAAATAGTGCCTTTTCAGGGTTTAAAATGCTGTGGGAAGCCAACATGAATGCAGAAATCATTCCCTTTCAAAACGCTGCCCTTTGTGACCAGAGAGCTATGACAGAGGGACAGGCACATTTCCCTCATGTTGATTATAGCCCCTGATTCTGAAACTGATCAGCTTCATGCCCCTTCATGTCCATTTACAATTCTTTACCATCATCTAACTCCATAGTAACAACAAAATCAATTCATAATTTAAAAGTAAACTTAAAAAAATTAGCCAAAATTATTTTAATTTTAAAAAATAATATCTGTGTAAGCTGACAAAAATATTCTTTTTTGTAAAAAATAAATCAGTCTTGCATGCCCCTGAAATTTCTTCATGTCCTGGGGACAGGGGAAACACACACACACACACAGAGAGAGAGAGAGAGAGAGAGAGAGAGAGAGAGTTTGGGCTCCAGTGATCTAGATCAGTGGTTCCCAACCTTGGATAACCTAAGTGTTCTTGGACTGCAATTCCCAGAACCCCCACCCAGCACAGCTTGTGATGAAGACTTCTGGGAATTGCAGTTCAAGAAACCTGGGTAACCCAAGGTAGGAAACCACTCATCTAGGTGCAACATACTTGAATTAGGCCTGAAAGAAACGTACTAAATGAAAGCTTTCTTCCTCAAGCAAGGTGCAGCCATGGTAGTGTTGCTGCAGGTGACTTATGAAGAGTCACCTTTATAAGTCACGTGCAGCAACATGGCTATGACTTGTGAAGGGTCACCTTCATAAGTCATAGCAGGGGAGGGAAGTAAACTGCATACCATATAATTTTTCCCTCCTTGGGTGTTTTCTTTCATCTTTATTATTACTAGTGTTTAATATGACTACTAATTAGTATTTCCTGTCCCAGATGAAGCTCTCATGTGTATTTAAAAAAATTAAAGTTGTCCAATTAAATTTTCCTTAGTTGTAAAAAAATGTCAAATATATTCCTTCTTTCTAAAAAAAACACCACAGACTCCACAGAAGAATCTTGGTGTAGCACTGAAATTTCATAACTATACTATCAGTGAAAAAAGCATGAAAGGCTGTGAGCATGGATGGTGGAAGATTAATGAACATATGTAAGTATATTGATGCAGTCTATACAACTACACAGCTGATTAGCATTCCCCCACGCAGAGAGAGGCAGCGAGCATACTGACAAAGCAACATATCTTCTATCAGTTCCTACATATTGATCATGATTTGGATATTGTCTGGAATGTGAAATTTACTGTGTTTATTTCCTATTCTGCTTGATGTTTGTGCATCATAGGCATCTGTGAGGCAAACTACACATTACAGACAACTCATCAATAGAAAAAGAGTTGCCTCAAATGCTGAAAGACATGTGGCACTCAAAGTAGGAACTTTTTGCACCTCCCACAGTTTTCAATTTAACTTCTTTGTTTTTGTCATTTTTCTTCTACCCATAAACATGGGCTTGGGTTGCGAGAATGACTGTTCATGTTTCTGGAACAATAAGAGAGTTTAGCTTCCAGTGATGCCCTTCGCTATCAGATCAGTTGTTTGTGTGATAGGCAAATAAATCAGTGCAGAAGGAAACACACTAAAGGTTTTGATAGAGTTGGTTGCAGATCTGATGGGAAGTGTAATGGTTTACTCCCACATGAAGCATTTCAAATGTGGATCTCAGAAACGTTATAAAATGCAATTCAGAGGGCATGTCCTCAGTGGCAGAATAGTTCACTATTTATATCACTTTTGGTGTTTACGGTGTCCCCATGTGTTTTGATTTAGAGTTATCTATCCTATCTCTTTTTACAGCTGTCCTGCTTCTTTTTAGCACAGTGCTGTGGCTATTGTTGTGGGGGTGTTGGTGTGATTCAGAGTGCTCCTAATTGACCCACTCTGTAGTCCGTGCAGATGGCAGCAAAATAGATTTGTGGGTGGTGTTATCTGAGGTGACAATCCTGTGATGTGTTCAGTGGGTTGTGGCATGGAAAGGGGTGACGGAGCACCCCCTTCCTCTATTTTCATCTACTGTGCAGATGGCAGCAAAATAGATCTGTGGGTGGTGTTATCTGAGGTGACAATCCTGTGATGTGTTCAGTGGGTTGTGGCATGGAAAGGGGTGACGGAGCACCCCCTTCCTCTATTTTCATCTACTGTTCAGTGGGTTGTGGCATGGAAAGAGGTGACAGAGCACCCCCTTCCTCTATTTTCATCTACTCTAACATTTTAATTAGACAGACACACAGACCTATCTACCAATTGGTACAACACTATTTTAGGTAAATGAAATAGATTGGTGATATTATGCGTACCATCCTAGAACCCAAAACATTGCTGTTTTCCCATGTTACTTACTTTATTTAACAACAAAAGGGAAGTGAATGCGACCTGCTGAATGGAGGATGTGGGAAAAGTTTGGGAAAGAGGCAGGTGAATGAGACCTGCTGAATGGCGGATGTGGGAAAAGTTTGGGAAAGAGGCAGGAAGGGGAAAGTCATAAACCGAAAGGTGGAGAGATTGGAGCATTCTAAAGACCTGTCTGGATGCTTCCCGTAGGAGAAAAAAAAGTCAGTCAGTGTGAATAGAAGGATCATTCAACTGAGAGATAAAATAGATCACACTAAATAAAGATAACATTTTAAGCGTGAACCAGAAAGCTCCAACTTCCACTACCTGGATGTGTCCTGTGACTCTCCTTGTTCCACCTCAAAAGCTAACATGTTTCTATCTTGCAGGTACTGTGGCTATTACATTGATCATCAAACCATATTCAGAATTGCAAGCTTTCTGGTTAATGTTGAGTTTCAGTGTAGTTCCAGGCTTTCAGAGCAGCCATTTCTTGTGGAATATGGAAGCTACAATATCAGCCAACGTAAGACAAGCTGTCAGTTTCTTTTGTGCCTTGTGAAAAGCTATCTGAATGAAAACACAGGAAGGTGTCACTGACATGTAGGATAATACTACATCCTCTGCGTGGCAGCAATTAACTTATATTGGCAGGGGTCCAATTTTAGATGTGTACAATGGGCTAACAAGAGCTAACTTATGCACATCCTTGTCATCATTGCAGTCCCTGCAGCCTGTTGTACAGATGATTGTGTGGTCCTTATGAATAGGGTGAAATTTGGTGCATATTGGAGGTGGAGGAAATGACTCATTACATGTTTAAATAGTTATATACAGACAACTACCCAATGTGGTGTAGTTGATAAAGTAATGGACTAGAACACAGGGGGCCTGGGTTTGATTTCCTATTGTCGGGTAGAACTGGTAAAACACTCCTGAAATACATCACTTGTCTTGAAAACCCTATTAGGCCATTATAGAATTCATTGGTTCTGACTTGATGGCATGTAATACAGCTCAGTGGTTTAGGCATCTGGCTGCAGAGCCAGAGGTTGGGAGTTTGATTTCTCAGTGTGCTTCCTTGAGCTCTGCAATTCATTGCACTAGTACATACATGTTTAATGTGCCTATAGATAGCACAAAGCTTATGTGTTAGGAAAAAATGGACAAACGCCATATTCTGCAGATTTTACTACTACAAAATACTGCTATAAAAAGCATATCAGGCAAGGTTAGAGATTACATAGCTGATAGTCCAATGGTACTGGAAGGGCCACAGATTCCTCAGTCTTATATTTGACACATACAATGTTCACTGTAGTGAAAAACTATTGTTGATATTAAATATACCAACAAAAGGTACAGTTCGGTTTTTATTCATATTGTTTGATTTTTGCATGCATTGGCTATGTTTGAATATGATTTCTTTGCATGGGTGTGTGGGGACATCAGTGGTGGAGCAGATAAGGTGAAAGGTTTGGAAATCAGGCATGCAAGAAAGCAAAGTGGCTGTCCAACGAGGCCTTAGAAATAGCAGAGAGGAGAAGGGAAGCAAAATGCAAGGGAGATAGGGAAAGTTACAGAAACTTGAATGCGGAAATCAGGCTTGTTCACCCTTCCATTGAATGGGTCACCTTGGGGAAAATGATGTTCAGTCTGTACACCCCCCCATCTGAGAATCATCAGAGAAATAACCAAAATGTTAGAGAAGCTCCAAAGAATTAGACCAGGCAAATTCAAGTGTTTGGAAGTGCCCAGTGACTTTCTGACTTTCCCCCTCTGATCAGCAGACCTCCCCCCTCCCCCCATGTTGTATCACACACTTAAATTCCTGTCAGTATCAAAAGACCTTCCCCATAAAGCACAGAGAATGGTCCAAACCTTGACGAATGTAGAATACATCATGTGGTTCTTGGGCTCCAAATCCATGAACCCAGGAAAAAGAAGAGGGGTGCTAGCTTGCACTGAATGCCTCTCATAATGTTTAGCCAGATACAATTTATAAGAGTTAGTATTGGGGTTCTGGTATCTCTTGAAAACTTCTAAAATTTCCTGTGGAAAAGCCAGAGATGGATCCCTTATTTAGGAATACCACACAGGAATAAAGGAGAGATGGAACCAATTCTTCCCACTATAATTGTAGAACATATCAGTAAGAAAATTCGAAAGCACTTGTATCTTCTGTTATCTTTGGCACTATTCCTCCAGAAAATTCTTCTCTTGATGCATGTTGATATTTTTCAAAACATGTTAAAATTGTTGAGCAGCTTTCAAAATAATATTTCAAAGAAATTTTATTAAAGAAAAAAAATGTCAGTGAACTCTTCTGCCTCTTTGAAATGAATAGAAGCAAAAGCTGGCTAGTTTTAAGGCTCTGGCTGCAGATCCAGATGCTGGGAGTGGGGACCCCCCCCCCCACTCCACTAGCTTTAAGGCTCTGGCTTCAGATCCAGATGCTGGGTGTAGGGAATCCCCCACTGTACCTGCTAGACAGGGGCTGGATTCGATGATCTGTAGGGTCTCTTCCAGCTCCTCAGTCCTAAGATTTAAAAAATAAAATAAAATAGAAAAGAATACAGACATTCTTGAAGCACTTAGTTTTGGGACAAGTACGTGACACATCCGTTTTCGTTTGTTTTCTTTTCTTTTGTCTTAATAGTTTTAGTAAAGAGAACATGAAATGATAGTAATAGCTGTTTTCCCTCTTGGTTTTAGCTTGCCCACTTGGATCATTTGAATGCCACACCGGTTTATGCATCCAGCAAATCCGGCGCTGTGATGGGATCAATGACTGCTTTGATGAAAGTGATGAGCTCTTTTGCGGTTAAGTACCAGCAATGTATTGTGGGCTGAAAAAAGAATAATAGTCCTTTTAGCCACACCCTTAAGTGTGACTCCTTTTGGTGATTACCTGAAACTCTTCTTCATCTTTTAGATGTGCCTGAACAAAACTGTAGCACCAACTTCTTAATGCAACACCATTCCATTTTCTGTGATGGAATAAGTGACTGTGAGGAGGGTCAAGATGAACAAAACTGCACTGAAAGTAAGTCCCATTGAGAAAGTGGAAGCAACTATTTACAAAGAACTGATGACCGTTTACAAACAACCGACTGATGCAATTTTACAGCTAAGGCGTAACTACCTTCTGTTACATGTGTAACATGACATGGGATAGCCTTATTCCCTCGGTAGTTTAATTGTAACAGTTGAAAAGAGTGAAAGGCATAGGGAGTCTACTCAGGACTCCCTGGGCAAATGCATCTAGCCAGACAGCCCTTCATTTCCCAAAGCATTGCACTGTTGCAACTCTCTGAAACGAATCAAGAAAGAAAGAAAGAAAATTGTAACTTTTCATGTTATTTCCATGTGTGTGGAAAGTTACTGTTTTGGAGTGCCACTCTCAGCATCCCACAATGGGCACAATGGGGTTATGGCGGGGGAGGCGTTGGCTTCACCAAATGGGGTATGAGGGATATTACATGGATTAAATGTTGGTTTAGGCGATGCCTGTCATTGCTGCCTTATGCTCTCCTGTGGGTGTTGTAATGGCAATGAGATGAACAGGGGAAGAGAGTAGATTATTCCACAGGCCAAAAGTTTGTAGCATTTAAGTTTTTTTAAAGAGACTAAAAAGATAAGGGCCCGAATCCAGAATGTAATTACTTTTGGGAAATGGGAAGTCAAATTATACTATTAAAAATTATAACCATAAGGATAATTACCTATGGTTGTTGGTTTTGAAACTATTGCTACAAAGAATTCCTTTCAAAAAAACAAAACCTTTCTAAGCTCCATTCCCTTCCTGTAAATATATGATTCGATGGTGTTATCACATCTGTCTGTTCAATAGCTGCCAAGAGTGCAAGCTGTAAACTCTGGAGCCTTGGTTCCAGTTTTCCTTCAGCCACAAACTCAAAGGCCACCCACTGGCTAGCCACTTTTTCCTCAGCTTGAGACCTGATCTGCAATTTTTAAAAAAGGGCCCCTTGTTAGAGCATCTATTGGTTGTTCTCTTTCAGGCATACCATGTACCAACAATACTTACAGATGCAGCAATCATGTTTGTTTCAGAAAGCAAAACGCAAAATGTGATGGAATCACAGACTGCCTCGACCAAAGTGATGAAAGCAATTGTAGTAAGTCTACCTAAAGCTGCAGTCCCAAAAGGAGTTATAAAAAGACTCGGCCTTTTTCATCCCCCAGATGCACAGAAGATGGTGCCATTTGGTCTAGCTCTTATCATGTTCCTGTAACACACCCAATGTTATTTTTCAACCATATCTATTTGGGTCACGTGTTCACATGCATAATGGGCAAGTGTGTCTATCAACCTACACTACTTAGACAAAGGCACCTAAAGAGATTTAAACCATGCTGTTTGTAACATGTTGCCTGAACTTCTTCTCTATTTAGGTCAGTAACTAGTTACAACACTGGAATTTCACCCATCAGTTCTTTCTGGCTCCTAATTAGAGATGGGTATGAACTGTTGGTTTGGCAGTTCATAACGATTCATTCTTTAGATGCACAAGTGTTCCATGGGGACCCCAGCTTCCCTCTCCCATCTCTTCCAGCAGGCACCCTCTCAGAGGTAGTGTCCTGGACTTCTGTGCCCTGCCTCCTCCTCTGAGTGAACACCCACCAGGGAAGGAAGCCAGTTATAGTTATTGCATCATTTGGCTAACTCATTCCCCAGAGCCTGAGTGAGCACCCACCAAGGAAGGAAGCCAAGTCACCCCTGGAACATAGTTAATGCATCATTTGGCTAACTCATTCCCCAGAGAACAAATTGTGGGAGAGGGGATAGGAGAAGGGTATGGCTAGAAGCTGCCAAATGGTTGCTACCTCCCTGCACTTTTTTAGCAGCTGTTATGCCTTCAGTGTTTCGTTTCCAATCTTGAGAGGAAAGCACCTCTGGCTCTGTCTGCTGTAGGACTCCGGTTTTCCCTGGGATTTCACATTCTTCCCTATGTATATTCTGTCTGACTCATAGAGTGTGAGCTGCTGATAGAGAAGCTTCCACAAGAACTGAGCTCATCTCAGTTATCACCAGCAGATATGACACTTTGGTTGGTGACAGATTATGAAGCAAGGCTTCTCTGGTCATCTTGGAAAGTCCATGATGCTCAGATGGCCATGAGTTCTGTCAAACAAAGAGAAACTTATTTTTTTCATGCCTCAGTTCCACCACATCGCAGACAAGTTGGGTATAATCACAGACAGAAGAAAACAGAATACCACTAGAAGGGCTGTTCAGAGACCCTACCCAAACAGCTTACCAAGCATTTAGGCCTCAAAGCCACTTGTATGCTTTGAGGGTAGAATAGCTATATTTATATCAGAGACCTCTGAAGCCCCTGCTTCTAATATTTGGAGGTACACCATATAGCCACTGACCTGAAGCAAATGAGGCTTGGGTTTGGCCAGTTTCTGGTGTGGTGAACCTAAGATATCTCCACAAGCTTTCACTAGTGGCTGAAGCTGATATGAACTGGAGTTCATCAACATCTGGAGGGCCACAGATTCCCCAGCTTTGCCATATACAGCTTATATTTACCACTTATTTTTAGATCTTAGCTTGTTAATTTTTTCATATAATAGGACAATTTAGGCATGCTAACCTGAAATGAAGACATTGTATGCAAGTTTTAAGAATGAATAAATATATGGCTTGAGTTCCAAGATAGAAGAAGCTAGAAATGTAAATAATGGAGGGGGGGGCAAACTATTTAGTGAATTATTCAGCCAACTGTTTAAAGCAATGTCATTTTATATCTGGTTTGCTGGAAGTGCTCTATTCTATCATAGTTGGTAAGATAAATGTCGAACTCTTTACATTCTTTTAAAAGGCTGTGGTAGCACTAAATACACCAGTGCACTCCATCGGATCGTTGGGGGTACAGATACACAGGATGGTGAATGGCCATGGCAAGTCAGTCTTCATTTTGCTGGTGTTGCTTATTGTGGTGCTTCGGTGATATCAAAAGAGTGGCTTCTCTCTGCCGCCCATTGCTTTCAAGGGAACAGGTAAATAGTCCACCTTGAATTCAGCCAGAGCCTTTCCTTTCATGATTCATAATGAAACGACATACATAGTATGATACAAAGTCAAGCACAATGAGCTTGTTGTTCTTCCATTAATTTGTAAGGGTCAATCATGCATTTCCAATATTCAATTAGACAAATAACTGGAACTCCTTTGCATGTGCTAAGGGTCAATGCACAAAGCAGCCTGGTTCTTGGCGTTTTCCTCTCTATACATGACAACTCCCTACTCACGGGTAATTTGACTTGCTGAGTACAAAATAAATCTACTAGTTATGTGTGCACCAGCTTTATCCACCACATGCTCAAATTGGGAGCTACTGCAGCCAGAAGAAAATGTGCTCCATTGTTTTGGGCAGTCATGTTAATTTATTTAACATGTTGTTTTTCTTCAGAAAACATTTCAAAATTGCCTCATAATAAACGTAGCTTAACAAAATACTTCACATTTGAGAAACTGGGGAAAAGAAGCAATATGACAGTTCATACAACAAAACATTCAATTTTTTTAAAAAAATTCAAGAAATACAGAATATGCTCATTATTACAATGAAATCATCAAGGTTTAATTTTTTTAAAAAAAATAAAGAACATCAGCATTAATAGGCCAAAATAACAACACCGAACTCTCACTGCTAATACTACTACCATGTTTTCCCTAAAATAAGACCTAATCTGAAAATAAGCCCTAATATGATTTTTCAGAATGCTCGTAATATAAGTCCTACCCTAAAAATAAGCTCCAGTTAAGAGAAACCCCACCCTCCACCCTTGTGCAGCAACCAGAAGAAGATGAGATGACTGTATTTGAATAAATGTAGATTGTTATACATGAAAATAAAATAAAACATCGCTGAAATAAGCCCTAATGCATTGTTGGAGCAAAAATTAATTTAAGACCCTGTCTTATTTTTGGGGAATAGGGTAGTACTGAAAAATACTTGCTAAACCTTCATCTTTGTCATTTATGAGCTGTCAAGTCAATTTAGACTTATGGCAACCCTTTCCAGGGTTTACTAAGTAACAGAGCACGTACTCAGATGTGGTATATTATTCCTTTGGGGGGGATCCCCTGGGGCTGTGCAGCTTGTCCATGACTACATAGGCTGGCTCTTTTCCAGGCTATGCTGAGGGATACTATGAGCTGCAGGCCATCAATATCTGAAAAGCCTCTGGTGCTCTCCTGCTCTGATTCAGCAGGTTAAATGGGAAACAATAATAGTAGTAGTAGTATAGCACAATTATTTGCATACTTACTTATGAGTAAATCTAGCTTTTGAAGGAACTTGCTCCCAAGTAAGTATAAGGGTTTTAGGCTTAAAAGAAGACAGGCGCCATGCATTCTCTTCAATCCATCTTTCTGGTTTAGATACCTCAGCCATTTTTTTTTTAAAAAATTCCCATCCACTCACTCACCCAGGTTGCCTTAAAGAGACAAACAGATACAAGCAAACACAAAAAGCACAACTAGAGTTTTTATGCTCATGTCTCAGAAGTTCAGCAATTGATATTTATCATTTCTATCACTTTGAATTAGGTTATCAGACCCTAGAATCTGGACGGCACATTTAGGGATGCGAATTCAAGGAAAAGCCAAATTTGTCTCTACTCTGAGGAGAATTATCATCCATGAATACTACAATAGCAGGAATTATGACTATGACATTGCCCTACTGCAACTAAGTACACCATGGCTTGACACAATGCAAGGAATTATTCAGCCAATATGTGTACCTCCCACCATGCACAGAGTGCATCCTGGGGAAAAGTGCTGGGTAACAGGTTGGGGACAGAAGCAAGAAGCAGGTAAGCCCAAAACTCCACTTTTTGCCATGTGAACCAGCAGTTGAAGTGTCAGGGTGGGGAATGAGATACATGTTGTAGCCACCACTCAGCTATGAAACCTATGAGTGATGACTGTGAATTATTCACTCTCTTAGCCTGACCTACCTGACCATCTGGTTGTGAGAAGAAAGTAGAGAAGAAAAGAGTCATATATGCTGCCTTCAGCTCTTTAGAATATAAATACAAGTAATAAATAAAACAACACACATGCACAGATTGCATTCATCTGAAGTACTACAAAAAGAGACTCGCTCTGTTCAACCTAAATAAGAGCTGAACTTTGGCAAACAGGATGGAGCAATCTGATTTCCTTCTTTAGGAAATCCTTTCTGTGACTAAATTGGTTTTCTTGTCTATCTTGTGGCAGGTAGCCCTGCTACTGTAGAGTAGGCAGTAAGAATCTGAGTCACTAATCAGGAAACCCAAGAATTGCTCATGTGCAACTCATTCCTCCTTCTCTATAATTTCTCTTCTCCATCTTGCATTATGCATAATTATATCCGCTTTATTGGGACTGTATAGTGTTTTGAACTCTCTGAAGTGCTATCCATAAAAAGCTAATAAAGACAGGACAGAACTTCTGTGATTGAAGAAGAATCACACTCGGCATTATTATGATCATAAAGATTATTGTTTAGATCTGGAATTAGGAGTGCAAGAAAATTATCACTTTTATCTCATTAAACTTCCTAGATACGTACATTTATTTCAGATGATGAAGCTCCAGCAGTTCTACAAAAGGCAGAGGTGGAGGTTGTTGACCAAACATTGTGTCACTCAACATATGGGCTTATCACAGCTCGCATGTTGTGTGCTGGAATGATGTCAGGCAAAAGGGACAGCTGCAAAGTAAGTTTTCTTCCATTGCATTGACATTCAGGCTTGTGCTAGACAACCTAATGCGACTAGTACCATCAATCCTTAATTTCAGCTAGCATGTCATGAATTTGTGAAGACAATCAAAATTTGCATTATGGCAATACTTTTATGAGATGGACCAAGAAATACCCAACATATGTGACAGCTTTAGGTCCATCTCTTCAGTAGGCAAAGATATCACAAAAATCAGCCAGGAGAGAAGGGAGGGTCATTTGAAGTAAAGTGGGCATCATCATGCTGTCTGCATGTGTATTGAGATTTTGTGGAAAGAAGAAACTGAACACTTTCAAATGGGATTCATTGGCTATTAGATTTTATCCTTAATGGCCACAGATGTTATACAATGAATACATGGAAGTTGAGTGGAGATCAAGTAAGATGGGTGACAATTACATTGGCAATGAACTTTCAAAGTGAGATTATATGTAAATTATGTTCTCTGGTCATTATCTCAACTTGGGTGGGTGGTAGAACCACTTGGTATAGAAATGTGATGTCTTGTGATCTTCAGGAAAAACAGATATAGAGTTCTTCTAACTGTAGCGATGGGAGGTGGGTGGTTATGTCTCAGTGTACTGTCTATTATGAAGACTGATGGGTGATAAAGTTGTTGAATTTTTCCTTGAGCCAAAGCTAATGAAAAAAAAAGCGTTGATGGGATAAAAAGATAGGCCTAGTGAAAGGACTAATTCTCTTACTTGGATTAGCCTATGGCTGGATGGATTTATAATATTATTCTATAAATTCAGAATAAGTTAGAAAAATTATTTAATTTTTTAACAATTATTTCTTATTAGTATTCTATATCAAATATGTCAACATAGTTCTTCTTTTGGTATCTTTTTAGGGAGATTCAGGAGGGCCCCTGTCATGTCGAAGCAAAGGAGATGGAAAGTGGTTTTTGATGGGCATCGTAAGCTGGGGCTACGGCTGTGGGAGACCCAATTTCCCTGGAGTATACACAAGGGTGTCAAATTTTGCTACATGGATACACAAATATGTGCCTTCAGTTTTTTAATTTAGCACTGACAATACATTTGAAACAGAGTTTACTCTGAAACATCCTAATTAAAATTAGATTTAATAACAAAGCATTTTGTGTGTTCTCAGTTTTTCATTTAACGTGCCACACGCATATCTTCCGTGAATATCAGAGCGCTCATGAAGACACAGGCCAAAATCCTGTTCCTTAATTATTCCTACAGAAGACAAATGGTAATAAAATACATAAATGTTGGTATGGTATATTCTGGTGTCATCTGCAGACAGGAATGGTAGGAGCCTAGAATTTTCTTTCTTTCTTTCAAGATCTCTGTGTAACTCTGTGGCCAAAATCCTGTTGTTTAGTTACACCCACAAAAGGCAAATAGCTAATTCTCAGAGCCATGTTGCAGGCAAATAATGAATTCCCACTTGTATTTTCTGGTGTGTACCAAGTCAGCAAGTTATACAATATTTGCCTTTCTCAGGTGTAACTAAACAACAAGATTTCAGCCACAGTTACACAGAGGCCTTGGGGGTGGGGGAAATTAGGCTCCTACTTTTCTTGCCCTCAGATGACACCAGAATGTACCATACCAGCATTTTTATTTTATTTTATTACCATTTGTTGATGCTATTTCCTTTTCTAAGCAATAGTTTTTTTGGCCAATGGCACAAGCAGAATGACTTGAACATTCTGCATTTTCGAAATAAATACCCAGTGCTCATCCCTCCCAGGTCCCACAAACTCCACCAGAACTCCATGGAGTGAGAACTAGCAAAAGGACTGACCACTGGATTCATCCTGTGATATAATACTTGGGTATTTCTTCTCCAAAGCCCTGAGATGAGAGACCCCTGATAAAAACGTTAAATAATTAGAAGGTAGCGTTTCCAGTCACAAAATGATTCTATTGCCTATCCTTCCCTCCTCTTCTTGCAGTCTTTATACAAAGAGCTTGAAGAAAGGTAGTAATTTTTGAATATATGTTGTCTCTGTATGATTTCAAATTCAAATTGCTAATGAATCTTCAAGAGCATTCAAACATATATCACAGCAATGAGGTACTTGTACATAATGCTAATCCAGACAACAAAAACTCTACATTTACACAATGCTATATTTACTTCAAAACTGAAGAGTATATCGCAGCTGCCTCATCTGTAAATAAATTAATGAAAGGGAACCACTAGAGCAGGTGCAGAACATAGAATAGAATTTGCCATGCCTGTGGAGCTGCTGTTTAATACAAATGATTGGACCAAGTGCACAGGTTTATATTAAAATGCTATTTTTAGCTATCCCTCATTTATAGTACATTTAAAACACACATTTGTTGTCATGTGCCACTAAGTTACTTCTTTGGTGAGTGACCAGAATGTCACTCAGCTCTTGCAAACTCAACAGTGTTGGCTTCCTTTATGGAGTCAGTTCATCTCATAGTTGGTATTCCTCTTTTCCTGCTACCTTCAACTTTTCCTAGCATTACTCTCTTTTTTAAGGGAGTCCTGTCTTCTCATGATGTGTCCAAAGAGTAAACAGCCTTCATGTCACAATTTTTGCTTCATGCTTGATTTGATCTAGAACCAGCTGTTTGTCTTTCTGGCATTTGAAGGTTTCCACAAAGCTCTTCTCCGACATCACATTTTGAATGAATCAGTCTTTTGTTTAATGGCTCGCTTCCCTGTCCAGCTTTCATATCCATACATAAAAACTGGGAATATAATAGTGTGGATGATATTGACCTTGGTTTCCAGTGGCATATCCTTGTATTTGGTCTTGTCTAGTTCCTTCATAGCTGCCCTCCTGAGACTCAAGTCTTCTGATTTTCTGTCTGCAACATACAGACACACACACACACACACACACAGAGAGAGAGAGAGAGAGAGAGAGAGAGAGAGAGAGAGAGAGAGAGAGAGAGAGAGAGAGAGAGAGAGAGAGAGAGAGAGAGAGAGAGAGAGAGAGAGAGAGAGAGAGAGAGAGAGAGAGACAGACAGACAGACAGACAGACACACACACACACACACACACACTTCACTTCACTTTGTTCGTTAATCACATAATTTTGATTTAATTATTTTCTTGTGGAAATGCCATCACAAGAAATCAGTTATTTAAACCTGTGTTGCTATACAGTATGCTCTGAACTGGTATTACATGTAAACAAAGGAACTAAGATTTTTGAGTTGAAGCTGTGCACCAGTATGTTCAACGTCTTCAGACTTTAAAAGAAAGTTCTTCAGCCATACCCAAACAGAAACAAAATCCTTCATTCTTGATCACAGTCCTTAATTGAATTAATTTTGCTTCCATGTTCTTGGTGTTTTAAGGATTCGCGGTGTATTTTTATTTTTATTCATTTGATCAGTGAATACTGGAGTTCTTTCTTGCAACCTGTAACCTGTCCTTCTTTCTCACCCTGTTTAAATAACCAATGTGGCATGTGTTCTTTGACAAAATATAACTAAAATCTGACAATGCTGTATAAATAACTGTAGGTTTGTCTGACTCGTGCATTGCTAAAGGAGAGGCTCTCATTTTCTATTTACATGATCGTACCTGTCTGGTTTGGTAAAGAAAGAGTTACTGTGGGGGTGACTTACTTTTCTGCTTCCCACCTACTACCTGCACTGCTAACAGGCAGAAGATTTGTCGGCAGCAAAGAAGGATCAACGACAAGAGTCAAGCGGACAGGCATTCTTTCCAAGCAATCTTACCAGTAAAGATATCCAAGTTCCTTTCAGGATTTTAAGATTTAAAACTGGACAGGAAAACACCCAAGAAATCAACCATGATGCAGTCTTTTTCCTCCAAGAGTCTCTCTATTATTTACAGCATACCTATGCCTAATGATTCACACCTTCCTTCTGGACTGGTGAGAAATTGCAGTTTGATTTCCTTGTGCACACATTCTTTCAACATTCCTCATGAATAATATGATAATTGTTCTGTCTGCAGGACTGTGAGAGAATTGTGTTGCTTTTTTTGGCAAATGGATTTTGTTCTTCCTTTTCTTCTCCTCTTTCACAGGATTCATCTCTTCTCTATAGCCAACCTTCACAAAGAGATATTACAGGTCTGAAGCATTCCTGTGGGAAAAGAACTGTGCATTTATGGAGAAAACGTATTTTAGAAATGTTGCCTTTGATTATCTTGACCATCACTATAATTGTCTTGGTCCTGCACTATGCATTATGTAAGTGGCATTATTTTAAACTACTGCACCTGGAGGCACATAAATACTTACTGATATTACCTGTCATTTACTTTCTTTCAGGAAGGTTAAATTTATTTTTCCCTAGGTGTGTTTGTGAGTCTTCTTTAGAATTCTATATTCCAGTAATGCACAAGCTTCATTATAACTGTTCAGAATAATGTCCAAAATGTTGGCTTGGCATGTGAATCAAGTTAGGCAATGGACTCAATCTAGCAAAGAAAGCTAGGAGATGAAAAGCTATGTTTTAAAAGAGTGGTCATGTTACCAGTGAGGTGGATGGACTGAGGAGGTCATTGTATATTGAACCCATAATCTGCATAGCATAAGAAATCAGATACACCAATCATTTGTTATGCATTTTCCATAAAGACTATTTTTAAGTTGTTTTAAAACACAGAGACAAAATCAAATAATACAAGGAAATAAGATATTTTGCATGGTTTGGGTAACACCCCCCCCACCCCACCTACCCCACACACAAACAGAGAGAGAGAGAGAGAACACACACAGAGATCTTCAGATAGTAACAATAGTAGAGGCTATTGTCCACTGTTACTTACTACAAATAAATTTATGAACAGTCTTTTTTTCATTTTCAAAATGAATTTCTGTTGTAGCAGGAAAGGTGGTCATCCATGATGTCATTTTTAAAATAAAATCAGCGGGAGTTTGATTAAGGTTGTGAGGAGAATTGTCTTTGGGGGGGGGGAGCCCAAATTACACAGAAGTTAGGCTGTTGTACATGTGGTTTCCTGGTCATTTCTTTCCAGCAGTAACACCTTGCCTTTGTTTGTTTGCTTATTAATGTCAGGCATCCCTCTTTCAGCTCCCACATTCACTTTCATCTACATTGGTGGAAGCGTTGAGATTCCTAACCTGTCCTACTCAAGTGATCTAATTCATCCCAAGTCACATACATTTATACTGCAAGCTGAAGCAGTCCAGAATTATGTAAGTTTGATTATGGAACATACAGAATGAACTTTAGTTCAAATGTCATTTATTAGTTTTTCCCAATGAGAAGGATCTTGTTGGAGGAACTAGAACAGAGGTTCACCACCTTTGATCCCCTGATGTTCTTGGGCTCCCAGAAATCCTGGCTAGCACAGCTAATCGTAAAGGGTTCTGGGAGTTTTAGTCCAAGATCATTGTGCAGCCTAAGGTTGGGAGCCACTGAACTAGAATGTGGATGCAGCATTGAGAGAGATATTTAAAAAAAACATTTTCAGTGTTTTTAGTTTCCTTAATATCAGTGTCTATGCCTAGAAACAGGATGCTGGCTTGTTATGGAGGGAATTTTGTTTGTGAGAATTTTATAGAGCTTTCCTTGGCACTAGACATACTGAGAACACTGATTTGAGACTCCAAGTGGGCCTGTGGAGTATAGCATGTCACTGGGGCAGTAACCCATAAGATCTTGCACTTGCATATCTGGTGCCCATTACAGAGGGAGAACTCTTCCTCTTCCTTTACAACTGGTGGCTTATGCCTCCTTGCAGACGCTCTTCACAGTCAAACCCTGATGTTCATTGCATGAGTGGTTTAATCCAACCTGCATCTTTGCCAATAAGTTGGGCAGAAAATTGTCCATTAGTTTTATTTTATTAAAGGGCAGACCTGTCCCTTTGATGTTCTGCATTAGAACTATGGGCCAAATACAATGTAAACGTAAACTAGAATGGATCCATTGAATGAACTGGAGTTGTTACATGAATGTATATGTATGTTTGGTTGATTCAATAGATCTGTCGTAGCTGGGACTAAGAACTAGATTTGTCTCCAAATGCCAGGATGTTTGCATTGTCATGAACATGCTTCATAAATTGTCATCTTCAATTGATGACAATTGTATACAATCTATAACTATCTATTCAATCTATATCTATACAATCCATAGTACAATCTATAACTTCAACAGTTAACGTTGCATAAACATCACAGTTTATAGTTCCCTACCATTTACAGTATATGCTCACATACCAACCATGTGTACATATAACTGCCAACTTAAGATCACTTTTGCTGCATTTGATGAAATGGTCTTTAATCCAGAAGGTCTTGTTCCATAATAAATATGTCAGTCTTCAGGATACCAATAGAACTCTTTGTTGTTTTTGCTGCAATAGTCTAACACAGTGAATCTGCTTAAACTTATCTCCTGAGCCATCCTGAATTACAATGCTTCCTATTTCCATATCTTGTTAAGCTGAATTATAGATTGTTCTGTTTACACAGATATAACTTAATATTATTTTCTTGTGTTGTTCCTGGCATTATCAATTTATATTGAAAGTACAGTCCACCCATTCCTCTTTCCAATATAACAATAGTTGCTTTCTTATGTTTTTATCCCAAGTTTACTGCTTGTGAGATCAATACACTCTTCTGGGTATGTGCTAACAGGAGGCTTGAAAAAACAAAGCATCTCTCTGTTAGTGGCATTTCCTACCTGAATTGTTCGTGCATCTCAAAGCTGCTTTGTACATCAATGACATGGGTTGCCTATGACCTGATTAGAAGCCTGAAATGACCTCAATCTTAAGTGGGCTAAATTCAATCTGATTTGCTTTTTTTCAGCAGCCTGTGCTTAGTTAAAAATCAGTGTCATGCTCCTTGTAAAAAATTAGCAAACTGAAGTGAAATGTGAAATTTATGTGAATTTATTCATTCCACTGATTTGCCACTTATTTTTGCTTTCTTTATACATTCCACTGATTTGCCACTTATTTTTGCTACGAGTAGCTATAAAACAAATAACATACTTTTAAATTGCACAGTACTTCAGAAATGATATGTTTCCATCATAACAGAGTTTTTTTTTTGTTCTTTATATTTAGCCTTCTAATTGTTTAACTATCAGTTTGCAGAACTGTATGGCTCTTCTGCCTTAGAAAATTATTACTTGAAGTCTGTTATTGCTGCATTTAGGTAAGCCATTTTCTTCTACATTCTTTCATTGCATAAATAAATGACTCTTTGTTGGCTTTTAGTTAATTTTCTATTCATGTTCTCAGGAAACATATGACAGCAAAGCAAAGCAGATTGTATCAGGAGGACCTGAGAGTTTTGCTTCAATTCTGCCAAGACAGCTTGCAATTCTAAATATTCTCCTAAATCTCACTCAAGTGAACCCCACTTTTTAAAAAAGGCCATTTTAGCCAATTCCAGTCTCTTTCTTTGTGTGTGTGTGTGTGTGTGTGTGTGTGTTTGTATGCATGAGAAAGAGATCAGAGGAGAGGAAGGGGGGGGATTGTATGGCTTCACTACTGTGCCATCCTCAGCTTCAATTGTCTGATATTGTCCTTCATAGCTGACAGGTACAGACATCATCATTTAAGTTTATAGAACTCTGCTTAGTATGACATTTAGACTCACAAACAGATTTCTATAAGTACTTTGAGTCACATTTGATCATCTTGCATCTTGCACAGTCTTTAAAAAGCAACTAGATCTATCAGGCGTAAGATGTATTTAAGCATTTATCAGCCTGATTCCTCATGTTCAAATTACCTCTCCTCTGAGAAAGCCTTCTCAGAACATAAGCTTTACATTGGTTCTCCATAACTATATACTGCGATAGATTATTACTTCTTGCCCAAGTAGGAGACAAGAATCATGGATGACCTGAGGTATACCATTACTGAAGGTTATGCAGCATGTATATTGAAAGGTGACTATTATAATTAAACGCCTAGCTGGCATTGCCTTCATTGGAAGTTTTAAAACAGAGGTCGGAAGCCCACTTGTCAGGGATGCTTCAGGCATCTATTACTGTACATGAATCTTATTTTGTTATCTTCCTCCAGTGAAGGAAAAAATGGCCTTCGAGCTTACTACTGGAGCACATTTTGGGCCCCACAAGACATGGTTTTCCTTATTAAAAATTTGTCTTCAGTGATGCAAAAGCAAATCATTAATAAGAGGACTCCTTCAGCTGCAAATAGTACCACAGAAATATTACCTTTAGAAGAAGAGTTTGATATTATTACCCTGGAGCTGTTTGGTAATACAACATTATGTACTCTTTCAATGCTCTTAAAAATTCATGTGTGCATACAATTCATTCTTTTTAACAGCCTCTAAATGATTTAGTTTCAGATTCTGTGGACTATGATATGACACTGAAATCAGGTAAGTGCTCTTCCCCCACCCCTTTGTGTGCAGTGTCAGCAAATGTTGAGGCTGTTTCATCTAGCGAGGGGTGATGTGACACAGGCAGAAAGCGGAAAGGCAGGGTTTTTTCTCTCTTTCTCATAATACTAGAACTTGGGATCTTCCAGTAAGGTTGAATGGTGGGTAGGGCTGCCAAGCCTGAGCCCTGGCTGAAGTCTCAGAAAATAGTTATGAGTTATTGGGTTTGGGGACAGAAAGACAGTGTGAGCATCACTGGAGGAGAAGTTAGTTTGGTTTTTGGGCTTGTAACATTTCTGGAAACACTGATCACTGGCTCAGCATAAAGGTGTTAATGTATTTTAATTTAATTTAATTTAATTTATAACAAGCCTTTCTCCTCAAGATGACTCAAGGCAGCTTACAATATCAAACAATATCAAAAGCTCAAAACAAATTATTATTACAACAATAATAAAAAAAGTAAACGTGGGTGATGTGAAGTATACCATCGCATAAGGTTGTGTAGTGTGTGTATGTCAAAACAAATTATTACAACAATAATAAAAAAAGTAAATGTGGGTGATGTGAAGTATACCATCGCATGTGTGTGTTTAGTCGTTTAGTCGTGTTGTGTAGTGTGTGTATTGAAAGGTTACTATTATATTTACATTCCTAAAACTGGGAGAGGTTAGGAAATTAGTTGAACACAGTCGAAGGAGGACTATGTGTGTTCTGAAAAAGGTACGATGGCCCAAAGTGCATGCCCCTTGTGGTTCTCCCTTCCCATCCAAGGCTTTTTGCTGTGGTGATATTGGCACAGTTTTGCCATTTAGAAAAAGCCAGGGAGTAGAGCACCAGTGCCATTCATGATTCACAAATCCAATTTTAGTTTTCCCCCTCCTGTGACATCACAAAAGCCATTGTGTCATTGTGAAGTGACCACAGGATGGAACAAGGACTCACTCTTCACTCTCAGAGCAGTATCCCATTCAGTGCTCATGGGGTTAAAAAGATGGCCAGAGAGTTGAATAGAGGAAAGAGAGAACTTCAAAGTAATAGAGTAACAGGAATCTCAGCTACTGGTGCCAAAGGAGGAGGCAAGTGGCTGCTGAAACCTCCAGTAAAGCGCAAGATCTCACCTGCACATTCCAGTCCAAAGGCACCAGGGAAGGCCCAAATTGGGTTGTGTATATACATCCTGTTGCAGCTGCTCCACCAATCATTCCTCAAAGCTGTACATGTAGAGGAAAATACATGCATCATTGTTTAGGTAGCTTCTTTTTTCCTTTTTGCATATGGAAGTATCCTGTTTTATATTTGTTCTGTCACTCTTCTTAGTTTATTAAACTTTATTGAAATATTGCACTTCTACAATTGCATGTGTGTGACTGTGGAAAGATTAGTGCTTTGTGTGCTTTGAGTGGGTAGGTCACAAAATTAGGGAGCTGCATACCTCTTCTTCCCACCCCTCTGGGCATAGCTGTTTGCACAGATAATGCTGCAGAGGTGGGGATGAAATGAGGTGTCTCCTACAGCAGTGGTCCCCAACCTTGGGCCTCCAGATGTTCTTGGACTTCAACTCCCAGAAATCCTGGCCAGAAGAGGTGGTGGTGAAGGCTTTGGGGAGTTGTAGTCCAAGAACAACTGGAGGCCCAAGGTTGGGGACCACTGTCCTACAGGATGGCTCAGCTCTCAACTCTAAGCTCTTTATTTGGGTAGAGAGTGAACTGGGAACCTCTACATTTTCAACAAGGACCTAGAAATTGAATATTGTTTCACATGTCCCGGTTTGCATTTGAAATGACTGCAGATTTGAATCTACTTATGATGTCGATTTCATTTGTATCCTAAAGTGTTAACGTATTAAGCCCATCAACATGAGAAGCAGGATGGATGGAGGGTGTGGTCACTCTCTGCCTCTCCTCTTTGTGGATGTCCTGACCAAAGCCCACATATGCTTTCTGGAGAAGGAAGACTCAGGCTGTGTGTTCTGAAAAGGAACTGTCATTAGAGCTGGCTGTTTTTTAAATACACATTGGCTTTATTTATACCCTGAGCTGAACAGGGTATAAATGGGGATGAGGAGAATGGGGTCAGCAAAGAAGGCTGAGGTTCCCTATATCTGTCTATTGCTACCCCACATGTCATGAGAATAGGACTTCCAAAAGGTACCAAAGCTGTTTTCTCTGCTCCAAACCTTCCCTGCAGATGAGAAGAAAAGTTTCCTTCAGTCTTTGGGCATTACTGCTGTGCCCTGAGGCATGTCGATAAAAGATTACAGCATGATAACAGCAGATCCGTTCTATGAGATGTTTTGTCCTTCCAAGTTTTACTGAAATAAGCTAAATGATCTGTGAGAAGAGTAATTATTTATCGCTACAGACAGGGAACCTGATCTTGGAATGAACTAAAAGAAAATGCTCATGAAGTTTAGTAGTTTGAGAAAGTTTTGAGCTACCATAGCTTCCTTGTCTCCTAATTAAATCACCATTTATTATTTGTTTTAATTATAGGCCAGCTTTTCCCCAGACAGTGAGATCCAAGGCAGCTCACAACAAAATTAGCATAGATATAGGTAAAAGCAGATAGGGAACTAACATACTAAAATACAGTTAAACAAACAGTAAAACTTTATTACATTAAAATGCTATCCTAATACGTATACAACAAGAAATTTTAAGCACAAGACCACTCTGTTAAAAGAGCTTTCCTCAATAGCTTGGACACTTCATCTGTGAAATGGGCATGTTTAAATTCATAGGCCAAAAGCAAAACAAAACAAAATGGGCTTGCTGTGGTTATGCCAGCTCTGCTATTGTGCAAGTGCCACTGCACAACTTCAGAAGTTGACAACCGCATATATGAAGAGGTATTGGATCCTTCTTGCACACGCTCAGAAAAATACTCAACCACCTAGTGTCTTAGCATTATGCCATACTAGCTGCAGGCCAACTCACTTCTTCCGAAGCCCGAGGAACTGGAAATTACAAAATGTTTAAGTCATACAAAGGAGGGAAATGATCGATTCTCAGTCATTCCAGAGAAAGTTAGACAGCCACCTGTCAGATATACTTTAACTTGGATTCCTGTACTGAACAGGGGTTTGAATTTCATGGCATTATAGGCCCATTCCTATATGAATGAAATGAAAACATGATGAAAAACGAAGTTTGAGTCTGGCAGTTAACAGAAAGCATTATTCCTAAGCATACCAGTGATAGGGATTAATCTGGTAGAACTCAATGAGATTTACTTGTGAACAACTGTGTTTAGGATGGTACCATAAACAGAAAAACAAATTGTGGTCACAGCAACTGTCAACCATTCTTTGTTCCCTTAAACAGATGTGTCTTATTTCTCCATTAATTGAAACGCTTAGACTACTTTGCATTGAAATAGCTGACAAAATGTTCTGGTTTTACAGAACAAAGAAATTCAAGTTGTCTATTCACAAAGCAGGAGCATAAAGAAGATCCTTTTACACACTTTCTGTGCCTCAGCTCTGTCCCAATGGGGAACAATTTCATAGGGTGGGAAAATGGCACAGACCTGTTGCACCACAGATTCTTATCTGGTGGGATGGCCAAGCTTGCCATTGGGCTTTATTTATCTTTTAATTTCTTCTTAGTACTGCTTTGCAGCTGCTGATCTTTGTTTTTTTCTTTTACCTACCAGTGGCCTTTGACCTCTATGCAAAGCCTGGTAATAACAGAACATTGACACTGTTGAATCCTAAGAAATCTTTTTATCAATGGAGGCTGAGAGTTCCATCTGACTATGTTGTGAGGCTGGTAGTTGTTACATCTCATGAAGTGATTCCCGGAAGTTGTGCCTCACACAGACTATCAGCATATGATTTCCTTCTCCCCTTGCAGAACAAGATCATAACAAGGTAGGAGGCTAAATTCGTATCTGATGCAGCAGGCACATGCCTCAAATCGTAGAACTGGCGTCTATATAGCACTATAGTTGAGCATACGTTTTGCATGCAGAAAGCTATGGGTTCAAACTTGCTTTAATAAATCTTAGAGCACAGTTACACATGGAAAAAGGATGACAGTTGAATTGCATTTAGTTTGTTTGAATTGATATTTTAAAAAGGTGAATACATGTAAGTGCAAATTGTTTTGACAGGGAATCGTATTACTTTGATGGTTTTTTTTTTTTGCTCTTCCAGAGAATCGTTTATTTTAATTTGGATGTAAAATTGATTTACTTTGTACCGTTTTGCCATATGTGATTACATCTATTGGCTTATATTTTTTTTCCACTTTGTTGCCCCCCAGTGTGAGTGTCAAGCACATATTTCTCTTATTGGACTGAAGTGTCCTGCAGTCTAAATGTATTTTCCCCCAGTCTGCTTTAGCACTGTATCACTTATCAGTTTGCAATATCCTATGGTCAAAATATATATTTTTAAAAATATGTTCCAGACTCTCTTAGTGCTATATCACTTAGAAATATTTTTTTTTAAAAAAATACAACTAAGAATGGATATATAATTGCAAACATGGCAGAACACATACTATAAGGAAATACAAAATTTTTATATGAGAAAAAAATTCATTATGGAATGATCACTATCTGCAGGAGCCCATAAAATGAAATTGTTTTAATGGACACAATTTAAACATCAGAGTTAGACTAAAAAGTCGATACAAAACTTTTTTTAAAAAAATGGATTAAAAATTAATGCAAGGGACACACACAGTGACACAAATCCTACCAGACTGCCATGTGAATTTAAATTGATTACTTCAATTCTAATACAGAGTTTTGATTTGTTTCCCCAGTAATGTAATGACACTTTTAGAGAGCAAATTCTAGTATAGGACAAACATCTGCCTCAGGTCCTGAGGGGTCAGTTTCAGAACAGACATCGCTAAGCTCGGAAATTTTCCTTAGAAAATGAAAAGAAATGAATTTCCAGAATTCTCCAGCCTACACAGCCAATGACCATACGGGTTGGAAGATTTCAAGTTCTATAGTTTAAAAGTAACTTTTCCAGTCTCAGATCCATGTCCAGACTAAGCACATGACACAGGAGAGTTACAGCTAGATCTGGATCTCTTGGTAGATCTTTACATACCATAATTTACAAGAGACAAGCAACAATTTCTGGTTTGCTGTTGTTTGACAACCTGCAGCAAACAACCACCCAAATACTGCTGAAATGTAGACAGCTTGAAAGAACCCAGAGTGAAACTTTGTGTGGAAGGGCTGTGTCTGCTTTTCAATTATTCAAAACAGGCTTCAAAAAACAGGTCTAGATAGAAAGGTGGAAGGCATACAGGAACAGACAGACTATATAGTTTAACTCATCTTAATGCATGCTTGAATTTCTTCCTTTGTGGTTACAGCTTGTGTTTTCTTATACTGTCCTCAATTTCAAGTTCCTTTTTCTATTCTCAGCAGGGTTACAGTCATCCTTGCTTCATCTTTACTGGCAAAACCCGTGGGGGTTTCTTTTATATAAGTTGGATCATGTGGGGGGGGATACTTATGTTTAAGCATTATGTTGGAAACCACCCAGAAGAGTGGCATACCTCTCAATGGGAGGTATACAAATTTAACAAAAAAAAAACACCAAGAATTCTGAATGATTGAAATCCATAAACACCTGCACAGCTTCTACAAAAAAGAAGAAAGTATAAAAATCAACAAAGCCTGGCTCCCAGCACTGAAAAATACAGCCCGCAAAAACAGTCAATGAACTCTACCCAGCCACAAGGACCAGTGATCACTGCACACAAAAAAAGACTAGCTAATGACACCCATCACTCACAGTGACAGATCATCTCCCCCTTGTCACAACAATACACCCATAACAAAAAACACCCAATCTCCTGAAAAGAACAAAAAGCTAATACCACAGCTACAAATACTCACTATCCCACACACTACATCAAAACACAGAGTTCTAACTCCTGTCCTCTGAAGAGAGGGGCCACAGAAACTGGTGAAATGTTAGGAAGAAAAACCTCGAGAACAGCCCAAAAAACTACAACAACCTATTCTGAGTGAGTTTTCAATAATTTATGGATGAATCTAAGGATTCTGTTTCCACAAGCATGAGATCTGCCCACACATGGTATGAGATATCAATACATGGGGAGCAGAGAAGACATTTTAAGATCAAATACTGTAGTGGCCATGTTAAAAGTGGCAATTTGTTAGAAGAGAGATGATTTTCATCACATGAGCTTCCTGATTTACCATGTCTTGCAAATTACCTTGTTCTGCTTTGTGACTGATTATCTGGAGTTAAACATTGGCTTTGTTTCTATCCTGATTGCTGAAACAAGACGTTTGGAAGAGATGGCATCTCTGAAACATTCAAGTGTGTCATTTTCTAATAACATGCCAACCACACTCCTAATACACTTCTAATAACATGCTGAATAGACTCCTGTACTGCAGTGAGTCCTGGACCCTTTCTTCATGGCAGGAGAGGAAGCTGAACACGCTCCATATGTGTTGTCTCTGATGCATTTTTGGCATCACTTAGCAGGACAAAGTTCCAAACAGTGTAGTCCTGGAATGAGCTGGAATTGTTAGCATGTATACATTACTGAAACAGCGATGTCTACAGTGGCTTGAGCATGTTGTGAGAATGGCTGATGGTCGGATTCCAAAAGATCTCCTATATGGAGAATTAGTGCAGGGAAAGCACCCCAGAGGGAGACCACAGCTGCAATACAAGGAATGGGCCTCAACAGACAGGAAACCTTGGCAGGATCTGAAGGCCTTAGGAATGGACCTCAACAGATGGGAAACCTTGACATCTGAGTTTTCAGCCTGGAGGCAGGCGGTGCAGCATGGCCTCTCCCGATTTGAAGAGACTTGCTCAGCAGACCGAGGCAAAGAGGCAGTCCCAAAACCAGCAAAATCAGGAGCTGGACAGGGGATAAATTGTATTTGTCTTGGTGTGGAAGGGATTGTCACTCTCAATTTGGCCTTCTCAGCCACACTAGATGCTGTTCCAATATCTTTATTCAAAGCATGTTACCATAGTCTTTTGAGATTGAAGGATGCCGACTAAAGCTGACTAATATAATCTATTCTGATTCTTAATCTGTTGTAGTAGAAGCAATGCATTTTTTAATAGCACCTTCTTCTTTATGTGTGTTAGAAGCAATCCATTGGTGCGTCTGGAGCAGAGGAATCAGCCAATATAGGGTGCTGTTGTAGCTCAGGAGACATCCAAATGAACTAGTGCCTCGTGGCGCAGTGGTTAAAACGCTGTACTGCAGCTAAAACTGTGCTCACGACCTGGGGTTCAAATCCCAGGTAGCCGGCTCAAGGTTGACTCAGCCTTCCATCCTTCCGAGGTCGGTAAAATGAGTACCCAGCTTGCTGGGGGGGCAATGTGCAATGCATTTCATCAGATGCATGAAGTAGTAAGGTTGGTCACACATGTAGATGTGTGTGGACATGCATATACACATCCACACACGGACATGGACACACACACATGCACACGCCATTAGGAGCAGGATTTATATACAGTGAGATCACAGCACTGCTGTTGTTGAAAGGGCATTGTGCTTATGTTGGACACATGCAAGGTGTAATACACAGATGGACAACTTGTGGGCTCCAAAGTGTCAGTCCCATAAGTTCTGGTTAGCATAGCCAATGCTGATGGATGATGAACTGCAGTATAAAATTTGCCCGTCTGATTGCTAACTGAATTACCACTGGCCCAGTTTGGGCATTACGATCCCTGATCATTTAATTCCCTCTCTTATCATGCACCCCATGGTTTCAGAGCAGGTTTCAACGAGGAGAGGTTCCTGCTTACATGTAATTTGCTTATTTTGAAGGCGCCACAAAACTCAGTAATTTCTGTTTCGGCATGAGATAGCATCCTTTGTTCAGCAATATCATAGATCAGTAACTCTATATTGTCCAGAAAATTTGGCAGGTTTCTGGCCCTGAAGTTCTTCTGTTGGTTTTACACCAAGCTTCGAACAGAACTATTTGCTGTCTGCTATGACACATGTAAAACAATTAGCAAGCTGCTAATCAGTCTGAATGTGTTTCAGATGGTGTGGAGTGTCTGGGGCCTGGACACCCCCCCTTATACGCTTAACATCATCAAGTAATGTAATGCTGGTCACTTTCTCTTTGGACCGAAGAAGAGAGAACAATATATTGAAAGCGTATTTCCAAGCGGTTCCAAAAATTGGTATGTAATCATAAGGGTCAAAGGTACTGTTTGTGCAGAAATTTTTCAAAATTACAAAGAATATAGAAAAATAAGCTTCCTGACCTATAAAAACAAACAAATAAACCCTGCCAGGATCTTCAAGCCGTCTGACAGATTCCGGGAGTTGTAATCCAAAAAAATTACTTTTTTCAAGCTCTGGAATTACCTTTGTTGGTTCATATACACTTTGAAATACTTTTGTCAATTGAAATAAATAAAGATTTGACTCCTGTTTCATGGCAATGGGGTGTACAGTGAGGTCAATGCCCATATGCAAGTAGAGATTCCTCAGTGCAACTGGCTAAATTATGCTTCCACAAGGAGTTCCAAGATACCAACATGCACAAGCTCCTTGGAAGTCAAACCAGTCATGCTGACGTCATTGTGTAACTAGTTGGGTCTGAGCAGGAGAGCAGATTGGCCAGTAGAGGACACTCATGTTTGCATCAAGGGAATATGCGTCCACACTCACAATCTGAGTGGGGAGGGGAAAAGATCAGTCATGATGACATCATTGTGTAACTACTGTAGTTGGGTCTGAGCAGGAGAGCAGATTGGCCAGTAGAGGGCACTCATGTTTGCATCAAGGGAATATGCGTCCACACTCGCAATCTGAGTGGGGGGGGGGAAAGATTGAAGGACTAATGCATGTGAACAAAGAAATAAACAGATATCCAGAGTTATTGCCAATCTGGGAACCGATCAAAGTTTCTGAGTCCTGAATGGATTGTTATAGAGTACCAACTGCTTCTTCCTCACAGCCCCAGCTCTGCATGTTCAGTATTAGTAAGCAGTTTATATAGAGTGATACTAGTGGGCAGAAACAAGTAGCTTAAGGGTTTCTCTGAGGATGGGAAGCTTAGTAGTTCACTCTTCATGGTTTCCATGCTGCACAAAACAACAGTTCTGTTGCTCTTTTCTTTTAGTGTGTGGTGGCCGCTACCAGAAACAAGTACGTAGCTTGAGGGTTTCTCTGAGGATGGGAAGCCTAGTAGTTCACTCTTCATGGTTTCCATGCTGCACAAAACAACAGTTCTGTTGCTCTTTTCTTTTAGTGTGTGGTGGCCGCTACATAGCATGGAATGGGACTGTAACTTCTCCTTATTACCCAAGTTATTATCCTCCAAATGTTGATTGCCACTGGATTATCAGGGTAGGTACTCCTTAAAAAAAGAAGATGACAACAATGGTTTATTTTTTGTTGTTGTTGCTGCTGCTGTTTTTAAACGATCTTCCCTGTATACTGCAATGCTCTTTGTCATTATTGCCACAATACAGTCTAAGAACTGTCATCAAATACTGATACTTTTTACCAGCAGGGAATGACATCATTCTGCAGTACTAGATTTTTAGATCCACTAACTGGATCCTGGTGATGCAGTGGTAAATTTTTATTTTTTGTTGTTGTTGCTGCTGCTGTTTTTAAACGATCTTCCCTGTATACTGCAATGCTCTTTGTCATTATTGCCACAATACAGTCTAAGAACTGTCATCAAATACTGATACTTTTTACCAGCAGGGAATGACATCATTCTGCAGTACTAGATTTTTAGATCCACTAACTGGATCCTGGTGATGCAGTGGTAAATTAAGGGCCAATGACAACAATGGTTTATTTTTTGCTGTTGCTGCTGCTGCTGTTTTTAAACTATCTTCCCTGTATGCTGCAATGCTCTTTGTCATTTTTGCCACAATGCAGTCTAAGAACTCTCATCAAATACTGATACTTTTTACCAGCATGGAACGACATCATTCTTGCAGTACTAGATTTTTTAGATCCACTGGATCCTGGTGATGCAGTGGTAAATTAAGGGCCAATAACATCAACATGCATGCAAAATGCCCTTTGCCTTTCATGACATGTGGCAGGCATTGGTTCATACACTAGTCTCCTTCCAGGTTCTGTCCTTGAGATGTATGCTCTAAATCACTGGTTCTTAACCTTGGTGTTCATACACTAGTCTCCTTCCAGGTACTGTCCTTGAGATGTATGCTCCAAATGATTTTACTGTATGATGATCTAAAAGATGTAATATAAGGGGAAAGTATTCTCTAGTCAGATGCTATATTGCTGGGCCCATTCTCCCAAGAGCAATAGTTGGGTCAGCATGGCTATGCACAGGGCACAATGTTCTCTCCTGCCATATCAATGCAAGTCATGTAATTCATTTTTCTTCGAACAGACTGTAGTTTCTAGGGAACAGGCTGTTAAAAACTGACTAGTTTGCAATACAAAAACCTAAGATTTGCTTTATAGTAAACTGGGTGTTATTAACAACCCCTCATCATCTTGCAAAACATTCTGCGAACTCCAGTTTGGATTAGATAGCCTTGAACAGACTGTAGTTTCTAGGGAATAGGCTGTTAAAAACTGACTCTAGTTTGCATTACAAAAACCTAAGATTTGCTTTCTAGTAAGCTGGGTGTTATTAACTACCCCTCATCATCTTGCAAAACATTCTGCGAACTCCAGTTTGGATTAGATAGCATGCTTATTTCTCATTGTGTGGCTTTTGTTGGGCTTTTATTGTATGGTGATCCAAACTGCATGATCAGTGTTACACCATCTATATTTTTGACTAGTGGTACATATTGCCTCAATCTACCTGTATTTTAAAATGGCTGTTCTTCTTAGAACAAAGCAAATTTCATAAATCCCAGAGCACTTCCCTGTTACAGGTACTTGATTGGACACCCAAATAAGCCTAGTGATTGGGCTTACATGCTAAAGTACTGGGCTAAATAGGTGGTAAGGGAGGGACCACATATGTAAACTCTGACTCCTCACCATGGCATTACTACCTGAAACCTTGCTCTGCAAATGCCCTCAGGTTGCTAATCTCTGGAGCTCTGTGAAGTGCATTTGCCCAAATCCACTTGCAGATTCCTCTTAAGACCCTCCCTGTGCAAAGCTCCCTAATACTGCCTGGTAAATTGGCTTGTTTGGAGACAGATCTACTCTCTACCTCCTGTTCATAAATTTACTCCTACACATGCTCAAGTGAACCCCTTAATTTAGCTATATTCCTGTTCATTGGACGCAGGAAGATTTGCTTCCTGATTTGCATTCCTATATATATACCGTATTTTTCGCACCATAAGACACACTTTCCCCCCACAAAACGGGGGGGGTGGAAAGTCTGTGCGTCTTATGGAGCGAAGAAAACAGATTATATTTTCCTGTTTTCTTCTCCTAAAAAAATGGTGCGTCTTATGGAAAGGTGCGTCTTATGGAGCGAAAAATACGGTAGTTATTTGCCATCAACTTCCTACTCAGAAGTAGTTCACCTTTCTCTTCTTCTGTAGGCACTCTAGAACTGTGCAGTTTGCCCAAGGCTACACAGACTGGCTTTTTCTCCCAGGAGGCACAATGAGAAATTGAATTCAAAATGTGCAGCTTCTTAGCCATCTCACTGTGCTATTTAGCCAGCTGTTCAGAGGTACATTTCCATTATATTCAGTTGGGCTCACCAACAGATGTGTGTCCAAGGTTACAGTCTTACTATATCAATGCTGCAGCTCTGTATCTATTTGTTTGATATTTAGTTGTTAAGTCATGTCCGACTCTTCATGACCCCATAGACCAGAGCATGCCAGGCCCTCCTGTCTTCCACTGCTTCCACAGTTTGGTTAATTTCATGTTGGTAGCTTCGATGACACTGTCCAACTATTTGTGTATCTATTTATCTGGAAGTAAACCTCATGGAGTTCATTGAACAGACATGTATAGCATTGCACTGTTCATGCATTCTGAACTAATAACAGAATACAAGGGCTAAACATTTCATACCTTCTAAGTACTGTTTTCAAAATCTTAGGCACCACTACCTGGATATAGATTGTTGTTAAAAATTCTGGCAATACATGTACAGGAGCAGTCTCCAGGATCCAATAAATGTGACAAAGATTGGCTAGAAATTGATGGAGTTAGGTAAGCTATAACCTAATCTGCTATTTATCTTTTTTTCAATATTTCAGTATTATATTCAATTACCAATAATAACAGGAACCAAAGAGGAAATTAAAAAAAACAAAGAGGCTTCCAAGAATTAAATTGTATCTCTGTTGTTACGGTCTTGTGTCTCTATGGTATAACTGAAAGTCCATTTTCTGTTTTCAGTCAGCTACAGTAAGTAGGAAGATAAGAAGATGCAATCAACAAGGCTTTTAATATTTGAACAGCTCTGGGACAGAGGAGCCTTGCATCCTTATTTACAGACAATCCTCTATTTTAAAGACAGCTTGATAGATTGTCCACTCCAAACCCAGTCAGCCTCTGAATAAGCAGGTTACTTTATCACAGTTTCCCCCAGTGTGAAGGGCTGGTCCTACTATTAGAAAGACTGAGGACACTGCCTTGGCCAGTAGATGTTGGGGCAGTGATAGTAATCTTCTGACTTTTCCTCACAAACTGTCCAGTTTCTCTGTGCTGTTGAAGGACACTGCTGTATATGACACAAAGTATTCAAGGTCTCCTCAACCAAACTGCTGCCTCAGGTGTGGCCTACTGCACTGCAGCCCAGTCAGCTTCTGTATGTTTACTCAAGAGAGGGTATCATTGTGAAGAGCACCTGGCCATTGGTAGGAAGGTTTACTTTCTTTCTTGGCTTCCTTCCTAGTTTTCTCCCTTCTCCTTTTTCCCCATCTCTCTCTCTCTTCCCAGAAGGAAGATTTCTTAGGGGTTGATGTTTAAGGGCCACCGCCTCACAAGCAGGGAACTTCCAGTGTATCTCTTTCTCAGCCAATGGATTTATCTGCATCATTCCTCAGGGGTTTCTCAGGGTCACCAGCTGGAGAGAGTTTGAGTTCTTGGGGCTCCCTCTGCTCTTCTTCTTCAACTCTCTCCCCCAAGCTAGAGTCTTTCTGAGCTTCTCCCTTTTCCCACACCACATCTTCTTTATTCTTCTCCCCCTTGTTTATCCTTTCTCCTTTTCCTCCCTTCATTTTATCCCTTAAAACTGGTCTAGCCCTTTCCTTCCTGAGTCCTCCTTTCCCACACAGTTGGTGTGAGTTTTTTTCTTCCTTCTCAGCAATATTCCAATTGATGGTCTTTTCACCTCCTCCTCCACAGTCACTGTTGCCATCCTGTAACCCTCGGTCATTAGGAGTGAGGACATATCACAAGCATCTTATCTTTCACCCTCAGGTAGCAGAATGTCTTGGGCTGATGCTATGATAAAATACATTTTACTTCTGTTTTAATTACAAAGTGATATCATGCAAGTATCCTTCATTTCCTGCAATGGGACTTCCCTATCCATTCTTCCCTGCCTCTTGCTTACCACCCTGCATTTTCTCTCAGTCCTCCAATGAAGCTTTGGGAAGCATAGAAAGAGTTGCAGCAAACATATCTATTTTAAGAGCAGTGTCCACATTGGCATGGTCTGGTCTGGATTATAGTAGAATGACTGCAAAAGCCTCCTGGCACCAGTAAACCTTCCTTCTTACACTAAAATTTTGTGTCTAGGAAAAAAAAACAAAGTCTTGTTGATTGTGGTCCTTATCTTAGGCATATTAAATCACACTCTCATCACTAGACTAATCAAATAATAATGATATGTGATGTCATAAGCCCAAGAGCTGTTCTGAATGAAAAGGCAGTATTTATTGCATATAAATTTGTTCTGATGTTCTGTTCAGGCTGCCCCCTTATTCCTACCCTTCTCTTTTCATATCTTTGCAGAAACTGATTGTATGAAAAATTTGGATATCTTTGTACTATATGAATTCTAACAGCAACACAGGATACAAATTTAAAATATAAATTAAGTAATAAACACACAATGGGGGGCCAAAATTACTCAATGAGGACTGTGTGACCAAAGAATTTTATCGTATTGTTACTGTTGTGGGTGGGATAAAAAACTGGGTAGGGGAGGAATGGAGTAGGTATGATCTTCAATAGAGGGGTATTTTGTTTTAATATTTTTAGTAGGTTCCACTGATAGTATATGAATTCTAAGAATGGAACCAGTAAGAAAACATAAATGATAAGATGAAGTTGTTCCAATGGCAACCTTAAAGGCAAGAATGAATATAGTGATTAATTGGGCTTTTTAAAATGTCATTTCATATGCCTCTAATTTAACTTCTGTTTCATCCTTCTCAGATATTGCAAACCAATCGCAGAATTTGACCGAGTTAAGGAATATGGCTATTCAGTGGCGATCAGCTTCCATTCCGATGAACTCGTCACACACAGGGGTTTTTACATTGAATTCAGAGCTTTCAGTCTCACAGACTGTAAGTGGAGACAGAAATGGATGCTGTAGCTTTTGGAAACTGTGATTGAAAGCAAGGGCAGATGAAGAGATGCTGGGGATGTCGCTTAAGTTTAAGTAGGGATGGCCCAAGTTACAATCCTGCTGTTTCAAGCAGGGAGCAAAGTGCCCCCCACACACACATCATAACCATCACTGCCACCATGGTATTTGACCCTGCTGATGGATGAGGAGTCTTCTGCACTTACATGCTGCCTCTGGAGAAGGAAGAGGTAGACCAAAAACTGGCCTGTCATTAAAACCAGTTTTTGAAAGATCAGTTTTAAGAGGTCCTCTGGGAGCCAAGGCAGCTGGAAGGAATGTCCTGAGAAATTGCCTTTACCTCTTGATGTAAGAGAGAGGGGGAGGAAAGAAGAAAGGAAAAGCCAGCTCTAATAAGAAAGAACCAGTTGCTATACTATACTGCCTGCTTCTCTCTTCTCTGGGGACAGTAGGCAGAGAAACAGATGGAAGGAGACTAGATGCTTCTTTCTTCAGATCTGGGCAACATGGCAAAGAGAACACTCCTGGGCCAATGCTAATGGAAAGATCGAGCGGCATTTTTGTTGCCCCCCTCCCCACCTTCTATTGTCATTGGCAACTGTTTCAGTGCCACTAATGGTAGGGCTGAAACCATGCTTATGTTGTGTTTAAGAGACCTTATTGCATTATTAAAGCTTTAAAATTAGTAATGTTCTGTGGGTCACAGGTAATTTGAGGCCCTAGGGTTGGGCAATTTCAACAGGTTCAGGAGCCAATTTTATCCCCTCAAGTTCCCCCATGGATGCACAACCATCACAAAATGTGATGATGACAACAATAATAATAAGCACCTAGAGGTAACTGGATGTCCACTTCCATTTACGTTTTCATCCTAAACAATGCAGGGGCCATGAATCCTATTTAGAGGGGGAAACACTTCTCCTGGAATGGGCAATTCTCCTTTTTTTATACTGAAGGGGGCATATATATTTGAAATAATTATTAGGAGGTAGCAAAGAGCCTTGGGCAAACATAGAGTTCTTCTTAAACTGCACTGTTTATTTAACACTCCCCTGCTTTGCCCTTCTTTCACCCTGATTACCCTGATGCTTTGCTTCCATCAACTGTGATCTTGGAACATTACTTTTGATGACTACAACTCCTAAAATTGCAGTCAAAACAGCCTGTAGTTTGAACAGGTAAATATTTGAAGGCCTAACTCCTATTGGTAGAAGGGTAGCCATGTTCTAAGGTACCACTGCCTCCAATCCATGGCCAATGTAATACTGTGGCCTAACACTTTAAGAGGAGAAGGAAATTAGAAGTAATTATCTCAGACACTGCAGGCATAAACTCCAATACTAATTGTTCTGTTATTCACTGACTGTAGTACTGTACTCTGAAATACTGTTGTTGTTTTAGATTGTCCTAGACAATTTAAGTGTCCAGATAGAACATGCATTCCTTTAAACAGCAAGTGTGATGGATGGAAAGACTGCACAGATGGAAGTGATGAGACAAACTGTGGTAAGTTGATTCTGAGGGAGGATTCTGTTTTAATGTTTTAGATGCTTAGTGATGCATATGTTGGAGGAGAAGACATGTGATGTTAATAATAGGGAAAAAAAACATAATTTTGGATTCAATAGATTCTCAATAGGGAAAAACATAATTTTGGATTCAATAGATTCTCTGGTAGATCATGTAACCATCCACTTATCGAAAATAAAAGAGTTGACAACTTTGGTCTACTTTAGGGTTGTCAAGTCTGAGGGCAAACATTGAAGCCTCCTTTCTTTTGTCCAAGTAAGGAGGCAATGCTCAAGCAAATGGTCTGAAGAAGAAAGTTTGATTCTATTGTGTATGAAATGGCTTTAACACTTGACTAGCCATCTTATACTCATTTGCAACTTGCACCAGGGCCCACTGGGTCAGCACAAAGGTGTTTTGTGCATATATTGTGCATATACTTGTTTAGGAGGAAACCTTCATTGCTCAATTCAGGAAATCTGCAGTGGCTGAAATCCTGTTGTATAGCTCTGTGCATGTAATGTGTACAGTGTTAGCATCTGTGGCAAATTGTTGCTGATCATAGATGATTTCAGGCTGAAATCATCAAAGAAAGCTTTTGCCGCTGCTGCTGTTATTATCATCATTGGGCATGAAGAACTGTGCAACAACTTTCAGATAGTGTCATTCCCCCGCCCCATGTGTACACATGTTATTTTGCTTTCACTACACAAGAGCCTCATACATCAGAAGTGTGTTTTCTCTTTTTCTCAATTCCTGATTTTGGCCCTGAAATATCAGGAAATGGGAAACTATTTACCTCACAACTTGAAACTTCTCAGATGTATAACCATTCAGCTAAGCACTTTCAACTAAGCTATGCTCCTCATATACAGAGATTTGATGAGCACATGAGAACTAAAATAATGTCAGATAAAGCAAATATTTTCATCTACTGCAAATGATGAAATTAAAAGGGGTGCTAGAATATAGGGAACTGTGGAGACAGAGTTTCATTTCTTACTTAATTTGCTTTAATATTTTGTGGGGATTCTAACCAAGGGTTGGGTTGAATTGGGCCAGAACTAGGGTGTTAAATAGATTTCTTAAGATCCTGGTGAACTACAGTTCAAAGGAGTCATTAGAGGAAATCATGATAGTAAAAGTATTATGAATCAATATAGGCATTTATTATACGTTTTTTGTCTGCTGTGGAGTGTAATGCTACAGACATGATTATACAGTTTTTCTCTAGGTTGTAATCCATCCAAGCCTGATTGTAGTAATGGGAAGTGTAAACACCAATCCAGAGCTTGCAAAGGAGAATCCAGCTGTGAGAATGAAAGCAAAGAGGAGGAAAAAGAAAGCAGTTGTGGTAAATCTGATGTAATCTAATTTTTAGGCATGGGCTTCAGCTTCAAAATTTATTCAGATTCCAAATAAATTGAGGGTAATTGTCCAAATCAACCCAAAGCAAAGCAAGAGAACCTGAAGCAGCACTTTAATCAAAGCAGGGTTTTCAAAATCCCAAATATTGCTCCAGCACTTTGGAGGTTAAAACAGATGTTTTGATTTTTTTAAAAACAAACAAACCCAACCACTCATTGAGGGAAGGGGAGGCTAACAGAACCATGAAGCTCAAAGCAGAAGGAGACTGACAGCTCATATGTCTATGAAAAGCCCAGGTTGTCCTGGAAACCCACTCCTGGATCCTCTAGGAGAAAATTCTTCCTAAATGATCAGCGGCTATTTTGTGAGGGCTGCATGTTGGAGAATACAGAGGAACTCCTATGTGCCTTGCTTTCATTTTCTTCTTTAGTATTTAAATAACTCCTAATCTCAGCCTAATGAATTAAGTCTATGTCATTTTGTAGAATTTGATTGTGGTAGATCACAGTAACATTAGAAACGGTACCTATGGTATCTAAATTGCTTTGCTCCCTGCAGCTGTGGGAGAAGAAAGAAAGAAAAATGATGATAGCTTTCCCTGTATATTGGAGGGTTGCAGCCCCTTATTTCAGCCCCATTTTCATGTGTTTTTCTCACTGTTTAGACATATACAGATGCATACAAATACTTCTGAATATTAGGATGTGTATTTTAGTGGGAGGGTTACAAACTGATTTGAAGCAAATTGATAGCAATTCTTGAGGCAAATAATCATCTGGCAACCAGGGCCACTCTGGGTGGGTTAGACCAGATAAAACAACAGAGTAACAAAATAATACATATACAAAATAATACAATTGGGGCATAAATCAAATATCATAAAGTGCAGTAAAACAAATACAATAAATTACAATTAAAAGCATAAAATATTAGAGACAAGAAGCATGGCGGTGTGATGGATGATATTTTAGCAAACACTGTTGTATCATACAGCTGTTTGTTCAGAGAAGGCCTGCTTAAATAGCCAGGTTTTAACTGCTTCCTAAACGTGCCCAGTGAAGGAGCCAGGCAGACTTCAGGCAGAAGAGAGTTCCATAGTTGTGGGGCTACCAGAGAGAAGGCCTGATTTCTAGTGGTTGTTTTCTGGGCCTCTCTCGAGGTCAGAAATCTCAACTGCCCTGCCTGGGATGATCTTATAGGGCAGGCAGATCTAACTGAAGGAGGTGCTTGGCCAGATATCTAGGTCCCAAACTATTTAGGGCCTTATAGGTTAGCACCCTTACCTTGAAACGGGTACAGAAGCCAACAGGTAGCCACTGTAAGGCGGCCAGGGTGTGGGAGATGTGTTGGTGTTTTCTAACCCCACTCAGCAATCTGGTTGCCGTGTTCTGGACCCATTGCAATCTCCAAAGTAGTCCCAAGGGCAGCCCCAAGTAGAGAGCATTGCCGTAGTCTAATCTCAAGACTACTAGCACATGAACCAGCATGGTGAAGGACCCGGTGTCAAGTAGGGGCGCTGGTGGGTGACCCGCTTTAGGTGAAAATAAGCGGAACGGACCACAGATGCTACCTGTGATGCCATTGATAGCACTGGGTCCAGAAGTGGTTGTATAGACCAGATGGGTGGGATATTAAATAAATAAATAAATAAATAAATAAATAAATAAATAAATAAATAAATAAATAAATAAATAAATAAATAAATAAATAAATAAATAAATAAGTATGGAGCCAAAACAGCACCAATCATGTACATGATAGCTGAATCCCAAACTGTACTCAGTGATTCAGAAGAATGTTAAGTTGTAGACGTGCAGAAGAAGAAGAAACACTACATGGGGGTGAGGGCAAGACTAACTGTTGTCTATAACCAACAGCCTTGGAACACTAGCTAACTGTTGGAGAGATGGAAAATGGGTGGGGTGATGGAATTAAACATTTGGAATTTCGAATTGGTGTCCTTCTGTGCAACAGAATTTTGTTCCATGTCTCATTTATTGCTCACTTCTTTTTGATGTTTTGTACATGGCTGGTTTAAATCTCACTGTTTTTATTGCAATTGTATACCAGTACATTTGTGATATTTAAATTTCTCTTACTGGGCTCTAATTTTTGTTATTGTTAGTTGTCTTGGACATCTATTGTCAAGTGGGAAGGCAGCATATAAATATTTTAAATAAACAACTGCACCACTGTGACATGGTGATAGAAAGAAATTATTCATGAATGCTTATTCATTTATAACCCTAACACATTTCTGACATATATTAGAGGAAAACATATTAAAAACAAGCTACTCACAAGATAGCAATACCACCCGTGTTCTTTGTCGAACCAGACAAATCTTCTACTTTACACACACACACTATTCCTTTTTACATGGAGCTTAAAACAAAGTCCATTTTAAGAAGATTAACCAACAATTTAATAGATGGTACCAAAGATTGTGTTAATTTACAAATAATCTCCTAAATGTAATGAAATCTCTAAAGCAACATGCAAACTATTCCAGACCCACAAATAATGAGCTATTGATTCTTTTGTTATGAAATCATTCTGCTGGATGGCAAAATACCTTTAGGCCACAGTGTATTACATGAGCAAATTATAGTACCTGATGCTGACAGTGAAGAAATGACAGCAAAGTTTTTCTCATTAAAATCCATGCTGGGGGAAAAAGAGTCTAAGAACTAAATTCACAGATGACTTTTCCTGCCTCACCCAACCCTTCTTTGTGTATATATGAACTACAAGTCTGAGAAGATCAGAACCTAAGCTGTCAGGTTTTAGAAAAATGTTTAATCCTTATCTATGTGCAAAACTGCTGGAAAATACTGTCAACATGCAAAAGGTGTTTGGGCTTGAGTCTCGAGGCTGTGATGCAATTAAAGTTGTGCTTAAATTACACATTACGCTACAACCCCCACAGCTATTGGTTATACCAGGCAGCTGGCCAGGGTTGAGAATGGGGGAGGTGTTTAGGATCAATCATGTCAGCCACCATGGAGGTTGCTACATACTATTCATCCACCAGAGCATTGACAGGATACCCAACAAGATCAGCTGGTATCCCTCACATTGCCTCTTGGCAACCAACAGGATCCAATAGCCTGTGGGGGCAGACCATCTTAATGGGCTCCTGCTCCCCACCGAGGGGGGGGAGTGCCACTAACAGGTTACATTTTTTAGGTGGTGGTCCGACCATGACAAGGGGAGTGATATCAAATCGTTCACTATCGTTCCACTCTCTTCCTGGCATGTTGAGAGTACCAGGTCTAACTTGTGACCCACCAAGTTGGCGGGACCATAGACAAACTGGGACATGTCCAAGGAAGCCATCGTAGAACTCAAGAGCTGGACCTGTGGCTCCAACCTCAGCATGGACATTGAAGTCACCCAGGACAATTAGTCTGGGGGACCTCAGTGCCACGGCCGAGATGAAGTCCACCAGCTCCGGAAAGGAAAGCACTGGGTTGCAGAGAGCACGGTAAACACTTTCCATCCCAAATCCATCCCTTCTCCCCACCAACACGTGGAGGGCCTCAAGTCCCAAGATGCTCAAGGCAGAAAGCCTAACAACCTCTAAGGTGTTTTTATAAATAATGGCAATTCCCCCTCCCTGACCTTCCAATCTACCTTGGTGCCGTATGGAATTAATGAGAGGGTTACAGTCCCTCTGGATCAAGTCTTGGATTAGCTGGGCCTTATTTAAATCAGATCTGGCATTTAACAGCATCAAGGATAGAGTGGAGGGTTGGCTCAGCAAATTACCTCGATTCTGGTCGCTGGCCACAGAGCTGGAACAAGGGACAGATAATCTGGACTGAATTGAAGCAGATGGTATTCTCATACCCCTACTGAAAAAATCTGTATTCATAATTTCTTTTTTAAAGCTGTCTTTCTTCCGAGCAACTAAGAGTGGCACACATGACTTTGTGAGATGATTAGTTCGAAGATTATAACTATCCCAGTGACTCATAGTGCACATCATGACTGAGTTTGAGTTCTAACCCAAGCATCCCATTTCTAGAAAGCCAATGTGATGTAGTGGATAAAAAATTAGGATTCTTGACCTGCTTAACCATGGTGGCTCACAGGGTGGGGTGGAAATGGTAAGCTACCTAATAAGCATCTTGCATATCTTGAAAACCCAGTTGGGATCACTGCAAGTCAGAAGTGACTTGATGGCACATAATACACTCTCACTGTTCATAACCTATCTGCTACATGGCAATGGCTCTCACCAGCTTCCTTTAGCATTCCAAGTATAATTGTCACATTTAAGAAGGGTGGGAAACCTTTGGCTCTGAAGATATAATGGACTACCACTTTTCTAATCACCTTCAATTGGACATACTGCCCAGAGCTTCTGGCAGGTCTAAAGTATCTGGAAAGCAAAGTTTTCATACTCTTGGAATGTAATATCATAGGCAGAATAACTTCTATATCCTAGATATTTTAGACCAGTGGCCACAACATTGGATCACCAGAGAGGTCCCAAACAGAAAACTAATGTGTTCTTTTGGCTAGCTCTTTTGGCTAGGTCTTCTGTGAACCACAGAATGTGCTTTTTCTCACAGAGAATGTAATGAGTTGTGCACATGGCCTCAGAATCACAGCTGTATATCTTCACAATATGCAGTTATTCTAGTGGCAAAATAGAGCTTCTAGTTTTCCCTGTCCACATGTTCAAGTGATATGAAAAATTGCCAGACATTTATGAAATGATCCTAACAAACATAGCTTTGTAAAGATGTATTGAATTAATTTTGCTGCGTGACCTATGAGACAGCACCATTAACTTCAGTAACAGCTCTCTCATCTGTCATGGTGTCCTTCCAGGGTATAATAGTTGCTCACCTCATGCATACAAATGTCTGAATGGAAAATGTCCAATTAAGCCAAACCCAGAATGTGATGGAATACGAGACTGTGCAGATGGATCTGATGAAATGAATTGTGGTATGTAATCAATGGTTGAATTTCTGAAGTGAAATGAGATGCTTGTATGTGTTCCTGCAAGTATATCAGGACTGCACATCAAAAATTTCTGCATGGTGAGCCCTACCATTTGGCAATAGAAAAGCAAACGGGTATTAATGTTTTTTTCCCATCAAAATAACTCAACCACACAGCAGTCTTTGGAAGAGTTACTGGGGAGTGGGCAAAGTCTGGCTGTTATGGCCAGTTAGATTAGACCCATTGAATGAATGGGATGTGAATTTTTGTCCACTGCTATAAGGAAAAGAGGCCTTTAAGGAAATTGAAAAAGAGAAATGGTGTGCCCCACTAGCTATCAGTTCTGGTCTCATTTGCCCCCTATACTCCACGCCTCCTATACTCCCCCTATACTCCACCCCATAAAAGTTTACTAGCAGATGATGCTTCTCAAGAATATTATGTAATATCATCCCCTCTTAAAATAATGATACAATAAAACAAGCAAATTTTTCCCAATGACTGAATGGGAAAATGAAAGATGAAGTGAAAACCAATGTTTTGATCCTGTGATTCGGTGCTGAGGGCATAGGTGGTCTGATGGGGCAATGGGGCTCTGTCAGTTACATGGGCAAAAATCCATTAATTTCCCTGGAAGAGGCTGACCTGTATATGTACAAGGATGGGTTGACAGTGTCCCCTTAAGTGTAATTTTTTAAAATTCAGGTATGTACTCCTAGGATACACAGTGTGATCTAGGGGATACAGTGATGGACTAGGACTTAGAAAACCTGGGTTTGAATCCCCACTCAGCCATGGATGCCTACTGGGGGGAGTGGAACTGGTAAAGTCACTCCTTAAATATCTTGCTCACCTTGAAAGCCTATTAGGGGCACTATAAGTCAGATTCAACTTGATGACATATCAAGCTTTATAGGACACAACCACTGTATTTCAATGCTTTCTTTAAAAAAAGTTTAGATTTGCAAGTAAGGCACTTTGGCCACACCCCTTTTAGCTAACTCCCGCTACTTACATTTGGTGGGGACTCGAGAGAGGGCTTTTTCTGTGGCTGCTCCCAGATTATGGAAATCCCTTTCTTGTGAGGTGTGGCTGTCCCCTTTCCTCCTTTCCTTCCTTCTGCAGTTTTAAACTTATCTTTTGAGAGAGGTTTTGGAGGAGTCAGCAGGCAACTGAGATTGGCAGGGGAGGGAGCCTTTAACATTTTGATTTAAATCATGTTTAAAAATATTTGTATACCATAGTTTCAAATTCTGATTGGTTTGTTTTAATTAGTAACTACAGTTTCTAAAATGTTGTGTGCTTCCTTGGGACCCCAGTAGGGAAGAAAAGTATTATAAAAATCAAATCAACTGAAAACAGATAGAAGTGTACTGGGTATTGCACTGCAGAAATGAGTTTATGGACATGCTTTTTTCAAAATAGAAAATAATCTTTGTGCGTATTATATTTATACCAGCATGTGGAAGGAGTTACCTAAAAAGACCCAGAATTGTTGGTGGTGAAGACGCAAGGTCTGGGAAGTGGCCTTGGCAAGCAAGTTTGCAGCTAGGACTGTATGGTCATATCTGTGGCGCATCAATTATTTCAAACAGGTGGTTGGTATCTGCTGCTCATTGCTTTCAGGACTCTGATTCTATAAGGTATATATTATAATGTGGTGATATATATTTATTATTGTTAACTTTCTTGTTGCTATGTCGTCAAGCCATCTCTGACCTATTAGAATCCTAGAAAATGTCCTGTCCTCAATTCCCCTGCTCACCTCTTGTAAACGCAAGCATATGGCTTTCTTTAGCGAGTCCGTCCATCTCATATTTAGTTTTCTTCTTTTCCTGCTGCTTTCAACCTTTTCCAGCATTATTGCTTTCTCATGATGAGCCTGAAGTAGGACAGCCTCAGTTTCAACATCTTTGCCTCCAGAGATAGTTCAGGCTTGATTTGTTCTAGGATCCACTGGTTTGTCCTTCTGGCAGTCCAGGGTATCTGCAAAGCTCTCCTCCAGCACAGTGTTTCAAATGAATCATTTTTTTTCTTGTAGCTTTCTTAACTGTCCAGCTTTTGTACCCATACACAGTGATCAGAAATGTGGATGATCTTGGTTCTTGACACATCCTTACGTACCCATATACAGTGACCAGAATTACAAGAATATGGATGATCTTGGTTCTTGACACATCCTTACATTAGATTATCTTTTCTCATTCTTTCATTGCTGCCCTTCCTAGTCTCACTTTTGATTTCTTGGCGGCAGTCTCTGTTTAGATTGATGATGGTAACCGAGGTATACAACATCTCTAACTAGCCATAGTAATACTGCTAAGTTCATCTGATGACATAATTATTTTATAAACACTAATATACACATGCAGAGACAGAATTTTCAAAATTGCAAACCTACACCCACCTACCAAAGAGTAAATCCATTGAAGTTCTCTCATTGAACTCAGTGGGAATTCTATTTGTAACTCATTAGGACTTACATTTGAGTATGCATGGACAGGATTAGCGGTCTGTTCAATCCAACTCTTAATTGAGACTGCATCGTAGACCCACATATATCTAGCATCCTGGATGAGAGGCAGTTCCCAATAACATAACTCTTATCTTGTAGAAAGTAACTGTTTTTGATGATGTTGAGTCATTATACAATATTTATGGAAGGAATATCTACCTATGAAATCTACTATTAGAGTTCAGTAAAACATCCCAGTTTAGAAGCATGATGCCACTGAGACACAACAGCAGGTGCTGTCTCCAACCCTGTTTGTGGCTTTTGTTCCAGGACCTGTTTGTGAGAAGTGCCATGCTTGATGACATAGGCTTTTGTGTGAAAAGTACTTGTGGACGGTTAGATAAAGGTGCAAGGCGTAAAAGTAAGAGGGCCTGCTCCCACACCTATAGCAAAGCTTTCAGTGTTGGGGAAACCCAATAATCCCTGACCTTCCACCTCAAGTTCTCTGGCTCTCTATCTGTGAAAAGCAGCCATTCTGAAGAATAGAGCTTTCACTATCCCTGAGTTAGAATCCTGGAAATTTAGAATTCATGTGGAGAGTCTTCTTGGATAGTAGTTACTCTGTGGTTCAGGGAGTCGTCCACACAGTGGAGAGGATGCAATTATCACTGAGGAAATGAGCCTATTGTGCTCCCCCTTCTTGCACATTGAGTCAACATACCTCAATAATCACTGACAGGGGAGATTCATCTCATGCAATTTTAAGAGTTCACTGTTTCTTTTAAAATATTTCATTTGTATTATCTGATCACCTACAGGTGTTAACCATATGGACCCAGATAAAGTGACATAACTTAAGCACCTGAATTCTTGTTGCATTGCATATGTTACTGTTTTATTCTTTCATAGATTCTGTGGATATTTCCTAGATGTTATAACATTCCAGTGATGCACACTGAAAACTGATTGTGCACAATGCTTATAAGAACAACGCTTGTAAGACTGCACCTTTTGCCTCTTTTTTCCAGATACTCGATAGCATCTGGTTGGAAGGCATATATGGGTATAAGGATCATTAACAAAAACAGTAATGATCCTGAAGCTGTGAGACCGATCAAAAGGATTATTGTCCATCCACACTATGACCAATATATCTCAGACTATGACATTGCCCTCTTGGAAATGGAGACCCCAGTCTTCTTCAATGAGCTGGTACAGCCCATATGTTTACCAAGCAGTCCTAGAGTATTTATTTATGGAACTGTCTGCTATGTAACTGGCTGGGGAGCCATAAAAGAAAATAGTATGTTCATTTCTGGATATGTTCATTGCAATTTGGAAGTATCCCTAATATACTGTATAATGTATTTTTGTGGGTTGTAATTATGGATTGCTCTGGGGAGCTGATCTTGGCTAAAGATATGGGATATAAATAGAATTTTTTAAAAAAACTTTAATGGAACTAAGGTAAATAAGATAAATGTCATTTGTGGCCATTCTTTGTGATAAATTATACAAATCCTTAGGTTGTTAACTTTCATAAACTATTGGGAAGGTAATATCTCTCCAATCTAGACAAAATGGAGTTATGTACAGTCAATATATTCAATTTATCAAGTGCTGTGAATAACATTTGTACCATGAGAGCACGTAATCAAGTAAAAGTTAAAGGTCTAGGACAGATTTGTGATAGCATTTAATTTTCAGTTCCACAGTTTACAGTCTAAATTACTATACTTGATTTATGCAATGTTTCTGCAATGATTCTTTTGATTTAGGTCAGCTTGCAAAAACACTACAAGAAGCCAAAGTGAAAATAATTAATCAAAGTGTTTGCAGTAAACTCTATGATGATTTGATTACTTCTCAAATGCTGTGTGCTGGAAACCTTAATGGCGGTATTGATGCATGCCAGGTAAAGCAGAAATTAAACTCCAAAAAGGAACAATGATTTTTTAAAAACATGTCTGCAAATTAAATTTTAGAAAAGGAGGAGTTTTCATACACTTGTTTTTTTTTAAAAAAAAGTATAAGCATGGATGAGTTTAATCACAAATTGCCCATCAGTAATTTTAGCATATAAAATATTTTGGAGGCAGGATCTAATGGAACTGCAGTAGGGGAAATTCCCCTGCTCTACTGAAGCCTCCTGTGTAGTCCAGATTGACTTGCCAGGTGGGAAGGCACAATCTGTAGAGTTGGAACAAAGACTGTTGAACAGTGGAAAGACCTGCCTTGGAAGGTGGTGGATCTCCTTCATTCAAGGTTTTCTAATAGGGATTGGTGGTCCTCTGTCAGGGACACTTTTATCTGTGGATTTCCCATATCGTTAAGAAGTTAGACTACATGACCCTTGGAGTTTCTTCCAACTCTACAGAGTCCTATGGCAGCAACTCTTAGTAGGGCAACTAAGCTTCTTTCTTCTAATAACTCTACTTTTCTTCCTGTCAGGGTGATTCTGGAGGCCCATTAGCCTGTCTGGGAAGAGGAAACAGATGGTACCTCACAGGCATTGTCAGCTGGGGTGAAGGATGTGCTCGAAAGAACCGACCTGGGGTTTACACCAAGGTCACAGCACTTTATGACTGGATTCGTCAGTATACAAGCTGATATAGGGCTTGAGGAAAAAGCCAGAAGCACACACACCTTCTTATTGGAGCCCTGAAATGATAATGAATAAAGCAAATTATATAATGTGAGGAAAGTGACATAAAGAAGAAAAAGGAATGATTAACTATATAATTTAAACCGGAAAATATTGTGGACTTTTTGCATTTCTAAATAACAATGTGGACTTAAACAGGCATTATTTCCCTTTATAATTTTATGGTGTTTCATCAGCAAATAAGAGAAAATGGAATAGCACCTTTGATTGGCATCTCCCGAAACTGTTCTGATGGTTCTTCTGCTTTGCATTAACCTTGATCTTGCTTTTTTTACTGTGTGCTACTAATATGGTTTTCTTCTGCAACATCAGAGAAACACTGCCAGTTTTCGAAATGCAAGAAAAACCACTGGAAGTCCTATATACAGTACACTGAAAATAAAAGATTACTTTTGAGAATGGGACCTGATCTCTGTTCAAAGTTTCATGCCTCCCCCTCCCCCCTGCAACCAAATTTCTGACTGAGCTGGCTGCAAATTGTCTTCCCCTGGTTCCTGAAGTGGACTTTCCATTCATGCAGCCACTGCTCCCACACCATCTCGTAGCAATTTATGAATATCAGATACACTGTAGATAATGGATTGTACAGGAATTTTAGCAACAGAAAGGAATGTATCAGACAAAGAAGTAAAAACCATTCATAAATAAAAGCAACGATACCTAGACATCAACAAAACAAAACAAAAATAAAGTGTGTGTTGATGGTAATGAGTTAATGAATAGAAATATGTATTTGTTGGGGATACACAGAAGCTTCTGTGAACAGTAAAAGGGTGGTAGAAACCATAAAGCCTGGATGAGAGATATTCAGTAGTTGTGCAGAAGAAAGTTCTGATTTGCTAAACAGCTGTGAATGATTAAGCTACAGACTTCATGACACCTTCAAGAGGAGAGCACCAAACTTGCTCAGAATGTTGTTAATGATTTATCTCCAGTCTCAGCTCTCTTATCAATAAGAGAGTGAAAGGGGCTAAAATCCTTCTTGAACTCCATGGGTCTTATTTATGAACAGACACACGTAAGTTTGTACCGTAAATGTTGATTAATGTAATTCATACAGGGTTTGTATATACTGTAGTCAATCTGATTTCAAAATGCCCACTGTGGGCGACTGGCTTGTAGACTAAGTGAGATACAGCACTCTGTTTAGCTCTGTTTAGCAGCACTATTACTGTTCTTTCTGTTTTCCATTTAATTATTAATAAACAGTGTTTGACCTCACTTGGGGGTTATAGCTTGATCTTGGTCTCTTGGTCTTTGGGTTTGTTTTGAGTATGTTCTCAAATGTTTGCATTGTTTTAAAATAGTTTTAAAGCTGTTTCATTGACTATACCCTTTCCTGGAATCTTAAGATGTAGGGCACGACATAAATATTTTAACACAAAACTACATAGATACAAATAAGGGGATGGACTAGTATTTGCCAAGCACATAATGTGAAGACAAGACATCCTTGTCTGGGCTTGTTTGGATGAGCGTTAATTCACAGGGAGATGTATGTGATCTCTCGATAACAAACCAGGAGTGGCCAGAACAGTTGATGAGCCACCTGCAGAAGGCCCTGAATTCAAAGCTAAACATGTTCAGGTAGAGCTGGAAAAGATTCCCATCAGCATTTTTGAATAGCCTCTGCCTGGAAACATCAACAGTGCTGAGCAAATACTTTGTATTGTGACTGGCCTTCTCCAGGACACTGGCAAAAGTGCTGTAGAGGAGAAAACTGTACCCAGACTCTCCATGCAGAGATACAGAGTCCTGTGTCTGCCTGCACTTCCAGGTTGGCGATTTCAGTCCTACTTTTTTCAGTCCAACTATGCATGGCTTAGATGGAGAATATGTAGTCCTCCAGATGTTGTTGGACTGCCACTTCCATCAGTCCTCATCACTGATTATGCTGGTTAGGCATCATGGGAGTTGCAATGAAAGAGCATATGGAAGGTGGAAGGTTATGCATTCTTTACCACAGGGTTAGTTCAATTCAAGAATTGCTGTTATACTCATCAGTTGGTAAAGAAAGGAAAAATAAAATCTAGAGATGTGGACTCTAATAACTTGAGTAGTGAAAATGAACTGAATCTGGATTATTTGTGCATTTCTGAGGTGTCCATGCCCCACACAGATCTTATGAGTTAAATCTGGCATGCATGAGGTTTGGAAAAGTTAAAAAAGACATGATGTGGTTAAAGATAAGAAAATGACCAAATTTTCATAAAGAAGAAGTTGAGCCAGTGCCAAATGAGAAGATCTCAGTGGCAAATTATTAACAAATCAGTGTAGGTGCTTTTTGTTGCATGCTGAGTTGCACGATAGCAAACATCTAAACTATTTTTAATGGCAAGTCACCACTGGGATTTATGGAAATTGCATTATGCCTGTAACAGGGTTCCATTCATTCTTGTTAAAGAATGAAAGTATATTATAATGTGAGTTTTTGTGGACAATTGTTCGCTTCCTCAAATACATGGGGTGTTAACCATAATGTTGTTGGGAATGTTTTGCCATTTTGCATTCACTAACACAGAGAGTCAGTGGGAGAGAGTTAAGCCATAAAGTGATTACTCTTTGTCACTAACTTAATTTGTACAGTTTTTACCCACCTCTGGCACTGGGCCAGCCCCTTCTTCCTGTTTACTTAGGTCCCTTTATCTGTTGTTTGCTTTCTTCTCTGGTCCTGTTTTGAGAAGGAAGCATGGAGCAAAAGGAACCTTCCTCAATACTCTCTAACCATTTTTTTTCTCTTGGTTGTAATTGCAGCTGATTACTGTATCTACAGATATACTGTATCTAAACTCATTTCTCTACTTAAGATTCATCTTCTAGAGTGATGTTTTACTACAGAAACTGCTAGATTTGTGTGATAAAGGAGAACTAGGGAAACTGGACTAAATTTTTCCATGTGTCTGTGTTTTTCTGCCTTGTGTTCTGCTTACTATGGATTAACCCAATCCCTAACATAAACCTTGTTTTTTCAAAAACAAACATCCACTAAGTATAAGGTTCAATACTCTCTAACAATTTTTTTCTCTTGGTTGTAATTGCAGCTGATTACTGTATCTATAGATATACTGTATCTAAACTCATTTCTCTACTTAAGATTCATCTTCTAGAGTGATGTTTTACTACAGAAACTGCTAGATTTGTGTGATAAAGGAGAACTAGGGAAACTGGACTAAATTTTTCCATGTGTCTGTGTTTTTCTGCCTTACTATGGATTAACCCAATCCCTAACATAAACCTTGTTTTTTCAAAAACAAACATCCACTAAGTATAAGGTGGAAATATAGGGCAGGAGCTGGGACTGTATGTAGTGTGAGGAGAGGAGCATTAAATGTAGGAAGTGCCCACAATGACACATATATCATTAATGAAAATATTGCTGATTCAACAATCACACAAATGAGCAAATATGTGTGATCACTGGTTATTCCAGTTCAGACTTCAGTGGAATGTATTGGGATCTCCTGATGAATCACAGCTCAATTCTCTCTACCCTTGAAACTTCTTTAATTCGCAACAGCTACTTTAAGATCAGTGACATACATAATTCCTATTCGTTCAAAGTCTGTTTTTTCAAAAACTTTCACAGAAGCAATTATCTGAAGTTCGTCTGTAAATTTCAGGATTGTCTTAGTGTTTGTTAGGCAAAATCCTGCCCTCAAAGGATTAAATTAGCTTCTCATTTTGTCATCAGCCATTGCTCAACAAAAGACACTTGGTTTCTATCTGGCCTGAATTTGTCCAGCATTAAGTTGCAGGCATGGTTTCTTATGTAATCTTTCTGTCACTGCTAGAATTCTTTGAACTTATCGCTAAAGGCTTTTATTTCACTCTAACAAAGGATGGTGCTTTTATGTATCGCTCTAGCAAAGGCTGGGTTGCCTCAGATTAAGTTATCTGCTGGTGTCTATAGAGGGCAGCCTAGGTAAAGTGGGCAAACTGGAAAATCCAGACCGGCTTTGCACAACTTTTGAATATGACTTTTGCATTTCCTGATTCCAGAGAACTTGGCACTTCCTGGTTTTTTTTTCTCTTTCTCATGGGAACACCTGCAGAAACTATTTCTTGCTCTACGCTGTTTCATTTAGTCATCCCAGCTCCTAGGAACATGTAGGCTGAATGGAAAGGCATTCACATTTTGCACTGGGTGCTACTTTCAGACAGATAACTGGAGCTGAAAAATGCAGAGGAAGTTGGTTTTTCCTGTTGACATGTCCTGTGCTGTGAGGTCCTCTATTGCAAAGCCCTTCACTGACAACTAGAAGCAATGAATGGCCACGTTCCTCTACAAGATGCAGAGCACATTGAATTGCAAATAGGAAGGGAAGACGGAGAAGACACTGTGACCACATCAGATGAGCCTCTTCAGCCCCAGGTCCCCAGTTCTGTACAGGTAAGGCCCTGATATATTCACTTTCTGTATTATAATGACAGGGCAGTGTGATTAGTTTATTGGCATTATATGAGCACGTAAGTTAATTGCTTTAGAGGCACGTGGACTACAAAGATTTAATTCTAATGGAAAGGAAGGGGGAAGTCCAGTGTAAAAGAACCCTATACAACTGTTTAACAGAGGCTTTATGGCAGTTTTTCACTGCTATTTAACAAATATAAATTGTGTTTAAAATGCGTACCTAGATGCTGGAGAACGTGTCCTTGCCTGGCTAGAAGAACAGCTGTCTTGATGTGTCAAAAAAGGCAAATGTGCTGAACTCTGAAATTTCAAATACAGTAGCCTACGCCATGATCAGATCAAAGTGGATCTCACCTCTGCTATGAACTCAATAGAAAGATTTTATCCATCCTATACATTTAAGTGTCTATCACTGAAATTAATGACACCTTATTGGATCATACTTGCTGTAATGTACTTTCTAAACAAAATTGGGATATGTAGCCATTGAGGATTTTTTCCCCCACCATTCGTAAGAGAGCCTAGTGACACAGAGCTATAAACCAGGAAGTCCTTAGTTTAAATCTTATCTTGCTTTTCTGCCATGCGCTTGTGACAGAGCATGTGGCCATGGTTGGCACTGCCCATCTATTCCTGAAGTCTAGTTTTGCCATGAGCCAATTAGTGATCCTCTCATCATGGGAGGTACAGTGATGGCTAGAAGAAAGAAGAACTCCCTCTTGCAAGGAGGTATCATATACCTTCTTCCACAAGCTTCAAAAAAGCAAAACTGCTGTTGCAATTAGGTGCTGCATGTGTAATATCACTATAGGATCCTGGGAGGAAGGGCAGCACACATTCTCCACATCCCATCCCTCTAGCAAGCTGTGCCTGGTCCCATTCCCTGGTCCAGGCATTCTGGATCTTCAATATCTGGTCCTCAGCCCACAGGGAAGTTTCTTTCCAAAGCCCTGTGGTGTTACTGCTGCCTCAGCTTGTGTAACAAGAAGGCTCACAAGTTGTGATGGTGATGACCCACTCCCTGCCTTGCTCCAAACAGCAGGATGGCTCTAGTTGTTTTCCCGGCTCCTTCCCTTATGTTTAAATGCCAGACTTTCTCTTTCTCCTATGCGCTGGAACCTGGGACATGACTCTTCACTTGTAGATCCAAGAAAGCAGAACATTGCCATGAGACTTCAGGCAGTGCCTGAAAACCTGACAACGCAAAACGTTGCTAAATTCAGGGACTCATTAGTCTTCTACCAACTTCTAGCTATTATTCCCCTTTCCTCTCAAAGATTTTAAGCAGTAACAAGGTCAAGGAAAAGGAAAAGGATTTCTTGCTGACCTAACATCTCCTTTCAACAATAATTCAGTCTAGAGGAAGAGGGTAAATGAATAGGCAGTGATGCGAGTGCCAAAAAGGTGGAATTGCTGAGCACTCACTCAAAGGCCCTCCATCGTATGCCACCAACACAACTTTCAAAGTGTTCTTAGGTCAGGAGTATGGAACATGTGGCCCTTCAGATAATTCTAGCTGAAGTAAAAAAAAAAATGGTTCTTCTCTCCTGACTAAGGCAAATCAAGTCTGTCTCCACTTGGAGTATTATCACTGTTTTAAAAAGGTAGGGTTGTTATAAGAATTGCAAGAATAATTTGCATATGAAGGTCTTTGAAAACATGAAACTGGTGTGTAAGTAATATTAAATGTGGTGTAGCTAGCTTCTTCCTCTTGCTCCTCTTCTTCTAGAGGTTCAGCTTTCTCAAGAGTATCTTGGCCTTGAATATAGCAGCTCTAAATGATGTTCTGTTGCACCCAAACCAACAGTATGATCTTCATTGATTGCTTTCTGGACATTAGCAAGAATGTTCTTTTTTACAAAGCAAAAAAAAATTAACTATGCCTGATTTCACTTAATAAATGTCTGATTAAATGTTATTACCTAATATTCATTGAGCATTTACGATGCATGGCACCCTCTTCAAGGTCAATTATTAGCTCTGCTCAGGTGTGATATCTAAAGAGGTGGCAGGGATGAAGGGGCACACGTAAGCCTCCTCCATTCCTCAAGACAGATCATCACACAATTAGCCCAAAGAACTACAGCCTGTAAGGCCATTCAGCAGAACCCTCTTACAAAACTTCCATTATGTTTTCCAACCTTGTATTCAGGGTCTTGCCATGTTTTTAGGCATAATGCCTGAAGAGGGCTATGGACTCCAAGCTATTAGACTATCTATTGGGTGTATCCTTAGTTGAATGTGTGTATAATGGAGTCTATCCATGCAGTTTTTCCAGTGCTTGGTAACATAACTTCTTTGGACTACAACTTCCAGAATCCTCCCAGGCCACATACTCTTGGAGTCCCTTAACTAGTGTTTTCAAATTCTGAGTTTCTCTTCCCATAAGCTACAACCATGGAAAGCTTTTAAAAGGAGAGATATTCCCGGTTCCCCAATGCTAAGTGGCTTGAAAGGACAACCAAGAAGTTCGATCCAGTCATATAAACTTTCATGCTTCTTTGAATTATTCATATGGTTCCTTCTGGTTCATATTACAAGATCTGATACCTCAAAGGTTGCAAGTCATACTCATCTGAAACTACAGTATTTGTTATCTGGTTGCTAGTGGTTCTTAAGCAAACAAGGTGTTCTGTAGGCAGCTAGGTATGTAGCAAACACTCTCTCCCTTCAGGCTTATCAAATGCACATATTTACCAAAGGTGTTAACAGTCAGCTCAGTGGTGTCGGAAGTTTAGTACAACTGTCTCTGCTACTTGTTAACATCCAGCTGTCCTCTTTACTCCTCCCCTCCCAGTTTATGTTCATTTCCTCTTTGACCTGTAGCTTTCCCACAAGCTTCTTCCTTCTGTTGCTCACACTCTGAATTTTCTATTTTGCTTCACAAATTGGCAAACAGGACCCATCATACAGAGTGTGTGCTAGCATCATTCAAACAATAATTTTTTGGGGTTAGTGACTGACACTTTTCCCTTTTTCCCCCCCTAGGATAAAGGCAGATTGAAGTCATGTTCCACGATTGTATGTTGGAAATGCAAACTATGGATGGTTGCTGTGTCCATTTTCTTCTTGATAATCTTTGTGATTATTTTAATTTTAATTTTTTATCCAGGTATGTACTTCTAGGATACCCAGTGTGGTGCAATGGATAGAGTGACAGACTAGGATTTAGGAGGCCTGGGTTCAAATCATCACTCAGCCGTGGAAGCTCACTGGGGGTGTGAAACTGGTAAAACCACTCTTTAAGTAACCACACTCATCTCGAAAGCCCTATTATGGTCCGTATAAATTGGTTCTGACTTGACAGCACATAACAATAAGATGTACTCTTACCCAAATATTTCAGGCTTGAAATTATTTCAGAATTATTGGAGGACGGAAGGCTGTTCTCCACTACAGTACTAACTACTGATTAATGATAGAACAAATACTCACTAAAATCTTCATTGTTGCTGTTCTTGTTTTTGCTCACTTTAGCGGTCTCACGACAATGAGTTATCTAAATAATGTTAAAACTCTGTTATTGCCTTCCCTCATCTCTGTAATTTGCACAAGAAAGTTTCTAGATTATCTTTGAGAAGCAAAGCATGTGCATGCATACCCCCACACATGCATACACAAATGCACATTAATCCCAGAAGGCCTGATGACTGCTACAAGACAGTGGGAACCCATCCAATGTTTCAGATTCTTAAATGAAGCAGCAGTTGTCACAGTTTGGAGTTGCACCATTTTCTACAAATCTGGATTACTGAACAAAAGAGGCAGTTTTTTTTTCAAACTGGCAATGTGACAACTCTGTTGAGACCCTTACAAAGTCTCTTACTGTCATTGCTGGCTAGGAGAAAAGAGTTGCAGTTCCTCGTCTTTACATGACGAAGGAGAGAAGCAAATATTCATATTGGTTGTTGTGGGTTTTTCAGGCTCTTTGGCCATGTTCTGAAGGTTGTTCTTCCTAACGTTTCTCTAGTCTCTGTGGCTGGCATCTTCAGAGGACAGCACTCTGTGCGCTGGTGTAATTTGCTTGGGAGTGGAGTATTTATGGCCGTGAGATAGGCTTTTGTCTTTTTCAGGAGATGGGTGATTAGTGTGTCTGTTGTGGGTGTATGGTGTGGTAAGGAGGAGCGATTATCTGTCACTGTGATTGATGGGTGTCATTAGCTGGTCTTTTGTGTGTAGTGATCCCCAGTCCTTGTGGCTGGGTAGAGTTCGTTGACCTTTTGCACGCTGTATTTTTGAGAGCTGGGAGCCAAGTTTTGCTGAGCTTCACACTTTCCTCTTTTTTGTTGAAGTTCTGCTGGTGCTTGTGGATTTCAATGGCTTCCCTGTGCATTCTGACGTAATGATTGCTGATGTTGTCCAGTATTTCAGTATTTTGAAATAGATTTTCATGTCCAGCTTTTTTAGGGCATGTTCAGCTTCTGCAGATTTTTCTGGTTGTTTTAGTCTGCAGTGTCTCTCATGTTCTTTGATTCTGATGTGGATGCTTCGTTTTGTGGTTGCAATATATACCTGGCCACAACTGCAAGGTATCCGGTGTACTCCTGCAGTGGTGAGGGGGTCCCTTCTGTCCTTTCCTGATCGTAACATTTGTTGTATTTTTGTGGTGGGCTTGAATACTGTTTGTAGGTTGTGCTTTTTCAAAAGTTTCCCCATGCGGTCCGTGACCCCTTTGATGTATGGCAGAAATACTTTATTTGTGGGTGGCTGTTTTTCTTCTTCAGTTTGGTGTTGTTTTCTTGGGTGGATGGCTCTTGTGATTTCATTTTTGGAGTAGCCATTTGCCTGCAGGGCCCAGTTCAGATGGTTGAGTTCAGTGCTGAGAAATTGAGCTTCACAGTTCCGATTTGCACGGTCTACAAGTGTTTTCATTATGCCTCTTTCCGCCGTGGGTGGTGGTTGGAGTTTTTGTTTAGGTGCCGGTCTGTGGGGGTGGGTTTTCTATAGACCTTGTGTCCCAGTCAGAGGTTAGTTTTGCACAGGACCATGACATCTAAGAATGGGAGTTGGCATTTCCCCACTGTGCCTCTTAGAGAATAACTGGCCTGTGTAGCCATGTGCAAGCTGCTCAGTTCCAAAATGCTCTCAGATGAAGGGAATGGTAAACCACTTGTGAGTATTCTCTGCCTTGAAAACCATGGGAATGATTGTCATTAAATCAGAATTGATGTCATGCAATAAAACTGGCTGGATAACTCAGTGAGTTACGTAGTTATCTGGCTGGGAGTTCAATTCCCCACTGTGTATCCCAGAGAAGTTAGCCTGTGTGGCCTTGGGCAAGGTGCACAGTTCCAGAATGTTCCCAGAAGAAGGGAATAGTAAATAGCTTCTGAATACTCTAGGCTACATGACCTCAGCACACCTTTTTTCCCCCTGGGAAGCATGCTTTTTGTTCCAATGTTAGGTAAAATAAACAGCTGGCAGAGGCATGTTTATTTGAACTCACATGTGAACTCTATTGCTTTTGAATCATTTTGGCATATGTGAATGCATCTGTTGGAGTAAATTATGTCCATGGGTTTGTCAAGTACAGTGATGGACGCCAGGATTATGGGTTTCAGGCTGCAGTCCGATCTGGTGTTTTTTTTTTCAATCTGTAAAACTAACACTGTGATATGTGCAAGAAAATTTTAAAATAGCAGCCAGTGTGAGGGGGAAAGTGCTCCCTTCCTTCTTTGTAAGCTTAGAAGCTGCTAGGCTTGGTCAATGTCTATGGTCAACTTATTTATTTATTTAACTTATTTATTTATTTATTTAACTTATATGCCACCCACTCTACCCAAAGGTCTCTGGGTGGCTTAATCTTTCCAGTGCTGGCTGCCCCTGCTGCCCTCTGTGTGTATGCCTCCCCCAGGACATCCTTACTCAGAAGTTTTCAGGCAAGGAGAAGAGGCTGCTATTACTTTAAACATTTACTGAAAGAGGAACCTCTATATGGTTTCCACAGGTTGCAGGACACCTTGGAATCCAATCTTGGTTTTTGTTCCATCTGTAATCCTGACATAACAATATTCCAGTTTGAAAGAAATTTAAAAAATAACAAATATTAAAAATAACATTGAAGCAGCAGTGGTGAGTAGCCAGCATGATGCTGGGCAGGTGGGTGCAAGACAAAGCCTCAATTGCAAGAATTTTAAAAGCCTGTGTAGCCCCCTCATCCAATATACAACACAACTTAAAAACACAGTAAAGGTTTCCCCAAGAGGATGCAAACACTGACTCAAGTACCATATGACTACCACGAGACTTTAACCTGATTTTAAAAACCCTATCCATCTATTGATTCATTTTCATAGCGTAACCATTCGTTCAGATTGCACAAAGTTAGCCCAAGGGCAAAGGAAGTTGCTCCTAAGTAACTTACAGTGTGTTTAGGATGAGATAGGTTTCAATTCAGCACAGCAGTAACTGGCCTAGTATTGTGGCTCAGCAGGCCCTTAGCTTTTCCCATTTCGGCTAGTTACGCTTGCACATTAAATTCCATTAGGACTTGATTCACAGTTAATTTTATCTAGATCAGAAGTTCATGTGAAGTCTACCTTTTATGGCTTATATTTTACTTATGTCATTCTGCTGTCTGGGACTACAGAAAAATGAGTCCCTGTCTTCTATCTGATAGTTGTTCAGCTATTTGAAAGCTCATGAGGGTTACTTTATTTTTAACTTTTATTTTTTAGTTGTTTACATAGATGAAGATGAGTATTGGGATCCTGAATCAATAGCAAATGGTAACCGTCATAATTTCTCAGGGATGTTAAAAATCCATTGTGCTGCTCCTCAGCTGCTGCTTTCAGACTTGAAATATGATTTGCTTTCTGAGTACCTCCATAAGAGGGTAAGTTACCTATCTGCAATCGGGTACACATTTATTACTGAATTTAGAAAATATGTAAAGCACTTTGCATGCATGCATTAAAAACAATCCTGATGTGTTTCTTATGATAAAATCATTATAAAAGTTAACTAAACAATAAAATGATGAAAAATGCAAAGTATGGTTACCTGCCATTATGAACAGTCAAGTAAATGCCTGTATAAACAAATATGTTTAGTTTGTTGGCTGGCACTCATCAGAGCTCAAAGAGGAAATCATCCCACGTAGTGAGCGTTGTTGTGGAGAAGGAAGTTCTTGACAGCACAGTCAAGACAATCTAAGAAAACCCATAGCAGAATATAAAAGATTGAGAATATAAAATACTGGACAATGTGGTCCCTTAGATATGTTCTCTTAATATATAGCTAATCTATTAAGTCATATAAAGGATTTATAAACAAGAGGGCCACTTACACATCACTAAAAAGGATGAGAAAAGAAAACATGGATTTGCAAAAAAGTGATTGTTCATAGTGAGCTCCACATGCTCAAGAAATGAATCATGCCACCCTGGGTACACCTGACCTCATCTCATCATGGAAGCTAAGCAGAGTCATGCCTATTTAGTAGATGAATAGGAGACCACCAGTGAATACTACAGATCTCTAAGTAGGTTTAGGAGAAGAATTCTCCTTGAAATCTTCGAGAACCCCTTGCAGTTGGAGGTGACAATAATGGGCTATATGGCCTAATAGGTTGCTTCCTAACTAAAAGACCTAATATAAGCAGAAAGGACTTGAAGATGGGCCAGGTGGGTGCATGGACTTGAGCCCAACTTGCCATTTAGAGCCGCCATCATAATGGATGGTTTTCTAGATTTCTGTTTCCCTGACCACCTTGTTAAAAACTAATTCCATGCCTCTCCAAACCTTTGTCTGCCCTACCTCTGTGACGTTAATAAGGGCTTTGGTGGTGAGCATGAATCTCAGGGAAAGGGATGCTGGCCTGAGAACCCAATCCAGAAAACATTTTACAGAGGCAGAATGAAGGCTTACAAAGTATTCAAAAGATTTCCGAGCTCCTCTATTGAATCTGTAATTCTTTATTATATGCCCTAACAAACAACATATAATGTGTTCTGGACTGATTTTTTTCATACTGCCAGGGTTAATTTTAGTGTGAACCAGACAATATTTCAATTCATATTGACGTTCAACTGGGTATCGAGGTAACATCTGATTTGAGACAACATCAGCTTGCCTAATTCTACAAGCTCTATTTGTCTACATTGCTTCTGTGTTCTATGTGCACAAAACCATTTCACAATGGTTGAAAACATACAACTTTTGGAGAAGTTACAAGCACAACTCAATTATACCAAATCAGTCTTACAACTATGAAAAATGTATAGGCACAAATGCTTAAACAGTCATCGATTCTTGCAAGTTGTGAAAAGCTGCAATTATGATTGCCATTCGAAATTCTTACAGCTATGAGAAGTTGAAAATAAGAAATAGTCTAAAAGTAAAACTGTAGGCAGAACTTAAGTCAGAAAAAATTATTTCATTAATAAGCTGTAAACTGCTCTCAGTTGACTTTTTCATATCACATCATGTATTTGTGATCGTAATGAATGCTTTCTTTCTCTAGCTTACAGATGTTTATAGTAATTCACCAGCTCTTGGGCGATATTTTATCTCTGCTAAAGTCATCTCCATCAGGTAGGAAAACAAAATATTTTCCAGAGCTATCATTGGGTATTTGAAAAATCTAAATCTGACTGAGGAAATGAAAATGATCCTGAGGAAAAAGTAATGAATTTTGGTTGGTGGAAGAAAACCAGAATAAATATAGAAATATATGAGATTTGTTGGGGAAAGTGATGACAGAAAAGGCCTTTTTTTTTCACCAATAGTCTGTTGTGCACTGGTGTACTTCCACTGCACATCATTCTTACAATTTTGTCTGTGGGCACATTAAAATTTCAAAGCATTAAATAAATGCAGGATATCACATTCCATCTTCACTAACCAGTACAGTGATATGAAATATGTGGTCTGTAGGCCATTTTTCCCCCAGGTCTGCTTCCATCCTGCTTCAAAATGGTGTGGATGAGTAAAAAGCCACACCTAGAAACTGCCATGAATGGTAATTCACCTTGTAAACAAAGTTTAACCATTAACCTTTTCAACTTCAAAAAATTCTGGAACTGGACCTCTGACAATTTCCATTCCGTCTCCCTCCAAGTTTTTTCATGGGTGGGTGGGGGGACCTTATATAGTCCCCGGTAGAGGCTGGGGTTGAGAAATGGCCCCAGAGTCCCAAGAACCTAAAGAAATGTCAACCTTAACCAAGTAGAGGTAGTACAGTATTATTCCAGCCAGCCATGTTCTCCTGTAGGATTATGAACTGTTAACAAGCTCAAGCAGAACATTCTGTTCACACCCACTTCTATTTTCCAGATGTTTTCACACTGATAGTCAACATATAGTAGCTCCTGAGGGTGCTCAGTTCTCATTGGGCTCTCAAAACAAGCTTTTAAAAAAGAACACCTTTGGAAACCAAAGTGTTTTCTTTAATTATCATTTTTTGCAAATGTCAGTGAACCTCTTTACAAGCATGCAACTTACCCTACCACACCAACCATATGATCCTGAACACACAGCACTTGATCGATTTTGGATACTGAACAGAATCAGACTTGATTAATATTTGGAAGGGAGACAAGCAGGGACTGCCAGAGGTCTCCTGAGGGATGGCTGGGAAAGAATTGTGCAATTAGTTAAAAGCTGCTTGCTGAAAGATTCTGTAACATCTCTAATATGAAGAACAATCTTCCTTAAAGAAAGGAAACAAAACTTTTTTTTTTCAAAACCACACTTGACCATGGGAAAAAGATAGGCAGAAGATTCAGTCAAATCCCCTTTCTCCCTTTGTTTCTTGTAAAATGGGAAGTCTCTGTGAATGTAGACTTCCCATCTTTCAGTTCTAGACAACGGTGAGAAAAAGCAAAGAATCTTTTAATACTGATTACGATACTATGTTTTATATCATATTGTTGTGAGAAAAAGCAAAGACTCTTTTAATACGATACTATGTTTTATATCATATTGTCTTTATTTATGTTAGACTGTGTATATTTTAAATTGTTTTTATCTTGTATGTTGTGAGCCACCCAGAGTAGACTATGTCTAGATGGGCGGCATATAAATGCAGTAAATAAAATAAATAAATAAATAAATACTGCCAGTCCTTAAAGAGTTCCCATGGTTAAGTGACGATTTGAACCCTGGTCTCCTGTGTCATTGTCCAACACTCTATTCACTATATCACATTGGCTCTCACCTGTACACCACCACCACATTCTTACTTTACATTTTCAGGTATATGTATAAAAGGAGACTCGTAAGAATATAATATCAAAATGGGTAGGGAAAGGAATTATTGTATAATCCATTCATTTTTATCCTGACTCTACCTCATTCCTTTTTCCAGTGAAGAAAACGGTACAGTATCTTACCACTTGTCGTTCTCAGTGCCATCTGATGAGACGGAGGAATTCATGAAATATAGAATGAGTAAACACTTTCTGATGAATGTTTTAAGGCAAGATATTTATGACAAGGAGGAATTAGATGGTGTGGACATATCTGGATGTACAAACATGACACTTGATCCAACATCTATTTCATTAAAACGTAAGTGATTCATGTAATGGAAAATTGCATTATTTGAGAAATCTAAGCAAGATTATATAGTTTTCCAAGAAACCTAAAAACTCTCATACAACATCTGGGTAAGACATCTCTCAGAGTCACATGTTCTTATAGAATCCCCACAACTATACTCTCAGACCCTTCCAAGTATATATATCAATATTTGAAAAAGGTTCAAGGAAGGCTTTATATATATATATATATTCTTTTTTTACCAGCCAAAACCAGCTGGAGGGGCTCTGACATTTCCCCAGCAAATCTGTTGTCTTTCGCCATTGTGATCCTTTATTGTCCTAGCCAATGTGATGTACAGTAAAGGGGGGGGGGATGACCCATTCCATCTTTTTGGACAAACATGGATTTTTGGTGTCAGTATGTTGGTCCCATTTAGAGAGGGCTTGAATTGCCCATGAGATCAGGAAATCCAATACAGTATGTATAAAGTAATAATAATGTTAATAATTATATGTATATTATAAAAATATGTATAAAGTAATAATAATGTTATAATAAAGTAAACCATAACTGCAACCCTAACCCTAATGGAAGCTGGCAATTTTGCCCCCGCTTGCCCCATGGGGGGGCAGGGGGAGCCTTGGAAGTGTCCAAGAGTGCCTTCCAGGATCCTTTGGAGGCTCCCCCCACCACCATGGGGCCAGCGAAGGGTCCTAGAAGGCATTCTCAGACCCTTCCAAGGCTTCCCCACCCCCGCGGGCCCAGCAGGCTGAAATTGCAAGAATATTTTTTCCTGTTTTCCTCCCTTAAAAATAAAGTGTGTCTTATGGAGAGGTGCATCTTATGGAGCGAAAAATATGGTATATGGGTGAAGCCAATCCCGCCTGTAAGGTGAAAATGTTTGAGATTTTGAGTATTCAACACATACAAAGCCTGCCAGGACCCTACTGTACAGCAGAAGCAAAGGGGAGCTTCTTCTTTTGCTCCTCTTCCACAATTTTAAACCTGTTTCCCTCCCATTGGAAACAACAGGAGGGAAACTACCATATTTTTCTATGTATAAGACACTACTTTTTCTTAAGTCCATAATACTAAAAATTGAGGGGCATCTTTTACATTGAAGTAATCTGAGATTGCTGAGGAGAGAACAAGATGTATGCCAGTTTTTGCTGGCATATTTAGCTTAAGTCTTGTTGCTTAGTGTAGTAAGTTGCAACTAGAGTAAGCCCATTTAAATCAGTAGAATTTACAGAATAATCACCACATCCCAACCAATTCAGTGGGTCTACTTTACTAAAAGATAGGATTTCAGATGTTAGATCAGGAAACATTATGTTAAAATATTTTTCCTTTCTCCATATCAACTTTTAAAAAACACACAATTCACACAATGTGTTTCTTTAGAATTACAGGCTGACACTGCAGGAGGATGAACAGGATGTAAGCTGCTAGATTTCCAGAATGATCCTGGAGGATTTTTTGAGACATGGTACACCCTATACAACTTCTTTTGTTCAAACACATTTCAGCCGAACATTCCCAGTGTGCTCTCAGATCTCATGTGCCAATCAACCACTAATAGAAAACTGGATTGCCATCTGGACAAGACGGTGGTGCCATGCAAGGCTACCTAAATGGCCATGTTAGAAATGCAGTTTTGGAATTATGTAGAGACTCACTGAATTATTCAGATCACAACTGATGCTGCTTATTTGTCACATTTTCCAAATGTTATAAACTTCAAAAGAAAATGGACACATTAAAATGCCCCTTTTTGGCCTGGAGCTGTTTCTTAATAGTATGAGACCAAAGTTGCTAAGTTTGATGAGAAAAGCTCTGAATCATTTGGTATTTACTTTGCTTTCTCTGTGAGGAGGGTGTTTCCAGGATTCTAAGCTTTGTGTAGTGAAAGAGAAACAAACGTGCATTTGTTGTATGATGATGTTTACAGAAAGAGGCCTCCCATATAGGGAATTAAGTTTCTTTTTTATGCCTTCAGCTTCACATTCCTCTTATGCAGGCTGAAACATGCTGCCTGTGAGGGTGTTTATATGTCTTTCTTCATCTATTTTCTCCTCATGAGGTCTTCAAGCAATGATGCCATGAAAATCTACCTGCTCTACACAGGAGAGGGCAAAGTGTAGATGTGATTGGACTGTAACTCCCATGAATACTAACCAGCATAGCCAATTTTAGTCCTCTAAAATTTGAATGACTGCTCTTTGCCCACCCTTGTTTAGTGAATGTCATATTGTGTTGGTTTTGAGATGCCCTCTTTGGTTTGGTTTTCTCTTAAATGTGTACCCCACTTTTTAAGGGGTCTAGTAAAATAAAACAGAAAGCTTACAAAAAAAGGATAAAACATATCAGTAAAATTAATAACCACTTAAATTAATTTCTGGAAGCATACAGACACCATAACCTATCAATTTCTTGGGGCAAAATTTTGTTTGTATATAAAAGTCATTATCTGCAGACGAAAGGTGTTCAGAAATAGGCCTTCCTTTTCAAGGAGCTCCAGAATGGAGCAGCAGCCACCAAGAGTCTTGGTCCAAGTTCGTACTAGACAAGTTCCTATCAAGCATACTTCAAATGCTAATGGAAGAGAAAAAAGACCTCAAATCCCCCAAAAGGCTTGGAGAGGACAATGCAGTCTTTGAAATAAAGTAGTCTCATGTCGTGTTGAGCAACACTTTGAAATGTGTGAAGAAATGAACTGCACATCGTGTTACTACATGTGATTCCACGTTGTAACATGGAATCACATGCTCCCTATAATTGGGCCTGTCCTACATTCTGACTGGATCAGTTGGAATTAGAAGAAATTTCTGAACATTCTTCAAGACCACAATATGTAGAAAGGACTATAGCAGTCTCAATGAATTGTAGAGGCCAGAGTTGCATTTCAAGAAACAGGATTAATGGGCACAGCAAGTGTAGCAGCGTAAAACCATTCCTGGCTACTGCCCAAACCTGGGCACCCAGGTTCAAGATTACTTTCAGAAGTACACCCACAATGCGAACAGAAGAGTTCAAGAGGAGTATGATCTGATCCTACACAAAGTGAATCTTTGTTACCTAGCCAGACTTTTGATTGACCAGGAGCACCTCAGTCTTGATTGGGTTAAGCTTCTGTTTATTCAGATGCTAGGGACCAAACTATATGAAGTCCTACGATCCATGATAAAGTATCCTAGAGTCCATAAGATAAAATGGGCATATTCTTTAAAAGCTAAAGAAATAAAGATAAATATTAAAGTTGCTAATAGTAATTCCATGAAAATGGAAAGGAAAAGGACTGGGACTTTGCAGTGTGAACTTCCTGGTGAAATTAGTGAGAATGCTATAGGCAATGTATTGTTTGTTCCTGAACTACAATACACCCTGATAAGTGCATCAGCTTTGGATGATAAAGGCTTTTCTAAACATTTTGAAAACGGACAGTGTATAGTAATAAAAGATGGAGTAATAGACAAGTAATATCTAATGGTGTCTATAAGCTGAGTCTTTTAGATGAACTGCAACAGATCAACAGTAAACAAACAACTGCCAAGGAAAGAGAGGGAAGGAAACACTCAGCAGAGAGGCGGGTCTCTCTATGATTTCGAAGGGTAGAAGGAACAATTGATTATTGCTGGATAGATGGACAGTCACTTCAGCACAGGAAAGTCCCTCCCAATTGCACAAACTGCAGAAAGTATGCAGGGTTGCAAACAAAACTCCAACAGCATCATCTTCTGAAACGGATCCAAGAGTGCCTCAAAATGAAGGTATCCATAATTTCCAGGGTATAGCAATAAAGCTTGTTAATGAAATAACTTAAGAAATGAGGAAGGAAAACAGGCACTTCGCTGCTTGCTTGTTTGTTCAATAAATTTGTATCCCACTCTTTAATATAAAAATTGCAAGGTAGAGAAACTTCTATGACATTTCACATTTTCTCTGCAGCCTACATTTGAACCCATAAGCACGTTCAAACATGTTTATGAGTAATCTGGCTTTTCTCACCAGATTACTCCTAAACATGTTCAAAACCACCCATAAGTTCAAATATACGGTAGGCTGCAGAAAAAAAGATGACATGTCATAGAACTCCTCCCCCTAATTATTATAGTGAGTGGTAGCCAGTGAAGGAGCTGTTTAGTATTGAGCTTAATGTTATGCTGGTAATGACATTGTGTGTAATATTTTAAATATTCCTGTGTAACATGAGCAATGATGTCCTTTTTGTTATGTAATATAATGATATTTTTTCATATATCAAGTACTGTAATATTTACGTGTTATATTTTGTCACTACATTCTTGTTGTTTTCTTATTTTTCTAGATGATTTTTCCCCAGAAGAGGAACTAGAGAGTTCAATAAAGATAGCAAGAAGTGTAATAGGTTATGGATTGCACTGTGTTAATGTCAATAAGTTAATATTTAGGAGTGCTTTGTTGCAAGTTAAGAATAAGTTACTTTAAAGAAGTGACTTTCCAAATTATAAATTGGGAATGGCGGGGAACAAAGAACACTGGTTGTCATTGTGAGGGAGGAGTAAATGTGAGGTACGGCTTTTTCACTCAGCCCTATGCAAAAATGTGGTCACTCTTTGGCTGTGCCAGTTCCCTGTGACCTCAGTACTCTGCTGCTCAGAGTCAACAGTAGGTACTGTACTCCTTACCTCTTCCTTGTTACAGTTTCTTGTAAATACAGGCTTTCTGCTGTATACTTACTGCTTCATAGGGACACTTGACAGGTCCCACCAGACAGTAGTGGCTGTAACTCTCTCTCTCTCTCTCTTCATCGCTTCCCTGGAACTCTACCATTGCTGCAAATAGCACCGGCAGCACAGCTTTTCTCCCAATTTCCTGCAAAAAATGTACCTGGTAATGTTGAAACTATGTGGGTGTAAATACACAGCAACATGAAACTCTGCTGATCCTGGGAACTATGTTTTCATAGAAATGAGATAATTCTTTATAATGCCACATTTATACCCACATGGAAGAGCATGAAGCAGGCACACCTATACATTTATCTCCCCACAGAACTCTCTGCTGCAGAGTTTTGAATTTCAGGTAAAATTCCCTCCATTTTTTTTTAACTGGCAGGACTTGGGGACCACAGGGGTACTGGAGAAGGTCAACAGTGCCCTGAGAGGGGGCAATATAGCGCTCAGATGCCATGTTTGCCCCACTATTACTCATAAACAACAAACATTCAGCACAGAAAGTAATTTTTAGAAGAGGTAGTCATGTTAGTCTGTGCGAAAACAAAGCAGAAATGAAAAAAATAAAGGAGAGGAAAACACTGAAGACTAGCTGCTATATTTTAAAATAAGTTTCATGGACAAGGAAGGAGTGGCAGAGAACCCCTGGAAGGCATCCGGAGGCATGGCGGCCTACGGACTGGAAGGGGGAGGTGGGGAAAGCACCAAATTCGAATTTGGCGCTTTCCCTACCTCCCCCTTCCAGTCTGCAGGTTGATTCTCCGGCCGCAAGTCGATTGGAAATCTTGCAGCCAGAGAAGTCCATACCTCGAAAAGTACGCACGTTAAGCCATGCGTACATTGAGGGTCCACTAAATTTTAATGTGAACTTTTATGGACAAGTTCACTCCTTCCTTGTCCATGAAACTTAAGAGAATAAGCAAGATGTCCCAAAATAGTGAGTAACTTTTAGAGTTCTTTTAGAGTTCTTCAGAAATCATCATCGGGCTGGTTGGTAAGCAAGGGTGGGCAAGGGAACAGAGAGATGAAGAAAGCTAGATTAGGGCATGAGCACACGGGTATATAGTTCATCTTTGGGAACACTTTTGGAGTAAGTCCAGAGCAAGCTGCTTTCCCAACGATCAAACAGCAGAAAGTCGATAGCACTCCAACCTGACTCCAATCCATGCCCAAACTGGGGGAACTGGGGTGGAGCGATTCCTGACAGATGGGACAGCTGTTTTGAGATTGCTCCTAGCAAAGCAACCCTTTCCAATGCAATCAGAGACACACCTCTCTTGTCGTCTGGTCGCACCCTTGGATTTAAAGCAAACGAAACTGAAAGTAGTTGACCTAAATGCACGGGAGATGATTGCTTAATCTGGGAGTTAAATTCATAGAACTAAATGGACTTACATCTGAATAGGCAAGGGAAGGAACTGAACTGTGAAACTGCTAAGATGTACAATTTTTTAAAAAGGAAACAATAAACACTGTTTATTTAAATTGGGATGTCCCAAGGAGGAGGAGGAGGAGGAGGAGGAGGAGGAGGAAGGAGTAAAAGAGAGCTTTTTGTCCTTGAAGGGATGATGAACATATGGAAATTTATTTCCCATCTCTTCTGTGGTTATGATTGCAATTTGTAACTTCTCTTTTCTTCCTCCTTTGTGTATTGCAATTGTCTGCCTACCAGGAACATGTCAAAAGTTAAACCCCATCAAATGCTGTAGTAATTCTTTTCACACAACTAATACAGTATTACCTGTTCATTGTTGAAAGAAAAGATTCCCTTCTGCTTCCTGGAGAGTGGAGTAGAGCTATCAAAGACATGTATTACCTCATTTTTAACATGGGTTTAAGGTGATGGTTTTCTAGTAAAGGATAGAGGGAAACCCCAGTTGAGATGGTTTGGACTTTTTCTGGGCTTGTGAAAATAACCTGAGTTGTTTGCTAACCTGAGTCATGATACTGCATTTCTAGACATTGCACCCATGTGATAAATAGAGAAAGCAAAATTTACCCAATGACATGAACGTGTCACATGTTTTCATTCAGGAAACACGAGCTCTGTCCCTTTCCTTGTCACTGAGTATCACAAACTAAACCCATGTGAAAACAACAAAAACAACAAATTCAAGGAAAAAGCTAAATATGCTATCTTGGTACTAGAAATGAATCTAATGTCATAGCAAACTAAAATCTTTGGCTTGCAATATATGTTAGCTAGTAGTTTAGGAGAAAATGGGTTCTCTATTATAGTGCTTGTCAAAAACTAATATTACAGAATTTCAAAGCATAATGAATTTGGCAGCTGGAGATAAGTTAAATACATCTTTAAACTGTCTGTATTATGTGCAGAAAAACACTATCCCAGACTAGGAGGTTATTATAGTGACTTTAGTTTTTAGGAGCTCATTCAGAGCTTGGGAAAGGTATCAGCTACTGACACACTAGTTGATGGGTGCTAGAGGTGATGTATGAGTGGTGTACCTGGAAGTTTAGAAGTGCATATGGTAATCATGAGAGCCCTCATAGGCAATCTATATTGTAAGCTGCCTATAGTGGACGAGTCGCCCAGATAGGTGGGGTATAAATCAAATAAATAAATAAATAAAATCGCTGTCCCCATAAGAAAAGTCCAAATCTGTAGCATATAGAATTGAACTATGTCAACAAAAAAGAGACAGGTCTTTTGCAAAATTAATGGATCTTAAATACCTAAACTATTCCCAAATATTTTGTGTTACAAGAGGGATAGCTTGCAAGAATCTACTTTTCCTAGAAAAATTAATTTCACTCCCAGCTAGCATGAGGCCTGCAACTAAGTTCAGAAGGAACAAGGAGACAAGGTGGTGGTAGCAAATGGTGTCATAATCCCTACTGTTCAGAACATCCTGGTGCTTTAACCTTGTGAGCCCTGGATTCATAACACCCCCGACTGTAGATTCCATGTAGTTTTCTAAGCTCTGAAATCCAGAGGAGTTATAGCTTAAAATATAATCAATCAGGACTATCCTCCTCATCTTCTTCCATGAGAAGGGTCCAGGCAGATCTTTGGATTGCCCCAATTTGTCCCCCTTTCAATTAATGACACTTCCTTCCCCTGCCTTTTCCCACAGCTTCCATTGGGGGGAGGCTCAGTGACTTTTCTTTTTCTTGTTGTTAAATAAAGTGACATCGAGAAACAACAATGCACCTACCTAGCACAATACACATAGTAATGCCGATGTATGTCATTCATCTTGAATAGCACTACAACTAGGAAAACATATATTAAAATTATTTAATGGTAGAGTAAATGAAAATAGAGGAGGGGGATTGTCTGTCATCCCTTTCAATGTCACGACTCACCAAATACATCACATGGTTGCCGTTCAGATAACAACCCCCACAGCTCTATTTGGGTGTGAACTAACGATCTACATGGGCTACAGAATAGGATAACTAGGAGTGCTCCAAAACACGCTAAAAGCTGTTCCAGAAAGGAGCAGGTTAGCTCTCAAGAGGTATGGGATGGATAATATATGCAGGATAACTAGGAGTGCTCCAAATCACGCTAAAAGAGCTGTAGTGCTACCACTGTTCCAGAAAGGAGCAGGTTAGTTCTCAAGAGGTATGGGATGGATAATATATGTGGATGCCATAATTTGCTTAGAACCAAACTGCATCAAATGTGATTCAAATAGTGAGCTCTCTGTCTGTCTGGATGTGCTCTGATACTAACAAAACATCTACAGTAAAATGATCTGTAACTTAGCGAAAAGACCGAAGAAAAAGTGAAAGCCCAATCTGCCACCCACATCCTGCTCAGCTGTTCATTTTCCACCACCTGTTAATTTTTCTCCCATTTATTCCCAAGTTTATAGTTTGTGGGTGCATGAATGTTGTTTGTTTTTTAAATGGTTTCTTTGCCTACGAAAGTCCAGCAATGGAAACAAAAAAGAGAACGCATTAGACGGAACTCGCTGATTAAAGAACTGTACTGTGTTTGCTTAGTCATTGGGGCCGATGACAGGTGGTTTATGATTAGTTTTAGCTATTGGTCATATGGAGCTGAATCAATACTGTTGGTAAATCTTCAAACTTGGTAACTGGAAGTTATTTGTTTGTAGTTAATGGACGGAAAGCACATTAGAAAATGAAACATAACAGACTTAAGAGAACTGAATTAGGTAAACTTGACAGAACTGAAACCAAAATCCCCCCCCCCCGGGAATCTTGTACTTTTTGAAGAAGTGGTTTTATGAGTGTGTTTATGTCTTAAGCTTCAAATGATGCAGTATTTAATACAGTGTATGGTGAGACTCTGAATATATACTGAGCAGTGGATGCTATACTGGAGAGACAAAATGATTGCTGCATCTCTTTTCATCTGCATCTTTTGGACTGATGTGATGGGTGAGTGATGCTCTGGTTAACTAATTAGTTGCTTTGACTTTATATTGATTGTATGTACAATGCCAGCACAAAAGATGCAACAAAATTTTAATTCTGATCGTGAGGCGATTCTACCACAAGCCCTTCTGGACATTGTTTAAGTGGTACCTCACTTAAGTGGTGCCTTACTATCCAGTGTGGTGTAGTGGGTAGAGTGATGGACCAGGACTCTGGAGAACAGGGTTCAAATCCCCACTTGGCCATGAAAATTCACTGGGGGAATAAAAGTGGTGTAACCACTCCTTAAATATCTCATCTTGAAAGCCCTATTAGGATTGCTATAAATAGGTTTGGGCTCAAAAGCACAACACAGAGAGAGAGAGAGAGAGAGAGAGAGACAGAGACAGAGACAGAGACAGAGACAGAGACAGAGACAGAGACAGAGACAGAGACAGAGACAGACATCATCCAGCAATGATATATCTCGCTGGGGCTATCAATTGGCATTAAGCGAAAGAATGTTACTTCAGCAATATCTTTCCTTTTTGCTGGCAGATAGACAGATTACAGAGAGATGCTACAGCCAGTGAAGAAAACATTGCCAGTTTTGTGATGCTAAGTTTCTTGATGTTCAGTCAGAAAAGATTCCAAGAATTTAGCATCCTAGATTTTTTCCCTTCTTTTTCTTTCCTTTTTTCTGGCAGGTGCAGCACAGGTGATTCACAAGTCTGTTCAGATAATCACAGCTGGAAGAAATGTGACTTTGCACTGTCAGCTGGCTGGAATACATGATGTTGTTCAGATCACTTGGCAGAAGGAGCATGAAAAAACCAAGACTAATGTAGCAACATACAGTAAGGCCCATGGGTCTCAAGTGCTGGGTGAATATAAAAATAATGTGCACCTTTTCCAAAGCGGGCTGCAAGTTTCTGCCATCACCTTCCATGCTGCTACATTTCAGGATGAAGGCTGCTACAACTGCATCTTCAACACATTTCCTTTAGGATCCATCACAGGCAAAACATGTCTTAGAGTTTATGGTAAGTTATGGGGAATATTCACAGATAATCTGGCAGATCCGAAGTCATTTTGGCCTAAAAACAATATTTCTGCTTGCTAATGTTATATCAGTATATCAGCAAAACAGTTGAGAAATGTGACACAGCAATCATTAGGCACTTCAATCAATGTATTCTACATTGTAGGATGTTATCAGACAGCAGGAAGGTTGTGTGTCCAGTTGTACTATGGAAGGCTGTTCTTTAGTACAGGAGCTATCTCTCTTAAACCAACTTTTCAATCTGTCAGGGAATCGCTTCAGCCACACCCCAAAGAATAGTAGCCCTGAAGCTGGACCAAAAAAGTCTAGACCATGTACAAACTGGGGATGGGCTGGGGCACAATTCCCTGAACACAGAGTAATCACAAGGATGTAGGCTGCCCCACAAATCATCCAAAATGGGATCTATTTCCCCATATGTTCATGTTACTAGTTTCAGCGTCAGTTCCACCTTATATCATCCTAGTGACCATCAATCATCGCAACAGGACTTTCTTCCTCTTCCTGCACCCTCCACACATTTCTAGTTTAACTTGGATGGCATTTTCTTCCCCAAGTTGTGAAATTGTGTGGACACATAGTATGTGTGTTCTTTATTATGTTGAATGGAGAAGTTCAGTGTTGTATGAAATGTGGCTGATTGTGCAGGGTTGCACACACATTTGCGATTATTCTACCATTTTAAAAATCCATTTTCATTCACAGTTGATTTTCCTGGTTGTTGTTTTTTCTCAACAACCACCTCCAGCTGACCTCACCATTCTTTTCTCAGTTCACAGTGACTGTTGCTGAGCTTTCTCCATACCTGTTGTTGTGCTAAACACCTGACTGTGTCCCAGTGGAAAAAGTATTGTGTACATACCTGACAGAGTCCTATCAGTGTTTGTCTAAAGATTGCATAACTTGCTAGGGCTCATTCCATCTAATTGTCTTACGGGAGCATGAGAAACTTAATTCATGGAGAGACTCCTTCTATAAGACTATCTGTCCCATCATCTCTTAAAGCTCCCAGGAATCCTTGGATCTCTCCCAGGGATCACTACCACCAGTTTCCTTCTTCCTGAAAGGCCAGCATAATGGTGATGGAAGTCCACATGGAGATGCGAAAAGCTCCTCTTTAAACTGCTGGTTTTGGGCTGCAGCACTCCGGATTCCATCTGGGAGAATTCCTGGCAAATTCTGTGAGTTGCAGTGCAAAAAACAAAAACAAAAGTCCCTTGCCTATTAGTCATGTGTCCAATTGTATGAGCAAAATGTGCTCTAAAACCTCATCAATTAGCTGCAATCAACTGCAGCCTTTACATGAAAACTAACAGGATTTTGGCCAGCGCGTAATTTTATCTTTATTATCAGAAATGTCACAGGAGCTATCTATAGGCATCGTGGGACTCATAATAGCATTTAAAAATGTTTCTTTAGGATTTGTGGCACCGTGGGAGAAATAACTCACACCGTGTTTAGCTTTGTCTCCCTCGATTTCTTTTTTCTTCTTCTCTGTTTGCTGTTTCTGAGACAATAGGAGGCATCCTTACTCCCCTACTCTTGCAATGTCTGTGAACAGGAATCCCTGGGAAATTCCAGTTGAAATCTACACAAATACTTTTATCAGAAGAATGCATAGTAGTGAGGGTGAAAAGTGAGATAGGAATCACTGGAAGATGACAAGTTATATTTTTGGTGTTTTTGCCAATTCATTCTGACTACAGAGAATCTACCCAGAACAGAGGGTACACAGTGATTGCAAAAGTCATGGTTACTTTTTTAAAGTGTTTTTTTAAAGTGTTGTATTTCAGAAGTTGGCCACCTGTGAAAAATTAGTTGATACTAGACTTACAAAAAGCCACTCTTTGCTTTCCCATTTCTTGAAAATGGCAAAATAGCAACTCTAAAGATACATTTGAATCCTTACTTCTGTTTAAAAGCAAAAACCATAGCCGTGGCCTTTCACAAACGGCCTTTCAAAATTCTCCACCCAATTTGTGAGAAGAGAAATTAGTGGATCAAATTTACTTGATATCTCTGGGCAACGAAAGATTCCCCACCAATTCCTGAGCTGATCCTCACCTTTAGTACTGGTTGCAGAGCAGCTGTGTTCTCTCCCCCCGCCCCCAGCCAGATGATGTTTGTTTTTCATAGTGCAAGCGGCAGCAACAGTGTTGGCAGATTGGCCCCCACTTTCCTTCCTCTACAGTGCCCTCTACTCAGTGTTGTTCTCATGCATGGGCAGTAGCTGTGGTGGGAGGCAGATGCCAATTAAACATGGATAAATGTGCAAAGAATTCTGCACAGTGGATCTCTATTCCTAGGGGAGGGTGCTGTAGTGAATAGAGAAAGAATAGACTAAGAATCCCTGTCCAGCCACGGAAAATTACTGAGGGTGGGGCTGGAAGTGGTAAACCCACTCCTTAAATACCTCAATTACCTTGAAAACCCTATTAGGATTGCTAGAAATCAGTTCTGACTTGATGAGCAAGTGGTTATAGGATTGCAGCCATAATGCTTTATGAGAAGGTACGTTTTGCATAATAATAATAAAAAAATATTGGCGACCCTTTCCACTGTTTTCTAGGCATAAAATACTCAGATGTGATTTACCTTTCCCTTCATATGGGTTCACTGTTCAGTAGCTGGAAGCAAGAGAATGCTGTTTGCTCCTGGAAGCAAAACTACCAATTTTACTCATGAATGATACTTGTTTTGAAGCTCTAACAGATGTGAAAGTGAACGTGAGGCACATAATTGATCCACACAATACAGGAAGCAAAGCGCTAGAAATCAACTGCTCAGCTACTGGGAAACCAGATCCGGTTGTCACCTGGAAGGATGCCAAACATGTTTCAGCCAAGCCAAAGGAATATGTCATCCAGCACCCAAATGAGACGGTGACTGTTGTCAGCAGTTTCACTCATGTATCATCCAAGGATGTCTATGAATCTCCAATAATCTGCGTTATTCAACACCCATCTTTAACTACTGCACAAGAATTGATTTTGCCTGAGCTTGGAGCAGAGGAAAGTGAGTGTCAACCTAAACCAAATTGCTTATTTTTGCAGGACATAATTTTCAAGGTTTCTTTCTTTGTTTTAAACAGGAACAGCATGGAAAAATTTGTCCAGAATCCTATTATCAGTTTAGGCTTGTATAATTGCCTAAGGCTTGGTGGCAAACTGGCACTTAGCAAGGTGCTGATTGTATTTCTGAGTGGATGCCTGATTGTACAATAAGATATATGTCAAGTAAGGAAATCAGCCCATGCTAATAAGCAGCAATTTGCTGCCGAGACTTAGGCAATGTCCATTACCAAACTTAAATCAGCAATAGGATTCAGGTCCTTCCCCTGCTTTTTTGCAATGGTACAGCTTGTCTCAGTTGGCAGTCATCCATTATCTCTATCCCTTTGTTTTTTCATCTCTTTTATTTAGCACACTGGCTATCTTTCTGTGGTTAGAAAAAAGGTAGCTTTCCATATGATCCCATGTGATAGATGATGTAAAGTGACAACTAAACGATCTCTATGGCTACTCCTTATTTGCTTGTTCTTACAACAGGTCCTACAGTCTGATCTGATGGCCGGTTCTGGTTTTCCAACTAAATCCTGATCCATTCTAGAATAGATCCCCATCCAATTAAATGTATGCTTTAGATTCAAAAGAGTTTGCAAGCCTCCCATTGACTTGAATTGAGAAACCAAAATACTTCTTAATTTTTGTATTGACATGTTATTAGGTTTGGAGACATGACGGACCCTCAAGAGAAGTGTAAGCCTGCCAAATTTCATATAGTTACTTTAGCGGTTTGCATACTAAGTACTGTACCTGTAAAGTTAGCTTTCTTCAAAAGGAAAAAGAAAAAGGTTGAAGCAAATTGTACCACATACAGATTGATTAGTGTTCCAGCCACAAACAGATACTGTACATCAATTCAATTCATTTAATTCTGGAACTGAGTCTGGACATTCAGATTCTATCCAGATCTCTCAAAAATCTGGCCAGTTTTAGCAGCTCATGATTTGCTGAATCTGGTGCACATCCCTATTTAAAACAGCAGTTGGCTGACTTCAGGCATGCCTGATCTACTTTGTCCTTTTCATTAGAACCTCAGTTAATACTGAGCAGAACCAGAACTTCAATAGGTACTATGGAAATACTAGCTTTAATTCAAGCTGGACATACTAGCTCAACTCTGGATTAGCTGAGCTGTTCCAGTACAAAATACTTACAAAGGAAGGACCTGTTATGGAACACGACACAGGATCGGACACGGTGCATACAGCAACACCTAGGGATGTGTGGATCAACTCCAGTCCACTCTATGCATCTTTGGTTGACTGCTGTTCTAACTCCACCATATGGAGCTGAAGCCTCCACTCTTTTTGTTGGTTTGTGAATTCAAAATCTTAGCCACACTTTGTTTAGACCAATAATATGTCAAAATATTCCCAGCATCGCTGTCCTTTTTGAGTTTATTTGAGAAAATGTAGCTAATTGATTCAAGAAAACAATTATATCTGCCCCATGTCCTTTCACTCCAGGAACTTTGTGGTCTGCCCTCACCCATTTTTTTAAAAGCTGTTTTGAGCCTTTGCCAGAACAAGGCTCTCCTGAAACAGCATCAGTCATGCTGCTTAGAACCTTCTGCAGATCTGGTTGCTCATTGGGAAAAACAGGCCCATTGGGAAAAACAGTACAGTATTTCAGAGCTACAAGCAGTCCTGATAATTTTTCAGCAGGATCTGGCAGGCCGTGTGTAGACTCCACCATTCCCACCCCTGGTATATGATCACACCAATACACAAAAATTGTACATCATACAAAAGTGTGTATTTACAAGCATTTAAATATCTTCATAAATTGTGCCTGCTTTTTAAAAAGCTAAAACTGCATGGTATTAGCCACATTCCTTCTCCCGGATTGTACTGTCACAAAATCTATACGAGCAAAGCATTTAAATTTGCCCAGGAATGCAGTGATGGCAATTTTTAAACTGGCATCCAGTCCTTTCTTGTAGTACAGAGGTTGCATATTGTATTTGCTTCCAAGTCCACAACTCCCCTTGACACCAGACATAGGACACTTTACTTTTGTGAATTACCAGTATTTCCCAGCTGTCATTCTGACTGGGGAATTCTGGATGTTATAGTCCAAAAAAGGCAGCATTTGCAACGTTAGCTTGACATATAGTCTGAGAGAATCGAAGGAGTGAGTTACACGTTGTTGTATATGTGATAACTATATTGTACATGGATTTGAGGTAGACCAGGTGTCCCATAACAAGCTCATTAAGCCACAAATAAGAATGCTTTTGTTTTCCCCCTTGTTCTATTCTTACTTATTAAGTTCTCTTTGCAGATCCAAACATAGATCAAGAGACTATAGTCAAAGCCAGTATCTGTGTATTGGTGTCTGCATTTCTTCTGGTGTTACTGGTTTACAGCTGGAAGAGATTGAGTTCAATGCATAAAAAACAAGGCCTTCCATGTTGGGTTCATCTTTCAAGAAGCAACAGTTCTGGATTTGGTAAATTGAACATTTTGAGTAGTCGTATAGAGGTTGGGAAAGAGGAGTCCATGGCAGAGCTATCACTACTTCATAAATTAGGCTGGGTTCTCAACAGTTAGGAGAGAAGATGGGAAGTTCTTTCTCTCTTCCCCTATTTTTAACTTTGGTTTCTTGTGGGGGGATTACTTAGTTATTGTTCTCCAAATTTTCTGTTCCATAGTTTAGATGGGAAGTTATATAGTTCTAGCACTACTGTAGTTTCTCTTCCATGAATAGGGATGAATGTAAGGGGAGCAGAAAGTGTTTTGACCTCTGCAGATAGACCCAAACATGCCATGTCCATCCCCACCAATGTCAAGGCAGCAGCAATGGAGGAAAAGGGCTTTCAGAGCTTACTGCTTCCAGAACAAGGAGATCTTAGCAGAAGACCTCCTTCTCTTCCTTGGGACCTCTTGTGGTACACTAAGGATTGGTCCCTTTATATAGCTTAAAAAATTATCAACATGCTTTGAAAGTTGCAGGTGCTGATTGGACAATGGGAGATTATTAGAACCATTCCCAACCTCTTTTGTTCAATAAATCAGCAGTGGTCAAAATACAATGTTGGCCACATGGTACCTCTGAGTACCTTCCAGTACCCCATACCCTCAAATCTCCAAATTGTTTTTTTAAAGCCCCTTGCACCCTCCAGGGGCTGTTAGAGGCAATTTTGCTAAGTTTTAGTCTGAGTGTTTTATAGAAGGTGTTCCCTGGACTTAAAGCAGATCAGAAGGCTGAAAACACAATACAGTCTTCTACAAGACACAGGACCAATTTTAAATTTCTATAAAGTTCCAGAGAAAATAGATTCACCTGCACCAGAATGTTTTGAGATTTACCCTTGCTTACTTTTTGGAGTGATGTGGGCCATGGGAAGCATAGGGGTGCAAAGCAGCCGTCCAAGTTCTACGAAGTGGTGTTTTTTTTTTCGTTTTTGCTGAGGATATGTATGTTTTTGGTCTGATGGGCAAATTTTTATATAGTAACCACAATAAAGATTATTAACTGTAGAGATTTTGGAACATTTATAATATTATAATATTCTATAAATTTAGTGAAAAGGCCACAGAGAAAATCTATATGAACTTAATTTCTTTAGTCAGTTAAAGACCTCCATCTTAATCAAGGTCTGAAGCTAATAAATATCTAACATGAGAAATATATTTCTTGCCTGCAGTTTGTATGAGTTTGTATGAGAAATAGAGTTACACACAACAGTGACCATTTTAGACCTAACACTTTCAGTCTGTAATGTTGGCAGTTACTCATTTACTCCTAATTCCTCTTTTTTTGCCCCCAGCTTCTTCCTGCAAGTCCTGGAAGTGTAATTCATGGAAGACAGTCTTGCATTCAACAGAAATTCCCAGTGATATCTCTTCTCAAAGGAAACCTTCCAGACACATGAAAGATCTTTTAGACCATTTTTAAAATGTGCACTCTTAATATTGGCATAGAAGCAATGGATTTATTCCCTGTTTTCTTTATAAAGTACACTGCTATTCAGCAGTTCAGGTAAATTGTACAGGAACATTCAGTCATTGTTATTTATTTGAAAAGTGTCTTTATATGTCAGAATAGTTTGTATTTATTTGTTGTACCTTTTTATTTTTATAGAAATTGACAGAAACAAAATTTCCCCTCTTATTTTACTTTATATGTTTTTAAAACTGTTGTTAATTATGCCTGGGATTTTTCAACACCCAGGCAACTTAGGAAAGTACTTTGCTTGTGATGGAGCAATTCCACACCCCTCTCCCCACCAGCCGCTTGAACGGTGCTACTCTGGAGAATATCAGGTTTTAGAGGACTTTACAAACTATGGGGTGAGAATTGGATATTCTGTATCTTTATGCACCATAGCTGACAGCCAATGTGGTGTAATGGACAAAGTGTGAGACTAAGCCTCAGAAGACCTAGATTTGAATCCCTATTCAGCCTTGCACACCCATTTGGGAAAGATGGGGTGGTGGTGGCACTGGTAGACAGCTCCTTGAACATTTCACATGCCTCAGAGGAACTTGGAAATGGCCACATTGAAACAATAACAATATACAAGAGAAAAATTTCCATAAAACTAAAAACCGGGCCTTCTCAGCAGTGGACCGTGGTCTCTGGAACAACTTACCATTAGGGATCCACCCCCTTGCTGAGAGCCTTCAAGAGCAAACTAAAGACCTGGCTCTACAAACAGGCCTTCCCAATAGCCATTACTTAGCTTTACCTCTTCTTTTTCCTTTTTTCCCATCTTGGACTCTTGTAGTAAAATTGGACCTCATTTTATATGTATTTATGTTTTCATTTATTATATTTGTATCTTTGGTTTTTGTATTTTGTGTAAACCACTCAGAGTAGACATGTTCTAGATGGGCGGTGTATACGTCTAATAAAATAAATTTTAAAAATAAAATAAATGGTGCTTTGGATTCCCACTTTTTGCTTTCTGTTCTCCCATTGACCACTATACTCCTATATCATGGTAACATAGGGAGCGGTCAGATCACTTAGCCTAATATTATCAGTTCTATTCCGATAGGAGATGCCGGGCATTTAACCTGAAACCCCAGTCCAAAAGGAGGTTTGCAAAACAAAGTAGAGACAACGAACTGCAAAGGATTAGTTAATCAGAACAAGTAGGAAAAATAATGGAATCCTCACCAGGCAAACCTTCCCCTAGTACTGCTATATAGCAAAACACACTGTTGTGATTATCTTCTGAAAGGCAAATTTTTCATGGCTTACAAGGAAAAGAAGGGAATAGAAAAAGTAGGGAAATAACATACTATCTCCCCTGCAAATATTAATTTAGAGTAAGGGTTCCTCAACAATGTCTTGCATTGTCTTTGTGCCTGAACCAGTTCACAGAAGATGTGGCTTCTATGTAACAGAATTGCTGCCTGACCATAATCATTCATTCATTCATTCATTCATTCATTCATTCATTCATTCATTCATTCATTCATTTTTACTATATTTATATCCTGCCTTCCACTGCAAAGTAGTGTTCAAGGTAATTCACATTCTTCCAAAGCAATAAAAGAGGGACTGGTTGAGTGGGTAGAGAGAGTGGTGAATGCCTCCTTGCAACAAGAAAGATCCCATTATGCTTAAAGGAGGATGTTTTTTTTTCCAAAAAGCCCTCCATGGATCCCACAATACTGAATAATTACCAACCAGTATCTAATGTACCATTCTTGAGGAAGGTGCTAGAGTGGGTTGTGGCCTCTCAGCTCAAGAGGTTTCTGGATGAGACAGATTATCTAGATCCATTTCAACTCGGCTTCAGGTCTGGTTTTGAGACAGAGACTCTTTAATCGCCTTGGTGGATGACCTACACTGGGAACTGGATAAGGGGTGTGTGTCCCTATTGGTTCTGCTGGTCCTCTCAGCAGCTTTTGATAAAAGGGGTGTGATTCTGCTGGTCCTCTCAGCAGCTTTTGATACTATCAACCAGAGAATTCTCCTGACCCGTCTCTCTGGGATGGGACTTGAGGGCAGTGTTTTATGGTGGCTCCAGTCCTTCCTGGAGGAGAGAACTCAGAAGGTGGTGTTGGAGAATTCTTGTTCAGCGCCCTGGCCACTGGTTCCTCAAGGTTCTGTTTTGTCTCCTGTGTTATGAAATTGCTGGAAGAGATTGTTTGGAGTTTTGGGGCTCAGTGTCACCAGTATGCTGATGGACACTCAGCTCTACCTCTCCTTGCCACCTAAATCTGAGGAAGCTGTTTCAGCACTAGATCAGCACTTGGCCTCAGTAATGGGCTGGATGCTTGGCTTCAGTAATGGGCTGGATGAGGGTGAATACAGTGGTGCCCTGCATAGCGACGTTAATCCGTTCCAGGAAAAATGTCGCTATCCCAAAACGTCGCTATGCGGGGGGGAACCCCATAGGAACGCATTAAACTGTTTAATGCATTCCTATGGGGACAAAACTCACCGCTATGCGGGAATCCTCAATCCGACCGCCATTTTCGCTGCCTCGGTAAGCGAGGAATCAGCACGAAAATGCTGCGGGTGGCCATTTTCTTCTTCAGGTGGCAATTTTGGAACCGCCGATCAGCTGTTCCAAAACATCGCGATGCGAAGATCTGTAAGCGAAACGCTTACCGATCATCTCAATGCAATGTTTATCCTATTCAGAACATCGCAATGCGATAGGTTTTTTTGATCGCAAAAAACACGTCGCTACTTACCCTATTCAGGACATCGCAATGCGATAGGTTTTTCGATCGCAAAACGCATCGCTATGCGGATTCGTTGTTAAACGGTGCGCTCGTTAAGCGAGGCACCACTGTAAATTGAAACTTAATCTAAACAAAACAGAGGTGTTCCTGGTCAACCAAAAGGCAGATAAAGGAACAGGGATTCAGTTTGTACTGAATGAGGTTATATTCCCTCTGAAAACATAGGTGGGCAGCTTGGGGTTGTTCCTGGATTCATTTCTAAGCCTAGATGCCCAGGTTTCAACAGTGGCCTGGAATGCATTTGCACAATTAAAACTGTTGCTCCAGCTGCAAACATTTCTCGAGAGGTCTGATCTGGCCACAGTGACTCATGCCTTAATTACATCCCAGCTGGATTACTGTAATGTGCTCTATGTGTGGCTACCTGTGGAAAGTGTCAGGAAAATTCAATGGGTCCAAAATGCAGTGGTCAAACTGTTGACTGAGGCTGGTTACAGGGATTACATAGCCCCTCTGTTACAACAGCCCCACTGACTGCTGATCCATTTCTGGGCACAATTCAAAGTGCTGGTTATAACCTGTAAAGTCCTAAAATGGCTTGGGCACAAGCTACCTCAGAGATCGTGTCTCCCATTATGAACCAGTTTAGGTATTAGGATAATCAGGGGAAGCCTGATTGGTCCCACCATCTTCCCAGGTATATTTGATGGGGACACAAAAGAGGGCCTTCTTTATTGCTGCTCCCAGAATTTGATACGCCCTCCCACTGGAGGCCAGACTGGCCCCATCATTGCTGTCCTTCTGCAAGCAGGTGAAGTCCTTTCTCTTCAGGCAAGCTTACCCTCAGGCGGTGACAAGCTGCCTGAGAATGATCTTTTTAGATGGATTGCTGTGCATCATGACTTTGACTGTGTCTTTAGTATTGCTTGTGTTTCCCATTTTAAAGAGGGGCATTTTGTTTGTTTCTTTTTAATATTTCTATACTGTGTTTTTAGCTTTAAACATTGCTTTTTAATTATGTATGCCACATTGTATACTCATTGTTCTACGTATTCTTAAATATTGTCTTTTGATGTTGTTTATGTATGCCATATTGTATACTCATTGTTCTATTCTTAAATATTGTCTTTTGATGTTGTTAGCTGCCTTGGGTCCTTTTCTAAGGAGAAAGGTGTGTGTGTGTGTGGGGGGAAATATTGTAAATAAGTAAAATAATAAATAAATAAAACCAAATTTAATCATAGAATAATTAAAATCAAATAAAATTAATGTTATGATAAAAACCATTAAAATCAACTAAGTGCATAGTTAAAATCTTATTTTCTTCCCCCATACCACACAGAGAGATTTCTGTTCTCTAGATCTTGTGTTTTGTTTTGTGAGCTAACTCCTCTTCAACAGTAAGATCACCTGCTGTGACCTGGTGTTGGTTTTGTGCCTGACTGCAATCCAAACTTTCCTGTATGTGAATTCATGTTTTGCACAGAACTGTCACAAATGTTGCTTTTTGTATTTAACAACTTCCGATTCCTACCCCACAATATTTACAATTTTCCTCTAAATCTGTCAACATGTGTGACTTAATCAATCAATCAGCCAACTGAATGACTGATATTTGATGCACAGAATATTAGTTAGGTGGTGTGCGTGTATGTGTGCCTGCACACTTGCCTGTTTGCATACTTGCCAAAGTGAACATGCACACTAGCAAGAAGGAGCTGTGAAATTCTGGGAAGTAGTCAAATTATAGGTACAGAAGTATAGAGAACAATTCCCTGCTAAGAAGGAAAGTCATCAGCTGAGTCTGAAAGTTTGGTACAATCTTTTAAATTAAACTGATTGGTATTTCATTGGTTTTGTCAATTATTTAAATATTTCTATATAAACCTGGAGGTTATATAATACAGAGTAAATATAGGATAATACAGTGTAAATACAGAATAAAGAGGAAAAACATCTCATCTTGTTCTGTCATAGGAGAGAAACATTTCTAAGTAGCTATGATGGTGCCAAGAAATATTAAAATCAAAGTTTTATGGATTTTTACAGAACTTACTGAGAATCATAGAATCAGTGGTCGAAATTCTATTGTTTAATATAGTAAACATGTTATCAGACTTCTGTATGTGTTGTGTAACTGCTGAGAAGTACATAGATCTAAGCAACAGGATTTTAGCCATAGAGTTATAGAGCTTGAAGGAACTCCCAAGGATCATCAAGTCCTACCCTTTCCTAGGGCAGGAAATCCACAGCTATCATCCTTGACAGATGATCATCCAACTTCTCCTTAAAAATCTCCTGTGAAGGAGTGTCCACTATGCTCCAAGACTGTCAATTAATCAAATGGCTCACACAGTTAGGAAATTCTTTCTAATGTTTATTCAAAATCTTATTTCTTGTAACTTGAACAGTTATCGCATTATCAACTGCTACATTAGAACATAAGAAGCCATTTATTTAAAAGAAAATTTAGAATTATCCGGGTCTTAATGTCTGCAGGTGAGACCTTTCTTTCTGTCCCTGAGATCCTGGGAGGCACATTTGATGATGAGGACATGAGAGAGGGCCTTCTTGGTGGCTGCCTCCTATACATGGAACTTCCTTCTGAGGGAAGCTAGGCTAACCCTTTCTTTGCTGTCCTTCCATGAGCGGAGACATTTCTATTTAGACAACCCTTCAGCCACTTCTTGGATTATAAGGAACGGGCTTTTAATTGTGGCTGTTTTCCTTCTTTTTTCTTCTTTTTATTCTTGAATGTTTTTAAATTATATCCATTGTTTGTGCCACTGTAATAATCTAGTTAATAATGACTGAAATACCCTCCATGCAGCTGTGCTGCATAAGGCTGAGGCATCATCAACCACTGATTTTTGAGAAATAAAACATTTCTTATCCCTCTGTCCCTAAAAGTCCTGAAACTTTCTGGAAGCAGTGAGTGGATGGGAGTAGAAATCTTTAATTTCTAAAAATTGTCATCCTTTAAAGAATTAAGGACTTCACATGCACACACTCACAATTCTGCAGCCACCAATATCTGCTTAATGCCTTTGGAGGCGGTATATCAGATTTATTTTTAATTTTGGAAAAATTGCCACAGCTAATTAACTCATCAGCATTATGTGGCCATGCAAACAGGATTTCAGTCAATGCCTTATTATTGTGACTTATTCTGTTTTAAAGCTGGATCTATTCTTTAAGTTTATTTTGTAACCCATCTTGGTTCCTGCAAGGAAAAAAGGCAGGATGTAAATTAAATAAATAGGTACAAACTTTAAAAAAAAACTTCCCTTTCCATCCCAAATAAAATCCACAAGATAGCTAAATTAATGGTAGAAATCAAACAATTCCTAAAACAAAAACAAAAACCAAACAATGCCAGAGAAGACATATCACTCCAAAAGAGACTCCAACCAAATACATTGCTGACAGTTTTGACCTGTCACTGCACAGCAATACTAGAAGATTCAGACAAGGGCAGAAACAGATGAGAAGGACAGCTTTGAAATTAGAAGGCAATAAAATGTTATTGGAGCCTTGTGATGCAGTAGTTAAACTGCAGTACGGCAGCCAAAATTCTGCCCACAAAATGAGTTTAATCCCAGGTAGCTGGTTCAAGGTTGACTCAACCTTCCATTCTTCCAAAGCTGGCAAACTGAGTACCAAGTTTGCTGGGTGGGGGGCAATGTGTTATCTACATAACTAAGTTCTAAACAGCTCAGAAACTGCTTTAAGCACTATGGGACAGTATAAAAGCAGTTCACTTTGCTTTGCTTTTTTGTTTTATCTCTCCAGAGTGTAGCCCTAACCAGAACTGGTGATTCATGTGACATATGATGCTGTTGCTTACCCATTTGCCCTGAGACATGGGAATCAGCCTCCAGAAAAAAAAAGTCTAGCAAGATGTGGTACCCAACAAAAAAAGAGAGCAATGTTTCTGCTTTAAAGAAAAGAAGAGAAGAGAAAGTAAATAAGGCAGAGCAGCATTGACATTTATTTTCCTCCTGCTCATCAGTACATTCATCTCTAGCTTTTGGTGCCCTCTAAAGCCTGATCAATGGAAGGACAGATCCTGAAGCTGAAGCTCCAGTACTTTGGCCATCTCATGAGAAGAGAAAAGACCCTGATGTTGGGGAAATGGGAAGGCAAGAGGAGAAGGGGACGACAGAGGATGAGATGGCTGGACAGTGTTATTGAAGCTATCAACATGAATTTGACCAAACTCCAGGAGGCAGTGGAAGACAGGAGGTCCTGGTGTGCTCTGGTCCATGGGGTCATGAAGAGTTGGACATGACTTAATGACTAAACAACAACAAAAAGCCCGATGCCTGGATCAAAACCTGGTTGCCCCACCCTTGTTAAGACCCTGCTCCAAAGATGCATTCTTCATGTTTGCCAAATGGAGGCTGTTTCTTCCTCCTAATGAATAATTGCCAAAGTTTATTCAGTTTCATTACTGAAGTCAATCTGGTTGATTAAAGGCTTCATTCATACTGTTCGAAATTGATTGGCCCGGAGAGATCTGTATATTAAGAATTAATTTGAGGCAATTGTGGCGTGCTTGCTTCTGCCAAATTCTTCTGCAGCCTTATCTGATCTGTAGAACAGGATACCCTTTCAAATCGACAAATGCCAGTTCAAGCAGTTTGCTCCGTTTCGGTTTCCATTATGTCTAACAAAACAGAAAACAGAG